AGATGTATTATCAGTCGAACGCAGAAATTACTCAAGATGATTTAAAAGCCGTGAATCAAGAAAATTCTGAACTTCCTCCAACATCTCTCGATTTAGCATCGAGTTCTCAATCACCAGATGGTCAGATATCAACTTTTGTCGCAGATGGGTATGTGTTTTGTGTATTCGAGACGATAAACATTTCATGTAGTATCTATTTTCATTGACATTAAATTTTCAGAGTTTCTATTGAACCAATCGATGCCAAAAACAAAATCAAAAGAACTGGAACAAAAAAGAAAAAAGCATGTATAAAATTGACTGTTCTTTCTGTAAATAATTCTGAATGTGGAACAATGTCGGTGGAATGTCAACTCGATACTAGCAAGCAAAAAACCGTTACGTTCAAGTTTGATCGTGACGATATGATACCTGCAGACATAGCCAATAATTTGGTAAACTTTTCTATCCTACTTATTTACATAAAACAAACATCAGTTCTAATTAAAATTTCATAAAATAGATTGCAGAAAATTTACTACCTGTTTCTCAAAGAGACACGTTTATCGAAGTGATTGAAGATATTGTAAAACAATTACGCTTGGATCCTGGCTTAAAACTACCACTAATCTTTCATGGTGGACCAATAACTTCAGCCGGTGAAAGCCCAGTTACGAGTCGCCGGCCTCGAGAACGTGATCACAGTCTCGATACAGCCAAGGTATATAGTATATATCTTTCCTAGTTCATCAATAGTACATTAAGTTACAATAGCTCTATCTCTCTTCTCTTAACCCAAACACAAAATTGTAAGAACTATTTTCTAAAATCTTCAAAAACTATAAAACTTTGTCGTCTATGGTTTTGGACGCAGCAAGTGAGACATGGCTCATTAACTCGTCAGAGCAGCCATCGTACAACATTCAAAATTCATCGTAGACACCGCTCGGTGAGTTTAATGCTATCCTCTCTTCTGAGTTTTCTTGTTTTAACGAGTTGGTTAACTACATCTTCTTTTTCTGCTTTGTTTACCGTTATAATAAACCCCTACATGTTATTTAAATTTGAAATGATGCAGATTTATGCACTTAGTTTTTTTTTTAAATTACAGTCAAGTAATGAATTTTTTACTTTCAGCTACCACAGTTTTCCAGGTGTTTTTGGTATTATTTATTTCTATCTTTTTCAGCTTACTCGAACCAGTTTTAAGTTAATCAAAAACCCAATTTTTTGTAATTTTGTTTGCATGATTATTTTATGATAATTTATTTTTAGTCTTGTAATCCATGTCATTTAGAAGTAATTTAACGGCGAAGATCATATTATTTTTTTTTATTTTCATATGATAATAAATTAAAATTTATTTACAAGGTTCACACTTCACTATTCATTGGATACTTGAACATGCCACGCAAATAATTAATAGAAAAAATTGAATTGTTCAAAAAATTATTATTCTTCAAACCATAATGTGAAATCATATTTTTATTATGAGAAGAACTAAATCTTAAGTTTCGTTTTGACAAATCGTTACTAACTTTGTATGATAAAATTTATGTAATAAATTGGTTATCAATGCAAAGTTTTTGACGAGTTTCCATAAAAAATAACTTAAAAAACGAGAAAAGTTTGTAAAATGTATCAACTCACGTCTATGTTTTACCATTTTTACAGCGAGATGAAACTTCCAACACTTCAACAAATTCATTGATCCTGCCGATCGAACAAATTATTTCCAAAATGACAACTAGTCCTCTTACGGATAAACTTTCAATCTCAACTGCAAATTCTTCTGGTGGATGTAATGCACCTGCAGCAGTGACATCAACCGTCACTTCCAACGTAGCTTCTATTGTTTCATCCTATACAGCGCCAAGTGTTGAACCAACAGACACTCAAGGGTCATCGAATACAGATTCTAGACGTTCCTCTATATCAACGCCAAATACAGAAAATTTGACACCTACTAATTCGCACGATGCTTTCGAAAATCTGGATAGTAATTGTTCATCTAATGTTGTTTCCGCAACTTTTATTGACAACGATGCAAATAAAATGGAAAATGTTGAAACTTCCAGTATCAGTAATTTTTCTGCAGAAATGCCTTCAAGTTTGACCCAAGAAGTTGACGGATCAAAGACAGGTAATGAAGATATTAATTGAAAAATTCTTCAACTTAATTTTTAAAATTTCGTGCAAAATGATTTTGTTTATTATAGATGTTACAATGTCCTACCAATGTGATATAAATTGTTCAAAAACGGAAATTTGTGTGAACCAACCTGTTGAGCCTCCAGCGTTAAATATTCCAACAAGGAAAATATCTCGTTTTCTCGTTAGCCCTGTTGTAGAACAAAGGTCTATTATCACGGAGGGTGAAACAATTATCGAGCACGAGGTTGTTGATTTAGCAGAAAAAGATTTTGTTCAGCAAAATTCCATTATAAATAATGACAGTACGTGCAATGACAATGAAAATTTGAAAAATTTTACCAATTCTGAAGAAAGACAACATGTAGAGGTATACTTTTATATTAGTTCGAAATTTTTCTGTTATTTTTAAAATTTTAGATATTTTAAAATATATTATATTTCAGATGTCTAGTCATCAACAACCATCTCAAATTTCAAACGACTCTTCGGTGATGGTGCATGAAACTGATGCGACTGCTGCTACACCAAATATATCAAGTGCTACAGGGCCAGTCGACGATTCACGGCAAGTTATATCGAATGGACAAATTATTACTTGTATACCTCCTGCTGGAATACATTTAAATACCGTTCAATCACACCCATTGGTCCAAGCGCAACAAGAAATAATTCTTCAGCAACAGCATGTGCAAATAAAACAGCAAAATACTCAAGTTCATTTGAGTCAAGGAAATGTAGATGATAGAAACTGTAGAGTACCACATAATATTTTGAATACTTCTACTGAATCGCATAAACTAGAGAATAGTAACAATACAATCGATGAGAGAAAATTATCATCTGCAGCAAATCTACAATTACAACCACAAGGATATTCGAATCAACAATTTGTGCAACATCAACCACTACAAACAGATTGTGGGACAATGAATACAACAATTTCATCAACGACAAATGGATCGATTAGCAATAGTGATAGTACACCGGCTCAAATATCGCAATCAAATATAGTTCCTACGGCTTTTGTTGGAACTTTGCCTTCTAATACACACCCCATCCAAGTTCAAGTAGCTCCCATAATTGAAGTGGCTCCTAAATTGAAAACAAAGGAAGTTTCTTCCACACTACCAGATCTGGCACAAAATTTAGCAAATATTCTTTCAAATCCTAAAACAAAATCAGTTCATACTACTATCCAAGTGCATGAAATAGTTCAAAATCCTACAATTATTCAACCGATTTTGCAAACTGAACAAACGATGCAACCAATGTCGCAAGAAGTAAGCCTGTCTAATCTTCAAGTGCAGCAACAGGCACAGCAAAATGTACAACAGGTAATTAAAAATTTTATTTGTATGAAATTACGTTAACCTACTTTTCTTTATTAGATTATACTTTTTTATTTGATTAAGCGTGCAACTGAGTTTGTGATCAATAATACTACTAAATATCATAGATTTAATTAATAATGATTAAAATAATTTCGATTATTCTACATTCTTACTGAAAATTATTCAGTGAAATTGATTTTTAGTAGAATTTTTTCAAATAAATATGCTTTTTTAGATGATTCCTATGCAACAAAATTTTCCTGCAAACATTCCTACTCAAACTTCAACTATTCAGACTACTGGGTTAATTCAAGCGGTATCCCAGGCTCACTTCCAACAATCTATGGAACCCCAACAACCGCAACAAATTTTACAAAATCAACAACAACCAGGTGCTAATACTGTTACTGGACAGTGGATTTCTTATTCACCGGCTTCTGGGCAAAATGCGTATCAAGTTCAGCAGTCAGTTGCTCAAGGTTTCTTGGTACAAGGCCAAACCTTGCAGTATGTAGTGCCTATTCAAATTCCACAAGCACCTCAAGCGGTTTATCAAACAAATCAAGTAGAGTCTGTTGACCATTCGGCTGCAGAGGAACACCACGATCTACAATTGAAATTACCTGACACTAGACAAGTTTCAATGAGAGTAGACAGTGATGCTAATTCTGAGTGCAATATAAGCCGGTAAGTACTTCACCATTTACATAACAAACGCATTGGAAGGGAAAGAAGTTGTTCATCGTGTTAAATTTTTAGACGTACGAGTTCTGACTGCCAAATGCCTGTATCGGAAAACGAATTATCTAGCTACGATATAACTCCAGAGCATACGCTGGTAGAATCTGCAGAGACTACTAATTATCAGCAGCAGTTGATGCGAGAGCAGCATCGCAAGTTAAGTCAACAAAATTCTTTAGACAGAACTTTAGATACTAATGGTGGACCGCAGACGATTGCCGCTCTCCAGCAGAAACTGGCCCAATTAACGAGCCAACCATCAGAATTAGCAAACGTTAGCACTCCTCCAATAAGTCATCCAGCTACGCCTCATGGACAAAACAGTGGATTTCATGAAAATATTCATCAAAAATTCAGTCCTACGACGAGCACATCTAACTCTCACACTTTGGTAGATAAATAATTTGAAGTTTTTACAATTTTGCATTAAATAATTAAATTAAATTTTTGTTCACGTATATTTTGAATTTAATTTTTACAGGCGTCTCTTTCTCCTCAGAGCACTATTACCGCTGCACCTTCAGCCTTGTTTATGGAAGGTATAAACTTTTTGGAGAATAATGCTGGAGCAGCGCTCGTGACTGACATGAATGTCCAAAGTATATCTGGCCAAAATTCAGAACAGGATGGGTCGTCAAATAATAATCTTAACAACGGAGAAATAGGTAGTCCTAGTAAAGAAAGTGGATCTGCCAAACTTAATCGTAACGCGAGACCAGGTTCTAGACTGCAAGAGCTAGATCAAGAGCTAGCTAAAATTCATCAAAAATCCACAACGGCATCGAATTCGGCAATAAATTTTGTTTATTCTTCGCCTCTTGCAAACGTCATTTATCAGAATCAGCATCAACCCATGGTTTTGGCCTCTAATAATAATATTCAATTAAGTGGTCTACCCGTTGCAACTGTAGCACCATCAACCATTATCAATACATACTCCAACAACGAAAACACAACACTGCAAGAGACTCAGGATTACAATTTAAATGAGGTTTGGGTTTGAAGTTTCTTTTTTATATAAATAATACGTGAATATAGCAATTAATCATAATTTAATTCGTTTAGCGATTGACGGTGAATCAAGCTACTAGAAAAATATCGAGGTTTATGGTATCGACAGTGGCTGGTCCACCTAGTGACGATGCAAGTTCTTCTAATACAAATAACGACGATGGCAGAGCTAATGCGGAAGGCAGAACTAGCTCAATGACCCAATACTCTGACGAGCCAATATGTAAGAAGTATTTTTTTATTGTATTTTACTTTTAACTTTTTTATTCAAAGATAAGTTTAAACTGAAAATGTCCTTTTGAAATATTTTAGATGGTGGATCATCACAAATGCAAATTATGCACAGTCGAGAAGGATCTGTTACATCCAATTCTACTAGCCATATGAGCCTTACTTCAACAGAGGTATGTCACAAAAAGCGGTTCTTATAAAATTGAAACTGATTAAAGATTTTCTAATTCTCATTTTCGTATAAGCAGCACGAGAGAGAAGAAAAATCGAATCTAACTCCAAGTGAAGAATATCAACTTCTTATAAAAAGACAAACAATGGAACTGGAGACACTACAAAAGCGTCATCGAGAAGAATTAGAGCGCTTTCAGCAGCAACAGTTGCAATTATTGTTACAACAGCAACAACAAGCTAGTAACGCATTTCATCATCCACACTCGCAGCATCCTTTAGTATACCATACTGTGACAGGCCAAACGAGGATAGCTGGTCCAGATGATTACATGTTAATAAGCTCTGCTCAGCAGCAAGCGGCTATGCAGAGGAAACTTAGTTATTCCCCAGATACAGAGGAAATTCTACGATTGGCCACGTTGAAGTTGAAGCAACCAGTGTCGTCGACTTCGGCAGCTGCTTTACCAACGTACTTGATACCAACAGTGCCATTAGTGCCTTCGGAGAACTGTACAGTACCGGTAAGTGCAGCTGCCGAGACGCAGCAACAACAGCAACATCAACTTCATCAACAACTGCAGCAGCAGCAACAACAACAACATATACAATACCAACAACAGCAACAGCAACAACAGCAACAGCAACAGCAACAGCAACAGCAACAGCAACAACAGCAACAACAGCAGGCAATACCCTCTGAAGTTACCCAGCTTCAATACCACTTTGCCCCAATGACTCTCACGGCCGATGTAAGTATATAGAAAAAAGTAAAAATTCTTGAATACATTGCCATTAAAATTTAATCAAAATTGGTTCTAATTTATATTTTAGAGCAGCAACAGTAATGCGTCCGCTTCTGCGACGACCAATCTAGTCACGAGCACAATGCTGCCGAATGGGACGCACCTTTACGGCTATCAACCTCCGGGTTTTTATCTGCCTCCAGGATATCGTATCGTTTTTGCGCCTCCTGCTTCCAGTCAGGCGCCTCAACTCCAGCCAACCACGCCTACTACGCCTCAACTCTTGACGGCTAGTCGTGGCAGTACTCCGCCCGGCGAACACTGCGAACAATATCAGACCTCGAACAACCGTATAGAATTTGATTATTGAGATAGCATGTAATAATTGAGATCCTTACGACTGAGTCGAGTTACTACTGTTGCTCTGAACATGAGCATCTTTGCTAGCAACTTTTCATAGAACTCACTTTTTTACATGTAGCTTGTATCATGCAATCGCATACGTTGTATACTTTGAAGCGTGCGTTTATTAAACTCATATATGTATTTGTATATATATCGAGGAAATGTAAAATGCTGCGCATTTTAACGCGTCTGTTTGTCCATTGTAATGACAGTTCCAAAAAATGGACCCATTCAGATATCTATTATTTTATTTTATTTAAATAATTTAGCTCTTTCAATAACTTATTTTTTAATGCGAAAAATTTGAATTGTGTAAACTAATTTTTTCAATTAGTGTTTAGTATTACACATTAAACACGGCGGATTTTTCAACGGTCAGATCTGATATTATCAATCTGTTGTCGACTGCTTCCTTATTTTATTAAATTAAACTATTTGTAGAATAATGAGAATTAACTCTTTTGATTTAAACGAAACAGTTGATAAAAACATCGATGCGTTCAATCATAAAATAGTTTATTATATTTTACGTGATTTCACTGTGCAAAATGGAAATGAACATGAATGTCAATGTCGTCATAATGTAATGAGGTGCTTGAAGATTAATATTCCAAAGTAAATCTTTGGTTTATTTGTAAGTTATACGTGTCCGATATTATGTGCTGCTGCATGCATGTAAAACTACGAGTTTATCTCGATGTAACGTGATTTGGCACAGATGCAAATAATTGACACTGATAAAATTTATTGTAAAAACTTGGTGTAGAAAGGCCTTTTCTATTAGGATGCTCGTGATGAGATGTTAATGATTAACTTTCAATTATAGATAAAATACAGTGCAAGTTGATATTATGAATGTGTACTTGTATGCATGAGATACTGTGGTAAGTATGGTAATTTCAAGAATGTATGTAAAATTTATAGTTAAAACGGTGATATGAAGTGACTTTTTGTAACGTTGCTTTTTATATCTTACAAAAGGCCTCAGCTAGTCGTACAACTGAAGTAAAAAAATGTTTATCTGCTTGTCAGTAAGAAGAAATAGTTGTTATTAATACGGAGAGAGAGAGCGAGAATGAACGAAAGTCAATTCATCAAAAATTTTCATAAAGGAAACAACAAAGACAAGAATGTGATTATGTGCAGTCGCTGTAATACGTTTCCACGGTTATTATGATTATTATTATTATTATTATTACCTTAGTTATTATAAATAATATTATTTATTATTTGTAATTATTATTATTATGATTTTTATGTCTGTAGCCATTCTTTATTTTCCATTCAACTCTTATCAAGATTGAATAGAGTATTTTGTTACTAGATTGCTAGGAATTGTTCAAATACCATCGTCTTGTTATCTTTTATCGTCCATCCTTTTTACGCTTCCCTCCTTCAAACGAGAAGCTACAGAGCTTGATAATATATTATTACTTGTACTTCCGTGACTATGTTTTAATGTTAATGAAGAAAGCTTTTTTTAAATTTACTATGCGACATTCGTACACTACGTGCTCGCTCGTATTATTTTTATTATCGTCTTTATTCATATTATAAATATTATTAAAATAAAGAATAATAAATTTTTATTGTTGTTGTTGAATCATAACTACCTAAACCCAAAGTTAATATGAAAAGAGTTACATAATTCTTAAGTCTTAAGAAGGTATTGAAGTTAACCGTTTCTATCGCTGTTGGAATCCACATATGATCTCTTATAAATAATCTAACACATGCTAACAGGATCGAATGATTGTAGTGTTGTTGACAAAAAAAATAATTTGAGTTTATCCGATAAGAGAATAATAATAATGGAAAAATTATTAATAGTAGGTGAAATTTAAAAATTCATAAAATAATACGCGTAGTGTTTACTTTCATTGAAAATTTCTTAAAATATTAAAACAAGTTTGCAGATAATTTTTGAAAATGATTGAGTCTTGATGATTGAATTTAGTTCTCAGTAATTACTTTCGTGTTTTAATAAAAAATCAATCAACTGTATTATCTTATGTATTTCTTATATATTACGCGATGAAGCTGAAAAAAGTCCTTGGATCCCCAAAACTTCTGATTTTAATTCTTGAAAAAAAGGGACTATCATATTACTACGTAGATTTTTTTTAGAAACCGAAATCAAAAAATTCTCAAAAAAAGTCTAAAATATCGAACGAGGGGTAGCAAGTGAGGATAAAGCGCTAGTAATTTGTAACAAATGAAATGAATAGTAGACAGCTGGTTAGTATTTTACTGGATCATAAGGATTGGGAAATAACACGTGGAAGTTGCCTTATTACTTATAAATTATTCGTTTTGTTTTTATTTATCATTAAAACTGTAAATCGCATATAACGTATGAATAACAATAGCCTCATAATAGTTGGAATGGCTCGTTTGAACAAGTGTAATAAATACATTGGCAAGTGAAAAATATGGCTATAGGTATGCTTGTTTGTTTTATTTACTTTATTTATTCGATTGTTTTTTTTTAATAAAAATTTACTCGATTTTTTTGTGACTTGTCTTAAGTGTTTTATATATAATAATGATAATATAAATGAGACTTGTGAGACTGTAGTTGTTGCAATAGGTACAGATACGTATCGTACACAAGTAAATCGGTATAAACGATCGATGAAGATAACAGGCTGCATTGCAATTGAACTTTAAGCGGCCCATTAAACAGTTGCTCCATCTTAGCTTGCGAGTGATTTCAGCCGTGCTTCCGTTCATCAACGTTGTTTTAACTCGTAGTGTCATCGACGGTACATACGAAAACCATTTAACTAAACTATTTGCGTTGGAAAAATTACCTTTCAATAAGTATCAAAAAAATAAGTTACTTCAGTTTAAAATAGCCGATCTCGAATATAAATAACAAAGTGTACTATTCATTCATTTATTTATTTATTTTTTTCAATTAAATTCCTAGCGTTGTGAAGTTAAGCGTATTTTAATCAATTCGTGAACAGCATAATAGAAATAATAGTCTTGGCTGGCATTATTTTAAGAATAATTTCTACTGATATAAGTGGAACGATTTTGACAATAATTGCAAGCAGAGAAAAAAAACTAAAAGATTTGTGGTGTTCATTTAAATAGCAACAGCCGTACACAAAAGAATTGTAGTTTTTGAGGAATCATTGATCTAAATATCGTGCAATTATTAATGGTTTACAAATGGCAAAAAATGATGTTTGATTTTCCATGCCGATTTATACCGATACTCGTAATTACGATACAAGTGATTCGTCAAGATTAATCAATTCGATGCAGTGCGACACAATCGCTTTCTATCTTATATCTTATGCACATTTACATCTTATAATTGTAAATAGTCTGCTTCAACAATTCACACATGCTTTTTCAAAATTCTCTTGGCTCATTTATCGTACCGTGGTCAGCTGAGATTAGCTGCATTTGAGCTTTCGTCTTCCGAACTCGAACACATGTCCCCGAATCACAGTTTTCGGCATTAGTATAATATATGATATAACTTTAAATAAACATAATGTACACTTACGCATCAAATCTCACCTCAAACCCCTTATGATCAAGTTTTAAATATGTATAATCACATGTCATCATTGCTTATTTATTTATTACAATTAATCCTATACACGTTTAAAACGTATCTAAATCTAGATAATGATTTAAGGCTAATTTGATAACTAGACTCGTAATGATTGCTCAAATGGCTGTTATTTTTTAGTGCGACAAGTTTATTAATTATGTATATAATTGATCGATGTGCGTAGCGTAGATGCGCTAAACATTCACCACGAGTCACACAACTCATACCTAGTTTATGCGAGCAGCCACTTGGTAGAGGTGTGAGCGATAAATAATTACCGCAATCGTTATCGTACGTAAGAAATCTGCTCTCGCAGCTGCACAGATTTAAAATAAGCTATGCCTTTTTGTCGATCCGTCATGGAGAAAATTTTGTGCGAGCGACGATATTGTTTTCCCAATGATTGCCTTTCGTTTTGCTCGATTTTAACAAGAGACTTTGTAACGAGGAGCATAAAGTAGTCAGAGACGTTGGAGAAAGAAAAAGGTAAGAGGCGTCCTTAATAGGAGACGTGGATGTCGCGGGCAGAGGCCGCGCGTTTGCGGCACATACGACAGGTGCAGCAAAGACAGAGCAGCGCAGCGAGGGCAGCAGCCAGGGCGGCACCGGTCCAGCCCGGTTGTCCGAAAGGCAGCAGCATGAGCTCCTTGAAGAAGCCACGAGCGGCGGAGGGCCGGTCGGCCGCGTGGCCGGAGTCGGGCGCCTGTGGCGTGGCCGAGCCGCCGCAGGTCTCGGGCGCCTCGTCGTCGGGCTCGCTGCGGTTGGCGCCGCCCGTCGGGCCCGGACAGTTGACCACCCCGTTGCAGAGCAGCCGGCGGGGAATGCAGCCGGCCCCGCCGGGACACTGGAAGGCGCAGTCCTCGAGGCGCTGATGGGCCAGGTTGCCCTGGGCGTCGCGCGGCAGGTGGTAGAGCTCCGTCCAGGCGAGCTTGAACTCGGCCCGGGCCAGGGCCATCGAGCCGACGAACTGGAGGCGGAGCGCGGGGGGCCGGCCCGGCTCGGGCGGCATCAGCTGGGCCGCCGAGAGCACCGGCAGGTCGCGCACGTAGCTCACGTTCTCGCCGCAGACGACGAGGTGGGGCTTGGCCTGGAAGCCGCCGCCGCCGGCCGCGGGCAGGTAGAGCTCGAGGCGGCCGTCCTCGCAGGAGCGCGAGGCGAACTTGCTGTGCACGAGCTGGAGCCAGAGGTCGCGCTCCGGGGAGAGCCTTAGCTCCCAGACGCAGCGCAGCGGCTCGTTGGCGGTGGCGGCGCCCAGGCGGCCCAGCAGCGCCTCGTAGTGCGGGAACTCGAGCTCGCCGTCGGCCCGGGGCCCCAGGCTGGCCGGGCCGCACAGAGGCCCGTGCACGAACTCCCAGCTGGCCTCGAACAGGGCCGCGGGCTGCTTGAAGTAGGCCGCGGCCGCGTGAGCCCCGTCCAGGTGGAGGCGCAGCTCGAGTCGCTCGCCCAGCAGCTTGATGGGGGCCTCGAGTCGGCCGCAGCGGCAAATGCCGACGTTGTTGTTGTTGCCGAGCTCGCGCAGCGTCAGCCGGTCCCCTCCTCCGCTGCTGCTGCTGCTGCTGCTCGTGGCTGGACTGGCCGACGAGGAGGAGGCTGCTCCCGTCTGATGCTGCTGCTGCTGATGCTGCTGCTGGACGAAGGCGCAGTTGCCGGAGAAGCTCGGACACCAGTGAGGCTGGTCTCGAAGAGCCAGAGCGTGGAGGGTGAGCTCGACCCGGGCGTAGAGCCGGCGCTCGGCCAGGAACGTGTAGGCGCAGTCGAGGTCGCGCGGCGGTTCGCCCGGTCGCTTGTAGAGCAGCGTGTTGGGCGGCGAGCGGAAGCGGCCCGTCCGCTGGGCCCTGCCCGCGGCGAAGATCTCGTCGCACTCGCTGGAAGGGACCGGCTCGCCGAAGCGCGTCGCGTTGAAGAAGTCGTAGTGCGCCCAGTAGTAGAGCGAGCTGCCGCTGTAGCTGCCCGTGCGGCTCTCGAAGCGCACGAAGAGCGCCGGCCCCGTGCTGACAAAGTCGTGCTTCTCCATGGGCCTTGAGAACGTGTCGCAGAAGGTCTTGATGATGCGCGCGTCGTCGGCCCAGGCGGCGTCGTAGAGGGTCAGGCTCTCGGCGCAGTCACCCGTGTAGGGCTGTATCGGCGACTCGACCCGGTTCACCCGGAAGCTCGGGAAGTAGAGGCGCGCCACCTCGCCGGGCCGGGCCTTGAGCAGGTAGCTGCAGCTCGTCCCGGGCGGGTACCAGTGCGCCACCGAGAGGAAGATGCCCTCCTCGCGGGCGGCCAGCGACTCGCTCGACAGCACCCAGTCGCAGCTGCCGTTCTTGGCCGAGGCCGTGTCCACGTGGCCCGGCCAGTTGCCCACGTTGAAGTGGAAACCCGTGTTGAGCAGCGGCCCCGCCGCCGACGAGACGAACTCGACGAAGAGGTCGCGGCCCGTGCCGATGATGCTGTAGGGGAACTTGCCCATGCCGCAGAACGTCCCGATGACCGGGGCCGTCTCGTCGAGGCCGTCGTAGATGCGCAGGTAGTCGTAGGGGCAGTGCTCGGCCCCGGAGCTGATGGGCCGCATCGGGCAGGTCATGATGTTCTCGCAGCGCTGCCCGTCTATGTTGAACTCCTCGTTCTCGATGTAGAGCTTGATGAAGGGCAGCCGCGTGTTCAGTCGGTACTTGCAGTGCAGCGCCCGCGGATAGACGCCCGGGTAGGCCGGGCTCTGCACGTAGCACGTCTGCAGGCGGCAGTCGCGGAAGCTGCGCTCGCAGTAGGTCCCGGCCACGACCTCGCCCCGCCGGTTCGGGTAGAGCTCCGGGTGCTGGCCGTAGCGCAGGTACACCTCGAACTGCTGCTCGGCCCTCGAGTCGAAGCTGAAGTACGTCTGGTCGGTGAAGTTGTCCGTGTGGAAGAGCACCCGCACGAAGCTCGTCTCCGAGATGAAGGTCTGCGGCTGCTCGCTCTCGCCGCAGAACACGCCGAGCTCCTTGCGATTGTTCACCTCGGTCTTGGTGTTGCCGTCGGTTATCTGTCACAACAATCGAACAACGGACGAATCAATATCCTCCTCGACTTTCGACTTCTTTCTCGAATTCACTTACCTGCAGATAACCACCGAGGCAGGTGGTCGCGTTCAGCAGAGTGCCGACTTTGAATCTCTTGAATCTCACGCGAAGAATCCAGTCTCTAGGTGCGCCTCGGAACGCCCGGAAGCGGTACCAGCAGGTGAGCGGCTTGCCCAGGGTCTCGGCCGTCAGGGCCGGGCTCGAGACGTCCTCGTAGATCTCCACCGTCTTGTTGCATCGCTCTCGTTCGGCTGCAAAGCACAATTTCGGCTTGACTCTTATCTCGCGCTCGCGTTGCAAAATCGTCCGCGCGTCACGCACGTGCGTGCGTGCGTTTCGTTCCGACTGGCCGATCGACTCGCGAACGAGTCCGTTGCTCGATTTCTCGGGACATCAACGGGTCATATCGAGCTTCGTTCAAATTGTCATTTAGAGCGGAAACTCGTTGGCGAGCGCTCGAAGCAACGACGAGATAATTAATTCGACTGACCTTTCCTCACGGCAGCAGGATTGGGGGTGGCGATGACCAGTAGAGTCCCCAAGGCGATGATTCCGAACCAGCTGAAGCGCAGCTGCTGACTCGGAGCCCGAGCCATCCTGACGGGGCGAAAAGGAGGTGCGACGACGACGACGACTAGTTGAACGCTTGGCTCGTTGAGTCTCGCTGGGGGTGGTAGGGGTGCCGAGCTCGGGTCCGCGCGGCGCACTCGCGGCTCCGCATGACGAGTTCCGTGGCGGCTGCTCGGGAGCCGAGTCGAGGATCAACAGCTGAGCAACTGGCAACGGTCGAGAGGGCGATGCTTGGGAGAGCGAGAGGGGGTGGGCCACTGACGATGCCACTGCAGCTATCCTAGCTCCTCTTGCGCTCGCGTTGACCTACATCGTCGCGTAGGCCTACTCTGCTCCGTTCTGCTGCTGCTGATGCGTGCCGGAGCTCTTGGCCCAGCATGGGAGAGCTTGCGGGCGACGCGACACTCCTTCGCTCCTTCGACTGGGCGAGAAAAAGCGACGAGCGCGAGATAAGGCGTGTGACGTCTTAATTCGTCGTGGGCTGGAGAAGCGCAGCAGCGGGCTTTGCTCCGCGACGACTATAGCTACTGAGCTCGAGATCGTTGGCTCGTAGCGCGCGCGCGCCTGCCTCCAGCTGCTGTAGCTGCTGCTGCTGCTGCTGCTGCTGCTGCGCTCTCTTGCGCTCGTATCGTAGCATCCCCTCGTCGCGTTCGAGCTTTCTCCCACTTTAGTGGCGCGGAGCGGGTCGAAGCTCGCGGCGCCCCTCGTACGTTATTTCCAGTGCAGGAGCCGAAAGCTGCGAGACTTATTCGCTCCTCTGCGGGCCAGCCGCATAGTCCTGCATCGGTTTTTCCTTCGCTCGCTACGAGCTGCTTTTCTTTCGCCGCCGCTATTACGTCGTAGGAGAATCGCACGTGCTCGCAGCTTCTAACGGTGTATGCTCGGTTCGACGACCCGGGCTATATCGAGAGTCCACGTCGATGGACCAAAGCCCGAGCAAACTGCTCGATACAATAATTCCAGCTCGACTCTCTGTCATACGATGCACTCGAGCACGCCTGGGGGATCCCCTGAAACATAATGAGGATGTAGTTGAGAGCCATTGTAGTTCGTAATTTCACTCGAGCGCGCCTGAGAGGGAAAACAAAAAGAGCTTGAGTCGCTGTCTGATCGACAGCCGCACTCTTTGTATCTCGTGCGACTCCAAGGATCATTGAGCTCGGCTAATTATCTGCTATTTTTACACTTGTTGCGGTTCTCTCGATCGATCGCCCATCTCATCCTTTCGAGTCGAGCTTTGCCACTTGGACTTATTTACATTTTACCCTCGGACTAAATATTGCCTTGCCTACGAGCTTTTTATCTGAATTAGCGTCATCTTTTACGCGCTTCTCGCCTTCAAGAGCTACAACTTGTCTGCCTCTCGAGCAGCTCCAGAATAGCTTGCTTTTCCGCCCCCTCTGTTTTTCTCTCGCCTTCCTTTGAACCTGTCAGCGCTCCACATAATGCCTACATCGAGCTACTTGGGATTGCACCGTATTCAGGTCATACACGCGGCGCTGCTTATCGATTTTCCCACTCTCTCTCGAAGCTACTGCGAGGCTTTGCTTTATGAACTTCCATTTCGTTGCGAAGCTCCGGATCTCGTGCTTTTCTCGACCGATCCAACGAATACGCTCATCGTGCGGGCATTTCGACAGCGAGCTTTTCAGGCCCACAAATTATTTCTTATTTCATTTTTACTCTGGCTGTATTGCTACGATTATAACTCTGCTATACTATATTATCTGTAGCATAATCATAATAAAATTTTGACATTCATAAATTAATCATGAAACTTTGATTACCCCAACCATAATTTGTGGGCAACTTGGGAGAAAAAGAAAAATGCACTCGAGGTATGCTCGAATAGATAGATCCTGGGACGAATCGATGAGTTATATTTCCATAAAGAGCGATATTTAATTTCAAGGCTCTCTAACTTAGCCCGTAAGATAATCAATGCCAACGTTTGTTCTCTTAATATTCCTGGTGGAAAAAAACCTATTTCGTAATCATTTTTTAATGCATGTTAGATCTTTTTCTTATGTTTCATGAAAATTTAACTGCTACCAGGGTAAACATGCAATTTTTTAAACACTAAAGAGAAATGTCTAATTGTTTTCAATAATTGATTCATTATAAATGAGCAACTTCTGAACGGTACCATTAAATATTGAAATTTTTCATCTTTATACATTTATTGCACGGGAAATAAGTTTCTTGATAGTAGCATTTAGTTGTTGAATACTAGTGCGCTAGTTTTCGGACATCAGTGATTTATGTTATCATTTTTATGTTTTTTTTTTTTAATTTTAAATACAGGCATCCCTCGTTATACGCGGTAGTTACATTCCAAAAAAGTACCGCATACAGTGAAACCTGCGTATAACGAGGGAAAAGCGGATGGTTACACGATCAGTGTTATTTATTGAATACACCAATATAAAATTTTACAGAGGTTTCAGGTTTATTTAATCTCATCTACTAATCGTTATGTGCTTAGAGGCATTACTAGATCTAAGATTTCCCAAGCTTAGAAATCATCGAATCCTTCACCTGTTCGACCTTTTCGACCGTCTTGAACCGCGTATAAGGTAAACTTATCCGCGTATAACGAGGAACGCCTGTACTTCAATTCTCAATTATGTGAATCATAGTTTAAGCCTTCGTATTTCTAAAAAACTAAAATGCTGATTTTTCTCATGTTTTAATCAATTACAAAAGGTTGAATCATGATCTTTACACAAAATTGCACCGAGTTGCCACTTTTTTACCATATCTAGTACCAGATCTAGAGCTTGAATCATGTCTCGAGTGATATTTTCACCTGGGTTAGTCAATCATTTGCAGTATGATGAATATATTTTATTATTAAAAAAGATTATACAGCTTGTTTTAAATATGAGTTCAAAACACCATCTTGTCCCCTTCAACTAAAGAAAATTTTTAGGAAAACTAATAGAAATCGTTTTGAACCATAGTAAAAAAATTTTTAAAGTATAATTTTCTATAGGCTTTTTTTTACAGTAGTCGCTACTGATAACTTTACTAATTTGCCGTGGATCGATGTAGTGACTGTAACGATTCATAGATTTCTTTGACACTTACCATTTTTTTCGATTAGATTTTTAAATTTTATTAAAATTATAAATTATAATGGATATTCGTATTCACAGAGACGTGCAGCAATGTATGCAATTGCGGTGAACATTGTGTCGTATTATAACTGTGATAAAAGAAGAGAGCATGGAAAGTTCATAAATGTTATTATATGTTTAGATATTATAAAATTATACCTTAAAATGTAAAATCATTACGGCGATTTCTTGAAAAAAAATATATTTCTTCAAATCATAATGTTAAAAAAAAGAGATGATAGAATAATTTTAAATCTACCGCCCCTATTCAGGTTTGGTACTTTTTAGTTTGTATGTGCGACACTTCGCTCATCAGCGCACCAATTTCACGTCAGCGCACCGACCAGACCACGTGCGATTTGCCAAAGCTTTTTATACAAAGTCAAAAGTAAAACAACAAATTTTTTTATTTACCATGTCTGCATCACAAGTAACATCGGTTAAAGGTAAACCGAAATCTGGAAGAGTTTGGAAGAGCTCGAAACAGAGGTAAAATATTTTTCCAAGTACTTTTATATTTACTAAAACGTTTAATAAGACCATTTGATTTTGATCTCAAGTCTTTAATTTATAAATAAACACACCATGTCAAAAATAGATTTCATATTCATATTACATCTTAAAATAGCTAGTAAATAAATTAATAAAATCAATTTTTTCTTAGATTTTCTTCAATAAAAAAGACACCTGCTATTCATGTATCATTTGAAAAAAGACAGAGATTAAAAGAAGAAAGAAAGAAATGTATGGAACTCTCAAATGAAATAAAACAACAGAAAGCAGCTGAGAAGGAAGCCAAAAAAGAAAGAAGACGAGAAAACATACGGAGAACACAAGAAAATGAAAAGAAGGCAGAAGTTGTTCAAGTGGTAAGCATCGTCAATCTTTAACAATTATTTTTTTTTTTAACTTCTATAATTCATAATGTGAATTTTTAGATTTCAAATCCAGCCAAAATAAAGAGGATGAAAAAGAAGCAGTTAAGAAACATCGTAAAACGAGATACAACTAAAGTGGAAAAATAACTTTTATTTAGTTTAAAGTAGCTTTTAGTTAATGTTGTATGTTAAGTTTTATGATTTATTAAAAAGAAATGTGTCTATAAAAGATATGTTAAGTTAAAACAAAATATTTTACAATAATATAAAAATCAAAATTTAACTTCAAAAAAATACACGCAAAATGTAATTTAAGCAATTATATTTTCATACACTATCACATCCACATAATGGTAATTATTTCAATCAACCAAATAACCAGATTCAAAGTGTTAAATATTTCTCTGATTTCATCTAATTTTTTAATAATTTTATGAGGGGCCTTCAAATCTATTTTATATCAAAATTTTAAGAATATAAATTATTTCTTATACTACTTAGATAAATTATTTTAATTTACTCATTCATATGATAGATTCATAATGATCATTTCCTAATTCCTGTATTATTTTATCAATGTTTCCATCATAAGCTTGTGATTCCTCAAAGACTGTCATCTGTACTCCAAGATCTGTGTTATGATTTTGTTGTATTTCATAGTATGTAAACATTATTATTGTAGGATGAATTGAGGTGAGGTACTGCGTTTCTTTTTAATTAAGATATATAACAAACTTTTCTATTTAATATCACTTTTTATTTGCATTTGAAAATCCTAATCACGCGCTTTAACCTAAACATTCTCTCTTTCTTTCACTACCTCTCTTTCTATTATTTTATTTTTACACATAATTTTGTTTAAAGTGTTTTATTGTATCTGAAACTATTTACCTGCTAAGAATGAACTTTCACTGTATACAAACTTTTGTTTTAAATGTAACCCTCAGTTATGTGAATAGTATTAACGAAGCGACGATAAGAAAGGTGACATTTCAACAAATAATAAAAATCATACACATTCATATATAATAAATGCATACATGCATGTTTATATATACATATGTATATGTACTAAATAAATGAGTACGAAACAATGTTTATGAAAAGCAAAAAACAGTTGTTCTAATACAATTTAACAATTTTTAAAGTACATACATCATACATATATATACAGTTATGAGTACATTTTTATGCATGAAATTAATTATTAATATTAAGCAATATTTAAAAAAGGCAGGAAAACAGTTGTTGTTCTGATACATTTCTTTTGTTTTTAGTAATAACAAAATTTCTTAAAAATTAATATAGTTTCTACATATATTTTTCATCTCCATGCATCGAGCATTTGAAACATACTAAAATGTTACTTTTTCATTGAACCAAAAACTACCCTTTGATGCCTGTGTAGTTTACATTATATACCTGTTTTATGACAATCACACAGTTCTTTTTTCATGTAGAGAATAGAGAAATTCTTCTTTCACTTTTTTTCCCAGACTTTTAAATCTTAGTATGTATTTTGTCACTAACTAAAACAAAACAAGTACTTTCCATTAAAATATTGGTTAGTGTAGTTGTTCTCCAAGAATCCATCCAATGGTTGAATTAAATAAATCTTTATTTTTAAAAACAGATTAATTCCAGCCCATTTTTGTCAATCATAAACATATCTAGTTATTGGGTCATTTTTTATACTACTCTTTTTTAATTCTTGATTCAAAGATATACTGTTCCACTGTCAGTAAAATTTGTAATATCTTCCAAAAAAAGTTTTTCCTAGCAAATATCATGTGTTTACAAAGTAAATTAAAAATGAAAACTCACAAAAATGTTTCAAAATATTAAAATAATTTTAATTTTGTAAAAAAATACTTATTTTTTGGCTAGGTGCATGAATTTTTTTGACAGTCGTAGTAGAGTAAAACTAAGTTTCAATGAAAGTGGTGAGTGCAACGAAAAAATATCGAATACAAAACTGTACATAATTTAGAATAATTCAATGATTGACTAGCTGCTTTTATAATTACAAATTTGTGGTAGCAGCTGAAATGTAACAGAAAAATGAAACTTTTCTATTGTGAAAAACAACTACGTACATTGGTTTTCCTAAAATAAATATATTTTCATACCGTTTTACAGCGACAAATTTTATATTTGAAATTAATTGCCACCTATACTCATTTTAGAGATCACACTAAAACTAGTACAGCCAAAAAATGAATGGACCATTTTACAAGCTATAAGAGTCAAACTAATAATTATATTTGTATACATATTATATACATGTTTGAGCGTAGGCAAATATGTATAATTACCTATATACAAAATGTATACGCTCAAAATTAAATCTTTATGATTTCGCGAGAAATTCGTCCACCTTTTGACGTAGTTTTATAACTACCTTAAATTATTAGTGGTTGAGAATTTGGCAACGACAATTGATGTAAGCCTGGTCGAGAGCGCTAACTATGATGGGATTTATAACTACGAAAACATTTAAAGTAACACATGCTTTGCACCTTTAAAATTTTTTAATGCTCTTCACTTTCATGTGTGCGTAGGCGTTTAGCTTGATGTTCTAACGATTCTGGACCTTCATCTATAGCTAGAGCAGCTGGTGAGCCAGGAGAGCTGTCGGGATCTTCGTGTCTACGTTTATTTTCGATTGTGTCCATATAGTTACCACTGCATAATATAATTTCAACATAAAGTAATTTGATTTAGATTATTATTCGATTGTACATCATGATTTGAATTTACCTGTAATTATATGGTGTTTGTACAATAACGGGTGCTGGACTGTATTGACCAACTGGAGACGTGGCACGTTCATCAGATACATTTACAGGTACTGAATATTTTTCTAAAATATTGTATTTAAATTACTAATGTGCAAATAGAATATCCAAAAATAGATATAGGATAGTCTTTAGAATGTTACCATGTGTATCGTTGTTTATGCCATTAGTAGCTGCTGTAACCTGCTGCAATAAGCGAGGTTTATGAATAGGCGGTGGCGGCACATAAGGATGTCCAGGTGAACCAGGTGCTGATTGGCTTGTTAATTGGCCAGCTGGTGATGGTACTGAGCTATCTGGATATGATTCTGGTCCTGGAGATCCCTCTCTACTTAGACAATCAGGAGTCATAATGCCACTAATACCCGCATGAGATGGAGATGCAGGGGCACTTCTATTAAATAAAAAAAAAAATTTTAACTATAAATTTCAGAGTATACATAGAATTAGTTTAATAATTCAAACCCAATCACTTAATAGAATTTGAAAATAAAATGTTGAATGTAAGCATGAACTTGCTACCTCTAACTTCTCCATAACTTTTAAATGAAATTAATAAATATAAATATTTTTATTAATAAAATAACTACTTCAATATCTTCAACAAACCTTGAAGATAATCCAAAAGGTGCTCGAAAACAATTTTGAGATGCTCCGCCTCCCCTTGGTCTTCTACGTCGAAACGATTGTTCAATTAACTTTGTTTCTGACTGAGGATCTATTTTCCAAAAAGAACCTTTGCCAGGCTCGTCTTGACTTCTAGGTACTTTTATAAAGTATCTATTCAAAGACAAGTTATGCCTTATTGAATTTTGCCAGCCCTTATCAGCTGTTCTATAATAAGGATAATGTTTTGTAATATAAGAGTAAATTCCTGACAAAGTCAATTGTTTCTCAGAAGCTGATGCAATAGCTTGTACAATTAGTTGAGCATAAGAGTAAGGTGGCTTGGAATCATCTTTTACAGGACTGTAATGCCCCATGTTGCCGCTACCATTTGCTAAAAAATAAACTAGGTTAATTTTCTAGTAACAATAATAAGCTACATAGCTAAATATCGTTCAGTGATATGAAAATTCAATAGAAAATGACAACACACCATTTTGACCCCCTACGCCTCTATACCGTGCATCACCTGCAGACTCTGGACTTGCCGGTCTACTTGAATTTTGCACAGCATCATGTCTATCTACAATGGAATTGTTATTATCGTTAGCTACAATGGCTGATTTAACTGCCATTAGTAATGCCGGTGATATAGTGCCCTTACCATGTCCTCCTCTTGGACTTGCTGGGCATGAGTTGGCAGCACTAATTGTTCCTGTTGGAGAAGGATACGGACTTCCAAAACTATTTGTTGGAATATGAATACTCAAAGGTTGCAAAGTAGGTTTTGCTCTGGGTGGCGAGGCAGCATGAACAACACCGGATTCATCATCTATAAGAGACTGAAAATTCAGCTTGATTGTGGTACTGGGAAATCGAAACTGACACCTAAATTCAGTAAAAAATGAAGTTGAATGGATTATTCTTGAAGATTACATGTGAAAAAAAAACAAATTTATTTCAATTATTTACCTCTGATTCAATTGAAGAGGAATTTCATTTTTATTTTGAAAAGTTCCATCCACAAATATACCATTTTTACCATTACAAGTAAGATAAAAATTAGGTTGCTCGTAGTTTATCTCCAAATGGTGTCTTGAGATGAAACTAGTATGGCCCATGTTGAGATCCACGCGGCCTTTGCTACTGTTGCGTCCAATGACCACATGATTTTGGCGCATAAAAAAATCTATTTCATTATTAGTTATCCGAGCAATTGGCGTAGCTTTGCTTTCAACCCACTGATTTTTAGTTGGGCTAGCGGAAGCGGAAGATTGTTTGAGAGACAGTAATGCCCAAGCATCACTTTCCTGTGTTCTCTCATAAGCAGATGAGGACATTATTTCTATTGTAGAAAACAGAAAAAAAAAAAAATTAGTGTGAAAAAAGAAATATAATAGAAATATTTTTTATAAAATAAAAAATTAACAAATTGCTTATACTAGCATAAAAAAGTGAATTGAAGTCATCCACAGATTAGAATAAATTGAAAATAGAGAAAAAAGAGATGAAGTGTTTTGAAATATTATTATGTGATTAGGTGATAATTTAAAAAACACAGTGCAGTTTTTTCGTTTTTTTTTTTTTCACAAAATAACTTGGTTATCCTGTTAATGGAATTCAAAGTTTATCTACTAATAAAAAACTGTACATCTTATCCTCACAGCACGCTTCTTTATTATCAAGTTTAAATGTTGTCTAATGCACGCACGTGTTTTTTGTTTGTAGTTTGGTGTGTGTTAGGAATAATACTGACTGTATTAGACTTAAAAGGCCGAATTGACCACCCGTATTTACTTGAAAATATCTAAAAAAAACGATAATATGAGCTTAGAGCAATTTAGAGCACTTCTTTTTCAATTTATGCCCTAGTCGACCGAGAAGAAATAGTTTCTGTTCCATTGATAAACACATGCAAGATCGAGGATTCAAAAATTGAGTTCGTAAACACAAGAAGAGAAAATTTGTACATATTATGTACTATTATGTACACAAGCACTCGTGGAACCAAACTAACCTGATAAACGATTCGCCTTCAAAGTTCACTATCTGTCGCTCGTCAGCTCACTCACACTGCACGCTTACTTTTTGGCTATCTATACTTACTATACTTATAATAATATATATTCCGTACGTAGAAGCACCCTGCATTTCTTGCCTCCAACTGGTGAGAATTGTATATTGTTATGTACAGTGTCTTATATACGCTTTGTGTATAGCTTAGAATCTAGAGTATATCGTATACATATGTGAGAGCGCATGTGTACGTGTGTGTCGGTCGAATTTTATGTTGGTCGTGGCTCGTGGCGCCTTCGGCTCCGTTGCGACTGACGGCTCACGCGACTCGACCAAGTTTTTTCGATAATCAGCATCGCATATAATAGAACGCAGTTAAATTAGATAATATATACTGCACGAACTACAATAAAAAAAAATTAATAAATAAAAATAGAGTTCCCACGAGCTAGAGGTTAAAGCTCCAAATCAAGCCTGAGAACAAGCTATGCCGCCTGCACACATGCACTGCAGATGAGACAGACGTCTCTTAGCTATACAATAATTTTTGCAATATCGTAAGCCTCTTGCGTGGTACGGTTTACGAGGTTGGAACATATCAATCTCATTAATTTTTCTTTATAGATACTTGTAATCACTAGTTTTAAATCAGGAAATCTCAGCTGCACGCACAGCTATACCTGACTGTAATTATTAGTACAGGAAAATGAAAAGTACGCTGCATTGCACAAGTTTGTAAATTTGTCAGCGAATTTTCATCGTGTATATCAATAATAAAAGAAGTAAACAATGGAATACCTGCGTTATTATGTGTGTATCATGTCCATGTATATCGTTACACTGTTGTTTACCTTACGACAGTCGAGAGAGAAACTGTTCGGAATTGCTATATAACAGCTTTATTACTAAATGCTAGCGACTATCTATGTTACATATGTGTGTGTGCGCGTGTGTGTGGTGTGTACACATATAGAACTTTTATGTATATATCTATACATACATCAATAGAGTAGAGAAGAGAGAGAGAGAGAGAGAGAAAGAAAGAGAGCAGACACGCACACCAACGCACCACCAGTCACTGACGAGCGTTGGTTTGTTGGTGGAAGTCTTGTCTCTTGTATTTTGCTGGCACGTCTTCAGTTGTGTTTGTGAACACACGCACTAGATAGCATATGTATTGTGTAAATACATGTACATTTTGCGAGCTCTCGCATTTTGTGTTAACGTACGCGCGAGAGAAGAAAACACAGACTCTATAGACAGCGCGCCAACAACACGTACTCGCCAAAGTATACACAGACACTCGCATACACTGTATTGATGGACTGCGAGAAGAATATGAGAATTAAGAATATCGAGATGTGCGAGCCGCGGGTTTGTAGGTATGTGTTTTGCGCGCTTGGAAGTTGTAAGTCGATGTGATAAAACACGCAGCTTTACGTACACAACATGCACACGAGTAACTCGAGTTTCTATTCGTCGCTAGCCCACTTTTGGAGCGTGTATAATGAACTTTTCACGTAGCCGACTGTTTATATATCTATATAAGCTAACATCGACGTAGATCAGAAAATTGCATGGAGGATTCGAGTTGATTCTCGAGCAGCGATTGGAGTGCTATAGCTAAAAAAACGCGAGACGCCTTCAATTATACACAGCTTAACGAGAGGATTTAGGAGATACAGTCGAACTGCGAGTAGACTGCAACGTGCATGATGAGTTTAATAATAGATTATGAACGAATCGCGATCAAGCTAATGAGATATATAGCATGAGCACAATACACATGTTATAATAAATAAATAAATAAATAAATTAATCGTTATCGGAGCGTCAAGTCGTCGCAGTTTGTACAACAATGATGATAATAATAAAACTGACAAAAAAAAAACAACAACAACAACAACAACAACAACAGAATCGAGAAATGATGAAAGAGAGCTCTAGTTACTCAAGTGCATGCATGCGGGGTACTCTGTAAATGCAGTGTTTGTCGTCGTCGTCGTCGTAACGTGTCTGATAATAACAAACAAACCTGCTGATTGTAACGTAGGTGCGTCGCAACTCTTTAGTTACAGGCCTGCTATATGAATGTGTCGAAAAAGAGCTAGAGTAGCAGCGTAAAAAGTTGTTGTGTGTATATATAACAGAGTTGTTATTGCAGTGGTACATGCGCGAGTATTAAAAGTTACATACCTATGAAAAAGCTTATACTTAAGTCGACCACGTGACGAAGACGACTCTAGTGACGACCATCCGTGTGCAGTCGGTATGGCCGAGCTCTCGCGGCGAGCGCCACAACACGCATACACGTACTCCCGATAATATACGTATGAATTACGGTTTTCGCAGACGTTCGTGGAGTAAACATGCTCGATGCGAGCTCCCTGCTCCGTGAGTCATGTTACATGCAAACAAAGTTTAGCAGGGTTCGATATATTGCAGCATGCGATAATACGAGCTCGACTATTGCACAGTAGTACACACTCATCACCAACTAATGCTATAATGCAGCTGTACGCGGTACGATGTGCATTGCGATTTATCAAGCGAGTGCAAGGGGAAAAAATTAAAGACTATCTCGATCGCGAGAGTCGCTGTTTTTTAAAACTATACACGAGGCTTTGGCTCGTTATAAAAGCATTCAGCGCTCCGTGATTTTGACGGTGGCCGTGTGTATTGTGTGCGTGAGCGTCGCACAAAATGTCAGTGAAATGTTATGCATCAATTCGATGAGTTGAGAGAGAGACATTGATTTTATAAATATTTGTGCCGAGCAAGAGATCAAACAATTACATAGTCGAACTAGTGCGGGTCGCGGCTGAGCTGAATGGGAGAGAGAGAGAGAGAGCGAGAATGAAAGAAGACAGCGAGCGATCAATTATTGATGACGCTCGTCGAGTCCAAGCGAGGTAGGAGGGAGTCGAAGAGAAAAACAATAACAAACGTACGTAAAGATAAATAAACAAGCCAAAGCGCAGCGGCAGCAGCAGCGAGCTCAGCAGACCAGCAGCAGTAGCATAGAACCAGCGCAGGCGCCGACTATCGCGCGGATCGCAAACTCGCAGTCACTGCGGCTCTACGGGACTTGGCTGACTCGGCTTGTATGCGCTTACCGTGAGGCGTGCAGTGCAATCTCTGCTTTGGCTCTGTTATAACTCGATGCAGTGCGTAGGATCGACGATCCTCGCGCCGTTGCAGTTTATGTCGATCGACTGGGGGGCAGCCTTGCGCGGCCGACGCTACCACGCGGGAAGCGTAACACCCGAAACTGAGCACCGAAATTCGACTGTATGGCCGTAAAAATGATGAGGCAACTGCCACGCGATAACACGCACACCCGCCAAGATCGAGTTACTACCGTCGTAATTGCAACGATCGCGAATCTAATTACTCGTGTACATAATTATATAGTGACTTTTGCTTATCTTTCTACAATTCGACGGCTTGGATATAATTTTTTATGTGTTGATTCTGGCACTGCTCGCCGAACGAGCCGCCAGTTAACTCGACAGTCTCGCGGATTACCGGTAACCGATTAAACGCCGTGCTACGTAGCCCGCGCAAGCCTACGCGCCTTATTGCCATTGTCGAGACAAACTTGAGGACACGAACACGATTCGCGACGCTGTCGCTTGTTCTTCGTTATACTTACCTGTAGGCCTCGGCTTTTGGTGAGTGCACGCGCTGCACACGTGGACCCGTCTTATTGTAGGACCCAGTTCCAAGCCCACAATTTTTACTAAAAATCCTACTTAAAATTTAATAAAAAAAATTGTGAGTTTAAATTGACCTTAGGCGCCAAAAAAGGGCCTCCGTTGGCGACCACTATTCAGATCGAGACACTCAGCTTTAAAAAAACAAGTATTTCGTTGGTAAAGCTATAACTGGCTGTTGTTACAGAATCTCCAAAATATTTTTTACTTAAAAATAACAAATAGGCGTTGATCGGATAAAAAAAAGGAAAAAAAGTTGTAAACCAAATTAACTTGCTTTTCAATTCATTTTTGTTATTTTTTCGGCATATTTTAAAAAACGATCGCACACTTGGCTTTACAAGATGAGTTTTTGAAGATCAATTGGCTCGACATTAACGACCAGAAGAAATCAAAACTGTGAAAGTAGTATGAAAGCGAGGTGCTCGCCTCATACCGATACACTTGGGTACTTTGCTGTCGTCTTTCATTACATGCAATCAGGCCGACGGCTTTGGCGTACGATCTTACTTGCTGCATAACGTGACCATCCACAGCACCCTCTCAGCAAAAGTGGGCAGCTGAATTAGAAAAATATAGTTTTCTAGTCCACAAGAAAATAAAATATCGTGACAGAATTTGTTCTTGTAAATTATTCAAGATATTAATATAATAGAATTTTATAATTTTTATTATAATAAAGTATATTTATTATAAGGAAGAATTTATTACAGTGAAAGAGTTGATGTTTACATACGTAAGCTGCAAAAAGATTAAGTTAGTAATCAAGAGCGTAAAGAATCAAGCGACGAAGATTAATCGTCCAATTGACAGAGGCATGCAACACCTCGATCGATCCAATGCGACTGATCTCGGTCGGTCGCAAACAGTATCATCATGACGAAGTTGGAAGAGTGGCCCGTGGTAGCCAGAACGCCGCGCCTCTCGCTCGTCTTGTAGAGCGGCGAGTGATAGACTTGGCCGTGGACGATGTCGACTTTGCGGGCGACCTTCAACCATATGACCGGCACGACGTCGAACATGATTTTGGGCCAGGACTCGGCCAGCAGCATGGCTTGGCGATCCCAGCGGGCAGCCTGGAGAAACAAGCCCGCCACGTAGACGCCGTGCTCGGGAAGCTGCTCGACGTCGCTGGGCTTGTCGAACCTGCGTTTGGTCCAATCGCTCGTTACAATCGTTACAAAGGGACATGTAATATGTAATATGTATAAGGTCAAGTCACCTCGACACCTCGAACTCGAAATCCAAATGATCGATCGGTATGGCGTGTTTGCGGGCGTAATTCTGCAAAAGCCCGGTGAGAAAAGACTGGGTGAAGTAAAAGCCCGACATCCAGAAGACCATGGGCACGTCGTGGTCGATCCAGTCCTGAAGAAAAGCTATCCTCTGCAGCAGATCGTTGATGTAGCTGTTCATGGGCTTGAGCGAGGGGTAGGACTTTTTGAGCCAAGCCTGGGGCACTTTGCCGATGCACATGCTGGCGTAAATTTCCTCGAGGCTCTCAGACATGATTATGTAGCCCTTGATGGCCTTGCGCACGTTGACGAGGCTGCTCTTGATGACCTCGGTGAGCTGATTGAAGCGGATGACCTCCTGGCGCAGCACCGTGTTCATGCTGTTCTCGTAGAGCACCGGGTACTTGGCCTCGACGTAGGCCGTGTCGAACTGCTCGGGTAGCTTATCCAGTATGTCGGCCGCCAGCTCCAGCACCAGACTTTCCGTGCTCTTTTCGCCCTCTGCTTTGCCAGCTGCGATTTACGTATGTAAGATTAGCAATCTTTGTCGCTGTACATCGTTGTCTCGCGGCGCGCTCGCTTACCGAGTCGGAACTGCGTGAGCGAGACGCCGGACAGCAGCTGCATGGACTCGCGGTTGTCCTTGGTGATGTCGGCGTTGTCGTGCAGGCCGAACACCTCGGGCCTCTGGCTGACGGGCAGGCTCTTGATGTACTCGATGCAGCCCCGATGGTCGTTGTTCTCGGGCAAGTGGTAGTCGCCGCTCGGCGAGAACGAGTAGTCGTGGCGCTCGACCACCCCGGGATTCACGTAGCGCAGCAGCAGCGAGTTGAGCAGGCGCCTGTCCTTGTCGTCGGTCACTCGGCCGCCGTAGTTGCACTCGCCGATCAAGTAGAGCAGCGCGTCGTACGGCACCTGCTCGTACTCGTTCAGGAACATCTGCAGCTGCATCAGGCTGATGCGCAGATCCGACTCGTTGAACTCGTAGGGTATGTTCCAGCCGAGCGGGCCGAAGTTGCGCCGCTCTTGCACCACCCCGTGGAAGAGGCAGAGCGCGAACAGCAGCTTGCGCCACTCCATGAGCTTCGAGCAGCCCTGCCCAAACGCAACCAACGATTATAAATGTAAAAGAGAAATAGCCGGCTACTCGACTCACGTTGTAAAAACTCGTCTCGGAGATGGGATCGCTCGCGTAACTGCGCATGAGATTGTTGCGCAGGCCTTTGGGCGCCTCGTTCGTCATCTTCACGGCATTTTGTAGAATGGAGACGGGGAAGATCTTGGAGGGGTAGCTGGTCAGCCAGAGCCGAAACGACGAGTGCGTGTTGGCCGGCGTGATGACCTCGTCGCAGATTCGATCGAGCTCCCGCATCCAGGACTCGGCCAGGTGACAGTTCTGCAAGACCAGCCACTCGCCCGTCTCGATGGCGCGATTGATGGCTTCGCTGGCGATCGGACCTTGGCCCTGGCCCAGCGATATCGACTTCAAGCTCTTGGTCGCTATTCCCAGGTCGTTGGCGAACTTGATCAAGCTCGCCATCGGGTCGGAGCCTGAGGACAATTTGCCGAATGAGCGCCATCCTGTAATACGCTGCTATACGCACCTGGCGACAGCACGAAAATCAACGGGGTCACGTTGTTGGAGTCGTTGTAGGAGTCGCGCAACTCGAACGGCGGTGGCTCGACGAAGGTCTGGCCCATTCGCTGCACCACGAACGAGCGTATCGACGGTACGAGCTTGTCCGGCCTGATGCAGCGCAAAATCACCAGTCGTTCCAAGCTCTCCTCGGTGTGCGCGTCGAAGGGCTCGGGGAGCGGCCTATCTTGCGGATTCGGCAGATCGTAGAAGCTCTTCCACTCGTTGATGCTCTCGACGAAGGACTCCATGAGATTTTCCAGACCGACGAGGCCGCTGGCACGGGTGATTTCGGCCCAGGCCTTGTCCGACAGCCAGCTCGGATCCGGGTTCGGATACGGGTTGTCCAACGCCACTCCGCCCGTCAGCAAAAAGCTCCAAAGATCCTCTCTGAGAGAATCGCTTCCTGCCGAACAAATTCATTCAATTCGAGCTATAAGCTATAAGAGCAGTAAGCTACCTCTCAAAATGCCGACGCAGAGCACGAGGGAAAAGATGAGCTTGTCTTTTTCGAAGAGCGAGCGACAGACGTTGCGATAGATGGTGGCGGTGAAGAGCTCGTTGAGAGTGGCGATGCGAGCCTCGAGATCCGACGAGGTCGCTGGCTGCTCTTTTTGGGCCTTGCTCACTATGGTCACGGTGAAGAGGCGCATGAACCACGGCAGCGAGTACTGGTACATGGGGTCGATGTTGTCCAGCTCGGAAATGCAGAAGAACAGCACGGAGGCGTGGCGCGACACCGGCTTGTAGCCGTTGCGAGCTCGATCGATGTCGAGGGCCGTCTCCGCGGCCACCTCTTGCTTCGCCCTGATGTCCTCCGACAGGATCTTGGACGAGGACAGCACCTTGATGGCCGTCTCGTCCTCGAGTATGTTGCCCTCCGAGCTCGACAGTATCTCCAGTATCTTGTCCTCGATCTCCTTGAGGATGCGCTTGTTGTTGGCGCTCTCGACGATCAGCTGGTTCTTCTTCTCCTCGAAGACGGGCAGCTCCTTGGCCACGACTATGCCGAGCAGCTGGTCCTCCAAGCCCTGAGGCGTTATCGTGAAGTTCAGCAGGCTGACTTTGACGGCGAGCTCCGGCAAGTAGTGCGGGTTGCGCAGCCTCGTCGTCACGTACAGCCGAAAGTCTTTGTTGTAGTCGAGCACGTTCTCGGCGAACTTGATGCAGAGCACGCCGCGCTGACTGAACACGCTCTTCAGCAGCACCGGCTCCAGGATCGCGTCTATCTCTTCGAGGATGTTCTCCAGCAGCACAGGCAAGCCCAGCTGCAGAGCGCTCTCGATCACCTTCACGTAGTTCGCGTCCGACAGCTTGATTATCCGCAATCCGAACTCCTTCTCCATGTTTTTCACCCATTTGTTGGCTTGGCCTTGTGGGTCGATCATCAGGGGCCAGCGATCGGCGCACTTTACGATGATGCCGTTTTCCACCGAAAACTTGTCAGCGGGAAGACCGTGAATAAGCCACGAGCGTACTTTCAACAAGGGCATAATAGAAAACATTGTACATTGAGCCATGGCAAAAAGTTTCAACGAGTTTATACATGATTTCACGATGAGAAAAAAAGTATTTGTTGCTGCTGTGTCAAAAAATTTCAATTTATATCTATATATGTAAATATATAGTCGATCCTTGTAAACGGAAAGCACTGCGAGGCACGTGTGCATAAAAAGAAGATCGAAAAAGTAAAAAAAAAATAGTAAACGAAAATAGAATGGTGTTAAAAACGTGGAATAAACGTCGAATGAACGATCAAAGCGACGAAACAAGAATGTCGAAATAAAGAAATAGGTTGAGATTCGTACCTGCCACCGGATCTCCCAGCGTATCGTAGAGACTAAAAGGGGGTGGCGAGCAAGGCAGTTGGACTCGGGCACAGGCCTTGTGCCAGTCCTCGACGAGAGAGTTGCGATAGAGCACGGTGAAAGCGCCGAGGTAGGCCACGACCCCCGAGGCCAGCAGTATGTCGCCGATGACGTTGTCGAGGCTGGCGCCGAGGGCCGCCGCGGTCTCGCTCCAGCGAGTCTTTTCTCCGCCGAGGCCACTGAGCAGCTTCTCGGCGCGCTCGAGCTTCTGAATGCAGAGCTCGATCTGGTCCTCGAGCTTCTTCTTTTCGCGCATGCACTCGGCGAACTCGTCGTTGAGCTGCTGGAGCTTGTCGGTGACCTCTTGGAGAAGGGCCCGCTTGGCGTTGAGCGTCTCCATCTGACTGGCGAGCTCGGCCTCGGCCTCGGCCAGCATGGCCTTCTTGGGCGCGACGACCTTGATGACGCGATCGTAGACCTCCATGGCGCGCACCCACTTGCAGAGGCCCTCGCAGGCCGTCGAGACCTTCTTGATGACCTCGGGCTGGAAGCTGCGGTCGTTCATGAACTTGGCCCGGATGCGCTTCATGTTGGCCGGCGGTATGTTGTCCTTGTCGAAGTACTTGAGGCTCTCGAGGAACTTGATGTCGCCGAGCATGCGCACCGAGGGCGGCCAGTAGTCGTCGAGGAGGCCGCCGCCGCGCGGGTCCGGCACGCGGTCCGGCTTCACGCCCTTGAGCACGCAGACCGACTCCATGACGAGGCGCACCCCCGAGGGCGGATTCTTCATGGACTTGACGATGGTGATGTCGGCCGGCTTGAGGGTGTCGAGGGCGGCCAGGGCGGCCTCGAGGGCCGGCGTCGCCTCGGCCAGGTCGCTCTCGCAGTCGTCCTTGATGGCCTGGGCCGCGGCGGCCGCCTCGTTGGCCAGGGCCTCGTCCGCGGCCACGACCTCCTTCTTGGCCTCGACGCTCACCGTGTCCTGCTCGATCTTGATCATGAGCTTGTCGCTGAGCTGCGACTGGGCGACGAGGCGCGGCTGCAGCGCCGTCAGCTCGTCCTGCATCACGGCCACCTGGCCCGCGGCGAAGTCGAGCTTCTCCAGGCCGAGCTCGTAGCGGGCCTGCTGGTGGCGGATGTCGCCGAGCTTCTGGCCGTGAAACTTCTGCAGGCAGCGTATGAGCTCGAGGTAGCTCGTCGGCGTCACGTAGTTGCGCCGCTGCTGCTCCAGCCAGTAGAGCTCGCTGGCCTGCTGGACGCTCAGGTGGAACAGCTGGCAGAGGCCGACGCAGCTCGAGCGCGTCTCCTCGTCGATCTCCAGGGCTCGGAGGAAGCGCTTGGCCACGCGCTCCAGCGCCTCCTCGGGCCACGCGTCGTACCAGTCGATCGTGCAGCAGTTCACCAGCGACGGGAACATGCGCAGCCGCGTCCGGAAGGCGTCGCCGATCGGCGACATGCACAGCACGATGTGCAGGCTCGCGCGCACCCGCTCCGTGAACAGGCCGTAGAGGGCCACCGGACTGGTCTCGGTGGCGCCGCCTTTGCCCGTGCGCGCCGCCCCGGCCATCTTCTCCAGGATCTCGGCCCGGTCCTCCGAGCCGAAGAGGTTCGGCACGTCGCCCGTGTTCAGCAGCATGTTCAGGTCCTCGAGGAAGGACTCGTCCTTGATCTGGCCGTCGTTCATGAGGAAGACCGTGGACCTGGCGTCGCCGCCGGCTCGCTTCAGCAGGCTGCGCAGGTCGTCCCGCCACTCGCTCGGCCCGTAATTGCGCGTCATCTCGACGCTCTGCAGGGCAAAGTCGCACATGCTCGTGGCCAAGCGACTGCACGACGTTCGGCCCGATCCGCCCACGCCGCAGAGCATCGCGTGACCGTTGTCCTGCTGGAGGATCCGAGACACCCGAGACACGTGCTCGATCGCGTATTTGAACATCACCAGCGACATTTGACTCTTCGACAGGCTGTTGTACTCCGACAGGTAGTACTCCATTTTCTCCTATTTCATATATTCATATCATTATATCAGCAGCGTCCGTTCGTGAGGCTGAGCGAGGTCGACTTACCTGAAGGTCGTTCATGTCGGAGATCTCGTCGTAAATCTTCGGATCGGCATCTGGCTCCATATAGTTACCGAACAGAAGGCTGCTCATGTGATGGCGCTCCACCTCGCCCTCTTCTCCCTCGGCGATCAAGTGATGCAGTACCTTGGACATGGGTTGGCGCAGATGCTCGTAGCAGGCCTTCTTCACCATTTGAAAGAGATTTTCTCTGTCGTCCGCGTCGATCATCCGATCTTGAAAAACTCGGTAGACCTCGTGGATCCACAATCTGATGAGCTTGTCGCCATCTTTCATGCGCGTGGCCGGAACCAACAAAATCCCGTTGATCACTCGACTGAAGTCGCGCAAGTTGAAGGTGTAGTGACTTTTGCTCGGTATCGGCAAGAAGTTGTCGATGGCTTTTCGGTACACGTCCATCGTTCCGGCTAGGATCATTTTTCCTGCGCGCGACATCGGCCAAATCAATGACGCTTCAGCGAATCGAGCCCCCTCGAGATCTCCGCTAATGAATCAACTTACCCATGCTTGCGATGGTACTGTCGAAACCACGAGCAAAGTGCCATTCGAGAATCGATCCAAATATCCTCGACATGGTTGTGTCGTCGAAGGAATTGATCCCTACGACTTGCAAATGTCGCAAAAATCTCGAGGTAATCTTGTTCGAGGCGCCTCCGGGCGGCAGCATTGACGCGATAAACGACACGTCGACGACCTGCAAAATGCTCGTGTCTTTTGGATCGAACCAATGTCCGTGATCGATCCATTGCCTGAGTAGCTCGACCGGCGGTTGTGCTCCGTACGTTTCCAACTGAGGCATGCTCATGTCGTCCACAAATAGCGCACACCTACACTTTCGTACGTTTCATTTATCATAGTGATCAATTATGAAAAAATACAATTAAAATAATATCACGCGTCTCTGCGAATCTGTAGAAATTGATTTAACTTAAAAATCGTTTTTATTAAGGAGAATTTGTTGTTATTTTTTTCTGTTATGTTTAGTGTGTACGTCTAATCTCTGTAATATTTGTTAGATTATTCTTAATGAATTTACCAAGGCCTCGTTTCTCACAATCGGTTAACTTTTACAATCACTTCGCAATATATATCATATAACGTTGCAGACAATTGTATTTTATACGACTTACTTTTTACCCATTGCTGGTCCATAAACTCCTTTCCTCCGTCGATCCAATTTTGACATAATGATTTCTTGGGCCTGTGCAGCGCTTGTTCGAGCACTAAAGTTCAAGACGTTTTGAATGTATTTATTTTTAGCCAAACCCATCATGTAGTTGAGTATAACGGTGGATTTTCCCGTGCCCGTGGGACCCACAAACAACAAAGGAATATTGTTTTCCAAAAACATGGAGAGAAAGTAATTTTGAAGGGAGGACTCGTTTGTTTGGATGATTAGATCACTGATTTTCGTAGCAGCCGGCAGAGGTGCCTGGACAGCAGATAAAATGATAATAGACATGATGTAATTAAGTTTTCCACGCGGATAGCAATGAAACAACGAAATACCTGAGTCATGGTATCCATCCAAGATATCCAAGTGCCGTTGTTTTTCTTATCGTAAACCCAATCAAAAATGGAGCCTCTATCCGGTATTAGCTGTTGCTTGGTTAATTTGAAAATTTTCGGTCTTGGGTGGTCCTCGTTGTTGCCCAATAACAATTGCCTCAAAAAGCCGTCCATGAGCTTTTTACTGTCGGCGACCAAAGTCGAGCAAAAGCCCCAGATCAAGCTAAAGAGTAGAGTGCACTGCAGCCACAGTGTGCTAACTTGAGATTCGTTCGCCATGAGCAGGCTGAATAAGTTTTTGAAGGACTGCAAAGAGAAAAAGCAGAGCGACAGGTGAGAAGAGCGATGGTGGAAAGGTGAGTCAAATGCTCTCATGGTGTGATGCGCACCACGAACATGTGGGACTCGCTCATATCGATGAAAGTACGGCAGTGCTTCTTGATGAAGGCCAAGGTGGGTGGCAGCAGCCAAAACACCAGATCGTTGACGAGTTCCAACTGCTCGGCGAGCAGCTTCTGGCGCAGCTCGTTCTTGTAAGATTCGAAAAAGGCCGTCCAGCCGAGCTGGGACGGTTCCATGTAGATCATGCCGCATCTGCTGACGGTGGCGGGCGAGGCGTGCTCCAGATCGGCCGGCTCGAACATCATGTTCATCTTGGAGCTCATCTGAATGATTTCGCCGGACATGAGGCAGAGCTTTTTGTTATCGTCGAGAACGGTGTTCATGTTTTCGATCCAGACGGCGTCGACGGGCCCGTCGAAGACGATCCACTTGCGCTCGAAGGACGTCGACTGGGCAAACTCCCGGAACGTGTTGGCCAGTACGCCGTCGTTCCATTCGTGCGAGACCGGATCGAAGCTTCCGTAAAGCTGGCCGAGGGTCATGGCTTTGGGGTTGATGATACGAAAGGCGACTCTCATTTCCTTGATGGTGGCCCCTCTGGTGCTCGACAGCTCGGTCAGGGCGTCGGCCAAGGCTTGATAGGCTTTGGTTTTGCCGGAGAGCGGCTCGCCGACCACCATCAAGCCGTGCCTCACGAGTATCATCTCGTAAATTTGCATTATCTTGCCGACGTACCAGGGCGTCGCCTGTAGATTGCGATTAACCAGCTGAACCTTGACCAGTTTTAAAAGCTCGTCCCGATCAGGACTGGGTAAATCTGTGCCTGGGAACAAGTCCGTGTAGATCCCTTCGAACAGCGGAAGATCCTGAGCCAAGAACTTGGGTAAATTCACGTCGACGATGGCCCTGAGTACAAGGGTCGACTCGTTGTCGGTCGGATACTTGAGCTTGAGATTGCCAGCGGCCACGAGCACGGTCTTGACAGCCCTCATGCCGTAATCGTAGTGGCTCTGGGAGCTGAAAGAACGATCGATGACACGAGGTCAGTAGGAGCTCTATTGTCTGGCAACAAAAGCGCCTCTATACCTGAGTTGCTCCGAGCAGAGTTTGTAAGTGTGAACGATCTTTTCGGCGAGGGGCCGAGCATCGACGAAGCCGTAAGAGTAGAGAGTGATTTCGCCGATCATGCCGTAGTCCGGCACCATCATGGCGCAGGTCCGGAACAGAGCTTTGAGATTGTCCGGTAGCTCTTGGCGACCGGCATAGCCGGGATTCATGGTAATGATGACGTTGCAAGTTGGATTGAGCTTGAGCTCGGTGCCTTCGAACATGAATTTTTCCAGTTTCAGTCCAACGGCCATCTGTCGAAATGGATTAATCGTGAAACGAACGACGAGGAAAAGAAAAAAAACAAGAAGCAAGTTACCTGAATCGAGAGAATTTGCTGGGCTATGACGGAGAGCACCTCGAGCTCGATACGATTGAACTCGTCGAAGCAGGCCCAGGCACCGGCTTGAGCGACGCCCTTGAAGAACTTGCCCATGGCGGCAAAGTCGAGGCCCTCGGAGCAGTTGAAAACGACGCACTGCTTGGCGAGGGCCTTGGCCAGATCCTTGGAAGTCTCGGTCTTGCCGGTGCCGGCGGGCCCCTCGGGGGCGCCGCCCAGATTGAGCTTGAGCGCGCCCATGAGGGTGCGGTAGCACCGGTCGGTCAGCGGGGTAATGACGAGGCGCGGACTGTTGCCGAGGTACTCGAAGCCGTACTCGACGTCGGTCGTGATCATGGAGACGGTGACGCTGCCCTCGAGCCAGTAGTAGCGCAGCTGGGCGATCCAGTCGAAGTCGGTGACCCGGGCCACGGCCTTGTCGACGAGCATCTTGACGACGTCGCGGGCGTGCACGTCGATGACGATGAGCGCGTTGAGGGTGATGCGCGCCCCGGGCTCGAGCTTGCCCTTGACCAGGGCCACGGTCTTGTCGATCTGCCGGGCGCACTTGGCCAGGTAGGCCTTGGTCGAGGCCTCCTCGAAGGACTCGCATACCTCGCTGGTCCAGTGCACCTGGCTGGCGCAGAGCACCAGCTGGCCCGGCCACACTAAAAGCCAGTCCTCGCGCACCGCGCTGAAGTACGCTATCACGGCGTCCTGGGCGATGTCGCGCAGCGACGTCTTCATGAGCTCCTCGACCTGCGACAGCCAGCGCTCGACCATGCCCTTGGCGTCGGCCGGGTAGATCTTGCCGCTGAAGGGGACGTACTCGTCCTCCTCGGAGAGCATGCCGACGATCTCGTCCTCCTTGAAGAAGCGCAGACTCTTGATGCCCTCGAAGCACTTTTTCAGGTGGGGCTGGACGCGCTGCGGGTCCTTGGTCTCCGACAGGATCTCCAGCAGCTCGTCGTTCGACAGGAAGAAGAAGCGCGGGAAGAAGAGGCGCTTCTTCTCCAGGTAGTCGTTGAGGCCCTTCTGTATGAGCTCGAGGAGGGCGTTGCACTGGCGAAAGTCGGCCAGCATGTTGGGCAAGTCGGTGGCCGGCAGGACGCGCGGCTCCTTCGCCACGAAGTCCATGGTGTCGCGCCAGATCCGGTCGACCTTGCGGAAGTTCTTGGCCTCGTTGGGCATCTGGCGCATTATGTCCTCGCTGCCGAAGATCGGCTCGAGGTACATCCAGGTGGCCTGGCAGGAGAGCCACTGGTCGACGATGTCCTGCATCGAGATGAGCTTGTCCTCCCAGCTCTGCATGTCGGCCTCGAAGGCCTTGACGAAGGGCGAGCCGCGCATCGTCTGGGCCTTGAGTATGTGCTCGTCGAGCAGCAGCTGGATGTCGTCGCAGCCGGCCAGCACGCTGACCCCGGACTCGCGGTAGGCCAGCAGCTCGAACCTCACCTCCTGCCACTCTTGCTGCATGTGGCGCAGGCTCTGCTCGAGGCTGTACTCCTTGGAGGCGGCGGCGCTCACGTCCTCGAGGCGCTCCACGTGCTGCAGCAGGCCGGCCTCGAGCATGTCGGCGAGGCTGGCGGCCCGGCCGGCGCTCACGTCCCGGCTGGCCAGCTCGCCGATGCGCTGCCAGTGGCGCGCCTGCAGGCCCGAGTTGCTCAGGGCCGAGAGCAGCGCCAGGTACTGGCGGAACTTGTCCACCTTGGCCCGGGCCATCTCGGCGATGCGGCGCGCCTGCGGCATGTCGGTCAGCGAGCGCGACAGCTTGTACAGGGCCTTCCAGGTGGCGTCGCTCTGCTCGCGCACCGCCTCGGCGTCGAGCTCGCCCAGCGGCCCGAACATCCACTGCTCGTAGCTCAGGTGGAACTGCAGCACCGTGTGCCACAGCTGGTCGAACGTGTTGACCGTGGCGGACATGGCCGGCAGACCGAGGTACGGGCTCACCTCCAGGTCCAGCAGCGACTCCTCCGTATTGATGTCCTCGGCCTCTCGCTCCATCTCGCGCATCTCTGCGGCGCATCATCTCGATCGCTATTATCTTTATCTCGAGTCTAGGCAAATTGGAGGTATGTACGCACCTTTGGCGATGAGCTCGACGGCAGCCACGGCGTCCAACATCTCGTCCATGGTGACGACGGGCGGGTCGCGCTTCTTGAACTGCTCGATCTTGGCCTGCATCGCGAGGATCTTGTCGTCGAAGGCCAAGCGGCGCTGCTTGAGCACGCCCTCGACAAAGTCCTTGCGCGAGTTGAGCCGAGTCGAGGCGAGCTCCATTATGGCCTCCATCTCGCGGGGCCAGGTGAGACTGCGCGTGTTCAGCTGGATGTCCTCGGCCAGCAGATCGGCCCGGTGCTCGGCCAGAAACAGCGTCAGCTCGATCGTGCGCGACAGCTTGCCCCGCAGGATGAACATGGTCGAGTCGCGGCTCTCCAGCAGGTAATTGTACAGCTCGACCACGTCGCGCGTCATCTCCGGCATTCCTGCGACCAGCGACCATTAAGTTGCAATTTATCCAATTGCTATAGGCCGTTTATAAAATAGCTACCGGATATGCGCTCGGCTATCTCGTCGAAGCTGGCACAGAGCTCCCTGTTGTTTTGGCGGACCTGATCCAGGAAGAAGCCGCAGACCCTCGATCGCAGATCGTGCAGCTCCCTGCGCAGCTGCTCGTTCAGACCGCTGCAGTCCAGCTCGATCATGTTCAAGGGTATCTGCGAACAAATGTAGCTCGTTCTATGGAGCTGCTCTATGCCAGTCTACCTACTACGTACCTTGTCGCGGAGCACAAAGACCCGCTGGCGAAGGGCGTCGTAGGCCTCGATCTTCTGGCCGTACTCGCGCATCGTGGGGCTCGGCTGGCTCACGAGAAAGGCCTCGAGGTCGGCTCGGGCCGAGCCATCCAGCAGGTACTCGTACTCCTCGTAGTGGCGAAGATAGAGCTGGGGCCCGGGCTCGTTGGCCAGTACACGCTCCAGGGCCCGCTCGATTATGGCCTTGACGTCCTCCTCGCCGCGCTCGATCGCGAACAGGTACCTTCTCTCCCTGATCTCGGGGAAGAGGACGTTCTCGATGCACGGGATCAGGGAGGCCACCTTCACCATGGCGTCGAAGCACTTGGACAGGTTGTCGTACATCTGGCGCACGCTCGGCCGGCACTCGAGCGCTACGCCGCCACCCCCGTCGTCGTCGTCGTCGCGCTTCGACCAATCGGCGTCCAATCTCACGAACGGGATCCTGTTGAAGCTGAGATCTCGATAAGGTGGCTCAAAGTCGTTGCCGTGGCGGTAGCGGTCGAAGAATCGCTCAAACTGCTCGATCGAGTCGACGAGCATGTGGCGAAGCTGCCTCGACAGGAGCGAGTCGACGCTGCGAAAGTAGCGCCGCAGCAGGAGAGTCGAGGCGCCGGGCGTCGCGTCGACGAGGCCGCTCCAGGCCTGCTTGCGCTCCAGGAAGAGCTCGGCCACTTGGGCCAGCCAGCCGTCGACGAGCCTCGACCTGGCGGCCCGGCAGGATCGCGCGACCCTCTCGTCGATCTCCGAGGCCGGGATCGGCAGCGGCCCGATCGCCTCCGGCCGGAGTAGCGCCTCGTAGCGATACTCGTCGTTCCAGATGCGCTCGATGGCTCGGTTGATCTCGTTGCCGATGAACAGGTCGTGATGCATCGAGTGCTCGGCCTGGACTCGGCTTTGGTGCCAGGGCACCGGGGCTCGGATCACTCGGCGTCGATGCGCACCGGCCGACAGCACCAGCGCGGCCGCGTCCTCGCCCAGACTCAGCAGCTTCCTTTGCAGCGGGTCCAGGAGGATGCGATCGATCGACAGGTTGCGCAGGCTCACCTCGTAATCCTCCGAGATCTCGGCCTTGAGTTTTGCCAGTAGTTTTTTGTAGCTGTCGATCACGCGCATCGATTAGGAATTATTTTTCTGCCCGCGTCTTTATTACAGAGTCTATATCGTAATAATTTCATACTCGAATCTTCGACGCATCTTGGCGGAGAGGCGCTTCTCCGCCGCAACGAGGTGATGATGCGGATAGGGCTCGATCGGCAGTTGGCAGCAGCGGCGCATCTTGTCCACGATCTCGACCGTCTCGGGCTCGACGATGATCGAGCTCGCTCGCAGTCGGCTCTCCTCCTCCTCGCGCTCCATCTCCAGCAACTGCTCGTCCACGCTCTTGGGCTCGTCGGCCTCCCTCCAGGCGAGCAGCGGCGGCTCCTCTTCCTTTCTGCTGACCCTCGAACTCGGCGCGCTGCATCCCGTTTTCGGCGAGTCTTTCGCCGAACGTTCCGTTCGCCTCTTCAACTGGCTCAAGGTGATGACGTTCGGTGGATAACTGGCCATACTAGCCAGCTCGATCTCGCGCAGTCGGGCGTCCCTTTCCTCCTTTTCCCGCATTTGCTTGATCGGCGGATAGGCGAGCTCGCCATTGCGGTCGAATATTTGCGGCTTGCGGCAAGGGTGCGCCGTGCGCGACGAATCGCCGCTGCCACCGAACTTGAGGCGCAGTCGCTCGGCCTGGTAGATCGCGTCCGTGGCACTGGTGTAGATGCAGCCCTGGCCCGCCGAGGCACCGAGTCTCGGGCATTTTTCGCCTTGCTGCATGGCCTTCGGGCTTCGTTCGTCCGCGATTTTGCAGCCTGACGCACGCTGGCCCCAGCAGACTACGTCGGCTTTTTGTATACATACGTGAGCACGCGAAACTCGCTCGAAAGCATCCTCGCTGCTGGCATGGTAACGCGATCGATACTTCTCCGGCCCCAAATTGCATCTCTGCCACGTGCGCCTTGTTTATACTTGAATCTAACTTTCTAATACCTCACCGATCAATTTCTTTCAAATCTACTCAACTGAGACTGAAAGATTAGAATTCACTTTTAAAACTCGGAACTTTTTTGAGACATTTTGGTAATATCAATCATTTTTTATGGTAATTTTTTCGTAAATATTATTTATTTTTATAAAAATAACATTAATTTGAAAGAAGCTCATCTTGAGCAACAGTTTATAAAATATTATAATTATAGTTCAGTCGTCGTAGCGCACTTGTGCGTCAATGTATAAATCTATTCAAAATATCAGTTTAATAATAATACTTCATCACAAGATTTCCATTACGAATTATTACAATTGAATCACAAGTTTAAGAGGCTATGCTGTGTCATATTGAGAGCTAAAACTATGATTTGACGGATTACTTTGATCCAATTCACCACTCCTATCGTGACTTCTGCAAGTCGATTCGGTTTCTAAATTGTAACGACGATTACGCATTTCGTTTCCTGTAATACCAATAACGCATTAACAAAACATATAAATCTGAAAATTATGTCGCGAAATAAAAATTTATAATTACCAAGAAGCGGTGACCTGGACCAAGCAAGCAAAAACTTTTTGTCTCGGGCTTGCCACATCAGCATTTCTCGCTCTACGCTAATCATCAACTTTGAAGCCTCAGCTTTAGCTCTCATGTAATAGACGGCTAGGCTGTAAAAAGAGCAAAAATAATCGTTCACTTGAAAAAAAAAAAAATTTGAAAAAGAGTAAAGAAAATTAAAAGTAAAAACGTAAATTATTTACCACATGGAAATAAGTACAGCCGTACTAACGACAGGACTAGTCATCTCACTAATAACGTTCCAAATTACAGAGTCTCTCGGTATTAGTAACAGTCGCTCAATAATAAATTCTCCTGTGTAAGTTGTCCCAGCAAACGGACCACAAGTGCTCGTGTCAACGTAAGCCAGTACATAAAAAAGCATTCCGAGGATGATAGAGTTACCGATGAAAATGAGAGCCAAAAGAGTCGTCTGAGCCTCGGCGGCGCGCCAGTAGTGATTTGGAGGCTTGCAATACCGAAACAATTCGAACCTTTTGAGGTAAAACGTCAAAAGCAGTCGAAGAAACAGCAACAAGCCCAGCGGAGGGCTGAAGTACTGACCCAGCCAGCAAAGACATTGAAGGTAAATGAGAATGAGGCTCTCGTGCACGTCGTTGAAGCCACCAGAGCCGAGCAGCCATCGTTTTTTGGCGTAGCGTATCAGCAGACCAAGTGGCAGAGTCAGAACCAAGTCGAGCAACATTAGATGATAGATCTGTTGAGCAAGTCGATTTTGCCAACAACCAGAACTTCGTTCGAGCCAGAAGGTTGGCACAGTGCCCAGTGCTACGCCAAGGATTACGTAGCCTCGAATCATTTTCATCCAATAAATACTTCTCTTTCGTTTGTAGTTTTCAAATTTCACCTGTAAATTGCATGCTCCAATTAATGAACGGGCTGATCAATGCTCGCTATCGATGCTCGAGATCGAGGCACATTACTCACAGACCAAGAAATCAACGGTGGCATTAAGTTTACCATCGCCGTTATGATTACTGGAACCGTCAAATCCGACATCCAGTTTTCCTCCATGGAAAACCATAAGAGTCCAGCCGAGCCACACACGAGGGCAGCCATGAGACTAGTCATCATGCCTCTCACCAAAAACGTGCAGATCTTGCTCGCCAGAGACAGCGGCCATGGTCTTGTGGATGACTTCGCCGTGGTTTGATAGGTTTCCGAGGTCTTCGGGTGCTTCGCTTCCCATAGCATTTCAGCAAGCTCTCGACGAATCGAGGCGGAGCGTAATTCGGCCATTTCTTTCGACGATATGGACCAGTCCCATCCGTAAAATATTTTCTTCGCGAATCGGTTGTAAGCCCCACCTGATGTCTCGATGAAGGTCTCTTTGTAAGATCGAGCGACTCTGCGTTCAAAAACAACAATGCATTCAAAATTCCAGATAACTTGCTTACAATAATGTACATGCGACTTTCAAGTCGCCGAACCTACTTGAAGAAAAGTAACAAGAAAATAAACAGGTTCGTAAATGAAAATGCTAAAAAATAAGCTGAGGGCATGGAGTAAGTCTTCTCTGAGTAAATCGTTAAACTGCTGTTAGTGTAAAAGCCGTAAAACATAACGCTGTTTTCCAGTACTCCCTACAATTTTAATAAACATTGTATAATGTAACTACTGAGAAATCTTGGACTTTATTGTCTTACCGTTCCAAACAATAAATCTTCTACTTCAAACCTTTGATTGGCATGCATTTTCAATAACGATTGCGGTATAATTACAAACAATAAAATAATGGTGAAATTAAAAATATTGAGTATAAATAACCATCGTAAAAACTTGAAGTATGTTCCAATCCCATTTCCAAAATAGCCATTGATCATTTTTATACTTCCATACCAAAGTTCAAAAGTTGACATCATATCACGAATAGCCAAATTGAGCTGTATAAAATTGAAATATCTTTATATTGACAGTATTATGTAATGTAAAAAATAATTTGACTATAAAATTACCTTAATAAAAGCCATACTTGCTTGATATTTCCATTTTTTCAAAGTTCCAATAGGTTTTGACTTTTCTGACATCGATTTTATCAACTTGGATTTCACTAATCTCTTTAAAGATATATTTTGAGGTAGGGCCTTAATTATTTGTAAAATTTGTTGTTCAGATATTAAACTGTCATTGTTGATAGAATGTGATTTTTGCAAGCAAGAAACAACTACATTAGCTTGCTTCTCAATTTCAGCTGGAGTTGATTTTCTTGAGCGAATGGTATTATATTGATAGGAATTGCGAATGGTATTAAATGGAGCGGAAGCCCCTGCTTCATTATTTTCAGATTCTTCCCCGTGATTGCCTATATTGAGAAAATAATTGGTTACATCTGTATCAACGTATAGACAATCATCTTACTATTTTCTCCAGCAAATGTTTCATTTTCATAGGGTCCAGTATTACTTCTAAACTCAACAGTAGTATGGCTTCTATAAGTTTCACGACCTTGGACAGTAACTGTAGCATATTCAATTATTTATAAGATTAATCAAACTGAAAAAATAAAATTTTGCTGAAAGCTTTTATACCTTTTTCAAGTTCTATTATTTCTTCTGTTGTGTGCGTTGAAAACATTTTAAATGATTTTTATTGCTTTTATTTGAAATAATCACTTTTTTCTTAAAGTTAATAGTTAAATTGGTTTTTACTAGATTTTCTCATATTTAAAAGAATAAATTGATTTTAATTATTTTTCTTTTGTATTATTATTTTTGTTAAAAAAATAGATTAATTACGGTTATGTGAAAAATAAATGTAAAAATTAAAATGAAAAAGTTCAATGTTCGATTGTACACTACATTGTAGCCAAAACATGAAATGTCAAGTTGAAATCAAAATGTCATGAATGACCACTATTGTCTGTTATGATAACGAATTACGAGTATAATAAGTGTAACGTACTCAGTAATTCAAAAGACATTGATTCTAATCGACAGTCGGTAACCAAAATATGGCGCGATTTTGAAAATGATTAAGGTGACTTGAATAAATGATAAAATTTACATTGATAGTTAGCAAATTTTTATTCATAAAAAATTATAAGTGTTGTACGAGCCTGCTCGCAGTTGTACAATTAAAATAGAAAGCAAGCCTTTCTCATAAGAAAGGCTGCCAGCCTACATACATTCGGCCCAAGGCATTCAAATCTCTTGCTTGCTTAATCAAAGCATAGACCTGTATAAAATAATAAATAGAAAATAAATAGAAAAAATTTTTAATTTTGAAAAGGAAATGTATAATGCTGTAAAAGAAAAAATCTTACCTGTTGCTCAGCTGTCAAAATATCCTCTTCCATGTAACTCGCTGGATTGGTAGCTGCTATGTCATTAGTTCCAAGTATAACACTTTGATATCTCTGAAAAAGTTCTTTTTCATTATTTTCATCACAGTTCCCAAAGTGCGAACACTTTAATTCTTCCAACATTATTTTTGATGGATTACATCCAGCCAATTTCTTTTTGACAACATCTATTTTGCTGGCTGGCAACCATTTGACACCTGAAAATAATAATATATATGAATGTTAATGAAAGAAACAGCGGCTGAATCATTTAGATTGCAATGATAATAAAGAAGACTAACTTGTTTCTTGATTATATTTCTCTTTCATAGCTTTGTTAAGACGTATTCGCCAATCGAAAGGCTCGTGTATAAAAACATCGAGGCATGCCAATATCGGAGCTCGTTCTTTTCTCAGAGCTCGCAAAACATTGCTCATGCTTATATCAAAATTACCGTGTTGGAGGTAAGGTTTTAAAAAGTTTTGTATTTGAGGTGTCAGACGGAATGGTACTAGTTCTGGCACCATCTGATCGATTCCTGCGCCAAAAGCAAGTCCAAAATCGATCCCGAAGCATTGTCCAGTTTTCACGCAGATCATCGTGTTCTCCAAGTGTCGATCTCCGATCCCAGTCAGCCAATGCACCAAACACATTGAGGCGTAACTGGTTACAAAGTTATCCCTCAGGGTCAAAAAGCACTCGAGCGAATCGCTAAGAAAAAAGAAAGTCTTCCTCAAGTAGTCGACATCAAGCGATTTTAATATCAGCGTCATCTTAGCTCTAGTTTCTTCGTCACTGTACTTCAACATGGCTGCTTTGTAAGGGTTCGAATGGATCTTTGTAGTATTAGCACGATCGATCCAGTTTTTATAATGCCAACTGGCCTCTTCGAGTTTTCTCGAGTCACTAAACGCGGAGAAATTAATGAACTCTTTTAGAGTTTTGGCGTTATCGATCCACTGAATTAGTCCCAAGTCGTTGGTGATCGGCAGCACTTCATACGTGTTGATCTTTAAATGCCTTTCTCTGCAACGAAGATCGTTTAGTAGACTTTTATTGGTAATAGTAAATATTTGTTGCAGTCTTTGATCCTGACGTAAATCTTCTCCGAATTTTATGAGAAAACTATAGGTTTTGAAATCACTGCCTATGATATTGATTTTGCACGGGTTGAACTGCGATTCCATGAGCGTGACATATCGGTCGAACCGAGCGATTTTCGCGTGATAACGTGGCATAGGTTTGCGGTCGGGCTTATACTGACCAGGAACTTCGATATCATAGTCGGAAAAGTTTCCAAAGTACGAAGAAAGTTCTACAAGTTGAAGACTTTGCTTTTTGCTAAGTCGATTGACCTTGGATTTACGAAGCTTGGTCTCGAGTTCAGCAAAACGTTCTTTATAGTTGTGATAGTTTGAACAGCGTAATTCATCAATATCTTGTCGGAAATCGGTTAGCACTTGTTCGAAAAGCAAACCTGTTGCGCGCGATCGTGTAGGAGAAATTTCGGAAAAAGCAGCCTCGAAACAGCGAGAGAAATTTTCTGGCGACGATTCACATACTGTCCGCAAATGATGTAACAGGAAATTTTCGGGTAAACATACCCGGCAAATTGCTTCGATAAAGCTTTTCATCGATTCATTGCTCATCAGTTGATTATACATCCGCTGAATTTCTGATCGATTAGCAAGTTCTGGTACAAGTTTGAAGCTTTGCCAAAAAGAGTAAACAAGTGCGTTTGGATAATCATCGATGAGCCTCTGCATTAGCGGCAAAATTAGGTTGGACAATCGATCGTCGACGACAAAAGACATGAGCTGTGATCGCCAATTGAGAAAAAGCCAACTGGGCACTTTCTCGACGCCCGTTACGAAGAGTTGGTATAGCTCGTTAAAGGTCTCGGCTTGTTCGCAATCCGTTTCGTGGGCAATCTTCAGCAAACATGGAAAATAATGGGCCGACTCCAAGCAGCCGAAGCTCATACCTTGGAGTATCGAAGAAACGAAACACTTTCGGATTTCATCATGACGATCCGAAGGGGACTGCAGTAGCTCGTAACAATATTTTCCGAATAGGGCAAAACTTTCACTAGCTCCGGATTCGCAGACATATTTGAGATTGTCGAAAGCGTATCGTTCCAGGGCTGCGGGTACTTGGCCTGCATCGCTGACATTTAGACATTCTGCCACGAAATTGTCGCTGATTAGCATATCGCTGACGGAAGGATATTTTTGAACGACTCGACGAAGAGCTGACGAGATATTTGCTAAATGATAGCGAGACTCTTTAGGAACTGTATTAGATTCATAGGACTTGGCCAAAAGATCCTTAACAATCATCCAAGATTTTACATAATAACTACAGCTTTTCTCCAATCGCTTTTCGCTTTGAGCGTACATAAACTTGAACCTTGAAGCTGACAGCTCGAGCTCCTCAGTGAATTGTTGGAAACGCCTATTACCCCCAAACTGATCTTTTTTGGAGCAGCTATCAATGAGTTTTTCGACAAAACCGAAATGTTTCTTGGCCACACTTTTGTTTTTCAGCTGGATTGCCAAATTGCTCGCGCTTAATTGTAGATCGATGTTGGTCAATAACAGATCCTGTTTACAACTGTGATCAAAAATCCCAAAAATTGAATTGTTGAATGTAAGCATGAAAATAAGAAAAAGAGAGTAAAAAATTCTTACCAATCTTCTGATTCAACGTCATCCTCAAGTTTGTGATATAACTGGTTAACAAAAAGCTGTCGATATTGCATGATCCTACTAGCGTTGCCGAGTTGAGAATGTTTCTCGTTAGCTGGACAGCAGCGACGCCAATAAGCAATGAGTTTGAAGACAGCTTCTTCACAATCACCAGCTTGATAGGCTGCCAGAAAAGCGTCGATATCGCGCAAGCGACGTAGTTTGAGATGTGACTCGAGGCGCGAATACTCGAGGAGAGGACTGATGCGCAACCATCGAGCTCGCATCAAGTCTAAGCAGCTGGTAATGCGCGTCGCGCCGGCCTGAGCGTCATCGTCGCAAACGTGCAGAATACTCAATTCTTCGCCGTACTCGGACATGTACCTTAGCAGTCGGTCACGTTCGATCGATGATTCGATCTGATTAGCTAGACTCTGCCGGGATCTGCCATTGACATTGTCATCGATAGCTGACATGAGCTGAGCCAGCAAAAGACGCGGTAATAACTGCTTTGCTTCTTGGGTCTCTTGTTTCCAGGTTTCTCGGAGACCAACACGTTCGTCGATGCATCGAACGGCTCTAGGCCAATCCGACAGCCGAACGAGACTATCTATCATACCATCGAAGCAGTGCTCCTGCACTAAAGGCTCCAATTCGATTTCTCGAGCTTTTTCGTAGGCTTTGCGGGCCTCTAACCAGTCCTCTGCTATGGATGCCAAGGCAGCTTCGCGTAAGTATTGCGGCGCCCAATCGCCGTGAGCCGTCAAGTTATCTGCTACATTCGACTGACCTAAGCTTTTCAACGTACTCGACAGTCGAAGCCAGACATCTCGTTCGACATTTTGTACTCGCGGTCGTTTACTGGCTGGTGGCTCATTCTGCTCCGATTGATCTTTCTCTTCCAAGCGTTCTGCGATGCGCTCCAAAGACAGTAAGCCCAGATGCTTCGGTTCATCCGATCGGAGACAGGATTTGGCAACGTTCTCAAACTCCAATAGTCGGTCTTCGCTCGTTCTTAGGCCTATTTCTAAAAGAACAGGTGCCAGGTCAGAAGAGGCGCGATCTCGCTGCAATTGCAACGCAGCTGAGACAAATCGATCCCAGAGACGGTTGGTAGCGCTCTCCATGGAGTTTTGGCTAGGGCGCTTCAAGACTTCCGCCACGGCTAGCAGCAGCTCGACGGCTAAATTTTGGCAAAAGGCTCGATCTCTTACGATTACTTGACGCAGACACGTGGCATAGCTTTCGTAGGACAGCTCGACATCCGGATATTCGCCGATTCTGTAGCGACGCTGTAATTCAACTACCGAACCGAGTGGCTTTGCTCTTGACTGAGCAGCAGGTTCTCGCCGAGACAACTGATTTTGCGACGGCTCTGGCATGACGTTTCTTTAAAACAAGAAGAAACAAAATTAAACATTTTTAAAGTAAATTCGATATAATAAATATAATTGCTCCAACCTGTTTTCAAATTGCGTTGTAAACGAGGTCCCGATATCGACATTTTGCGTGGCGAGGACACGCAAACTCGCGTGACTAGGTAGAGTGGCCGACAAGGCCTGTTCCCGGTAGAGCTGACTGGCCAGCGAAGGTACAAATAGTGGAGCAATCGATCCCAAGCCTCTTCTGGCGCTCGCACCAGATCGACGTAAGCTTCGGGGCACCTCGTAGTTTTCGAAGCGAGCTCCTTCTACCAGAGCTTGTCGACACATGGGTTTCAAGGCGTCTCGAGCTTTCGACGTCATTGAGAGTATTACTAATACAAGAGTCCGAGTGGCTCCGAATCTCGGAGCGTGTCTCGACAAAAGTTCAAGCAACTGAATCAAGAACTCGACACCGGACTTGTCGTATAATTTCGACCAATATTCTAGGATAACCGTGAGAAGCTGAAGAGGTAAAGTTTCGTCACCCAATTGTTCCACCAGAATTGGCAGGCAGACTTGAGGCATCAGCTCGGCTCCGGCGACAAAGCACTCCAACGCGGCGAGCCTGACGGCAACGTCGTGATTCGAGTCGAGGCGAGTCTTGGCCTTCTTCATCGAAGCATCGAGAGCTGAAATTGCACCGAATGGCTTTTGCAATAGATAACGCAGCAATTTGAGAGCCACCAGATCGCAGCCAAGCCAGTGATCCGTGAGAGATTTCTCGAGCGCCTCGATCGCCGGAGACGCTTCCATTCCGTATTCCAAGCGCAGCAGCAGCAGCTCGAGGCAGTCGGCTCGTCGCGAGTCGCTGATCTTGGCGTTGCGCGGGCAGGCGTAACTCGAAGCCAGGCTTCCCGCAAGCTCCTCGTTGGCCCAGGAGCGATAGAGGGCGATGGCGCATCTGGCGGCTCGGTCGACGTTGCGCCGCTGAATGTCGCGGAGAAGCGACTCGAGCCAGTTGAGCTGCGTCGCTTGCACGTCGTCGGTCGAGCGTAGCTGATAGCCAAGGGCCTCGAAGCCCCGCAACAGCTCCGGTCCGGTCTCGAGTTCGGTCCATCGGTTTTGCAACACCAGAGATACGTGATCTCTGAGCAGTTGCACGCTTCGGAGCCGAGACCAGACGGAAGAGTCGACGCGCAGTAGCAAGGCCAAAGCGCGAACCCCGAGATCCGGGTCGTCCTTCGCCAATTGCACGAGAAAATCGAGTCGCGGACAAGTGCCCACGCCCCAGTGCGCGTAAAGCGCTTCGATCAACTCCAGATTGTACTCGTACAGCAAGAGTTGATCGTCCGGAGAACGCTTGAGCAATAGCTCGATGAGTTTGCGAGCCGATTCCAGAGATTTGGAGTCTTGGGGTCGATGGGCAGCCTCGACGAGCATGACAACGGCGTCGCGCACCAAACGATGAATGCTTCGACTCGTGGCCAGGTAGTTGCAGAGCAAGTCCAACAGCGCCAGGTGCAGACAAGCCATGTAAGGCAGAAAAGCCCCTTTGGCGTTGGCCAACAGCCGCAGAAGAAAGAGGCGCGCGTTGTTGCTGCGACAAGCCGAGAGACCGAGGCGCAGGGCGCGCAGCCACTCGGGCATTCGCTCCTCCGAGACGTCGTCCGTAGGCTGCGGCAGCTTCGCCACTTGACTGTTGAACAAATCTATCACGAGTCCGCTGAGCATGGGCATGCACTCGTGTTCGTTCAACTCGTCCGACTCGAAGCTCATGGACAGTCTCTGATCGGCCGACGACGAGGCCGCCGAGACGAGTCTCGCGTCGTTCAAGTCATAGGCGTGTACGTTTTCGAGCAACGAGAGGCCTGCCAAACTCGCTTGCTGCGAAATAAATCCGTCGCGATCGGACGCTGCCGCGACATCGGCTCCTCTGCGAATGTTGACGAGTTTTCGGCGCTCTCCTTGTAGCTGCCTCGAGCTTGGCCTGCTCGAGCCGTAGACCCGATCGGAGTCGACGATTTTGTCCCAGATGAGCTTGTCGGCGAACACAAACTTGTAAAATTTCTCATCTTTTCGCAGACAGACGATCGCCGTGCAACAATTGAGGGCAGCGCACAGCAGTAGTCTCGTGGCTTCCTTCTCTCGATCGTTCGACGCGCTTAGCTGGCGTATTTGCACCGAGTGCTGGACAAGCAGTCGATTCAGCGGCTTCGCTGGAACTCCGAATTCGAGCGCAGGCAAATCAAATTTCACTAGCATGAGCTCGAATAAATTGTAGCAGCCAGTCATGCTGATCATCGTTCTGATTCTGTCCTGCTCGTTGGACATGTTTTGTGGGCGCGCGCTCACGTGACTTAGCATCTCGTTACACTTGTCCTCGTAAAACTTGAGCACGACTCGAGGTGTGTTGAACTCGATAGAAGGCAACAGAAATTCCCGCAGAATGTCCCATCTCTCTTGACTCTGCTTTAAATTCAAGAAAGACTCGTAAACGTGTACGAGCGATTGAAAGGCAGTGTTTTCGTCGCGATCGGTATAGAACAGCCTCAAAACTTCGCGCAGATTCTTTATGCCGAATAGGCTCGATGTACCAGCCAAGTAGCTCATTAAAACTCGAAAAATAAGCGGAGACTTTGTACTGGTCAGAGCCTCGAGCATGATTTTCAAGTACGCGGAAGCCCGATGTCTTGCTAAATCGTCGTTTTTCAGCTTTTCCAGCCAAGCCATGTAATCGTTGTCCCTCAGCTGTCGCAAAATCAATTCCAACTCGGGATTTTCTTCATCTACGCTACACAAATAGATGAGAAAAGTTTGTAAAATCTCGCTTTTCGTTTCAAAGTTTCCAGATTGCACGAGCTCATCCATGATCCATTTGCTCAGATCGGACGGCGCTCCGTTACTGAGCTTGAGAGCTCGTCTGGGATCAATCATCAATCCAATGGCTAGCTTATTAATGCGAAACAGAGCATCGCGCCGAACATGGCTAGAGCTTGACAGCCGATGCAAGGACTTGCATCTTTCGCAAACGGCCTCCGACAACTTTTCCGTATTAGACGATGCTTTCAATTTTTCGGTGTGTTGAAGCCATTTTTCGATCAAATCGAATATTTTGTCGGGAGACTCGGACAAATTATCTTCGATTATGCTGATCGTTTGTTGGGGTGACATTAAAAAGTAATCAAAAATGAGATTTTTATAAAGCTCCAAAAAATAATTGCCATGACTTATTTGAATGCCACTAGGCTTGTCCAGGATCAAGTCATTCTTTATGGTTCTTATCAGTAGCTCAACCGTAGTTGTCTGTAACACATTGATAATTTTATTCATTGTAAATGTATAATGATTTAATGCAAAAATTTGAATGATAAATTCAGACCTCGTATGCTCTGAGTGAAAACTTGATGAACATTCGGAAATACTCGAGTACGTTGTGATCGAATTTCGTGCAGGTATTCATGTCTAAAAATGGTGACTTAGCCAACTCAAAAATTTCGAGAATTGTACTCTGCAAGAGACCAGATTTGAAGGTAGTCTGCAAAAAAATTATGCATGGAGTAAAGTTTGTATTGAAATTGCTGAACGAAATCTAAAGATACATGAAAGCGATGATAAAAATAAAAACTTTCAAAAACATTTTTGGTATTGAAAGTTTTTCTAAAATCTCTGTATAGTTATCTTGATTTTATTGCTTATCGAGATATTTCGACATGGCGTTTTAAAATGTTCAATCAATGATAGTTTAAAAAATTATAATCAAAAAATCTCACGATTTTCCCATCCCTTTAATTAATTTTAATTGATTTATTTACCTGGGCTTCAAAGTCGAGGAATTTGCAGTCTTTTAGAATTATCAAGCCGTGGATGAATTGGTGACATATGAAAGTATCTTCATTTTTATCATAGATATCTCGGACATTCAACAACTTCGAGCTGTAGGTATTAATGAATTGTATAAATTCTTTGCAACAATTAGCCGCAATACAGTTAGAGTAGCGTTTCATCTTGACGAACAAATTTTTCAGCGAGGAAGTTAACTTTTCCGAAACTTCTAAAATACCAGTATTTAATCCAAATTTACATGGCTGTAATGTGCAAGATACAATGAAAGTCGACATGCTTTCACTCCAGTTTACCATATGCTGGGTATCCCAGTGAATAAATAAAACTGCCAAAAAATCTAACATTTTTAGCAATGTTTCACACTTCAAATCATCGAAGTCACGCGAGCTTATATTGTCAGCAATATCAATCGACCATTTAAAATTCATCAAAGAAGATGTGAATGCATCAAAGATTTTACCAAACTCGAGCTCACTTTTTATTAAAAGCCTTCGTTGCAGGCCCAAGTAGTCATTTGAAAAACACTCGGCCGTTAAGACCCATGTATAAAAAGCTATAGTTTTGAGAAAGTATTGATAGTCCGTCGCGCTAAGTGCATCGATTTTTCTTTTTGAATTTTCTATAGCAACATTTTCCATCGCATCGGCTATTGATTTTTTAAAATCTTCATTTTTCTCGGTACAAAAATCGAGTATTTCAAATATTTTCATATAAATCGTTCGACTGTGCGATTTACTACAGGAAGCGCATCGCGTGAACAGCCATACCTGTGCACTCGGCAAAGTTTCATCTGTAAATTCCACAGGCTTTTTTCTTCGCGCACATTTTTCGCTAAAAAGTTTGGATCTTTTTTTTACAAGATTGACCACGTGGTCCAGCGCAGATTTAATGTGAGCATTGTCGAAATCCCCGAGGTTTTTGACGAAGACATAAAAGAAGTCGAGCCAGTAATTGCTAACGAGGTTGGAGTTTCCCTGTAAAACGTTGTGAAGCTGATTGAACGCCACTGCCGCAGCCACTACCCGCTTCTTCGATGGTTGACCAGCCAATCCGGTGATTCTCTCGACAACCTTTTGCAAATCGAACAATTCGCTCTCAGTGGACTGTTTCATTGACCAGAGCGTGAACTCTTTTAAGTACAAGCCGCAGTGGTCTCGATATCCTACGTCAAACTCTTCGCTCAAACCGTCGAACAGAGAGTCGACAAAAACATCACTTGCACACGAGTCCTTGGCCAGTCGCGAGCTGAAATAATGAGCCAGTTGAATGGATAATAAGTAATAAATGCTTTTAATCGCTTCATCGGAGTCGCAGCTCAATTTTAGTATTACGGAACATAATCTGTCGTCGAAACACTTAAATAAGATATTTTTCCCCAAAAATAAACTTATACTCGCGTGCAGCAACTCGCAAGCAGCAATTTTCGTTTTATGATCTTCGCAACTCGTGAGTAGTACGATTCTCGGGAGTAATCTGTCCAAATATACTTCTAAGCTTGTATCCGGGAGGACTATTTCACTTGGTAGAGCTTGTTTTTTTGTCCAGGTGGCATTTGTTTGCATAGACTTTTCGTGAATGAAATCAATCATTATGCTTGAGTCAATCAAGCCATAAAAAAGCAATATCTTTTTTTGCACTTCTTTTAGAGTTTGATTGCTTTCTGTGGCAGAGTAGTTCAGCGATTGGAGTTTATCATTTGTTATTTCTGATATTAAAAAGTATGGTTCTGTATAATTAACTATGAGTTTCAGGAAATTTTCAGAAAAGTCTACTTTTTTTATCCAGTTTTCTAATGCATTTAGGGCACTAAGTGCAATAGAATAGTCATTTAAGCCCATTTTGAAAGCTACTTCAAATAACTGAACTGTATCTTTGATATAATTTTCAATTAAAGCAACTGGTGCACTCAAAATCAATGAGACACAAGAAAATTGAAGTTCACCTGGAAAACTGTGTACTAATTTTAATGTATCCAATAAATAACGTGATGTTGATTCATAAGTTGAGTGACTCAGTATTTTACTTATATCAATAGAAGTATCACATTTTTTAAATATGACTTCAATTAATTTGTAGAAACCAGAAATCAATGGATTTTTGTAAGAAAACTGAATAAAATTTACTAAGAGCCCATCTATATAGTCTTGTAGCAAATCACCTTCAATCTTTTCATACACATCTTTACACAGATCAACTAAATTAATAAAAAATCTGAAATCTGTTCCATTTTCAGCTTTTTGTGAAACAAGTGTGCCAACTAGATCATTACAGTCTTGAGTTTTTAAATTCAGATTAAGTTTTTCTATAAAATGAATTATTACAGCTATAAATTCTTCAATCAAAGTATAATTTATGGGTTGCATTATCTTATTTTCAATGTCAAAGATTGAATACCACAATGGGAGGTAATTTTTATGACATATAGGTGGTTCTGAAAGATTCTGCAATTCTTGTAGTACATCCACATCAATGAGTAGAGTGTGAGAGCACGACCATAAAATGGCTTCTTTCACTATAAAAATAAAATTTATTTGAATTATTCAATTTTTCAATAGTAAAAAAAAATATATACATACAAAAATGTTTAAAATATTCATTTTGATGATTTTGTTTCAATTTACTGATGTGAACAAAAGTGTTGAGAATTGAGTTCAATACATTATTTTTGTTCAAAGCACTTAGTTGGTAGAATTTTTTAATCAAATGTCCACAAAGTTCAGCAATGACATAAATTTGCTGATAAAAAACATTTTCACTATAGACCAGAATTTTTGCCAAGGTTTCTGTGTAAGAACTTAATTCTTGAAAATATTCTGTATCATTAATACTTCTGCAAAAAAAATTATGAGCTAAAATTAATTATATTGTTGAATTTTAAATGTTTTTTACCATCTTCAATGAAATTTACTTCAAACGATAATTTGATGCTTTTATTGAAAGAATTTGATATAATTTTGGAACTTCCAATGGAGTGTATTTTTTAAATGCTGGAATGAAATCTCCTATACCAGAAATGGTTAGTTGTAATTCTATTGATAGAAGATTTTCCTTGCTAAGTTGATTTGTAAAATAATCTTTAAAGTACTGCATGAAAAATATACAACAATATTATGATTTGTTCATGAAAATTATTATAAAAATAAATTTATACATACTGTAAATATTTCTTCATTATGAATTTCACAAACATTTTCAGCAATTTGTTGGTAAAATTTTCCCAAAACATTTAAGACAATATAATTTTCTTTTTCTTCAAGAATAGTGATAAATAAAGTATGCCATTTTTTATGGTCATTCAAAATAAACTTGGAAAACTTTTTCATGTGAACAAAAAGAGTATTTATTGCCTTGTTCCTGAAAGTTTTTTGGGCTTTTTGAGGTTCACACAAAAGTTGGATGTATTTATAATATTGTCTAAAGTAAATTTCATTTTTTTCAGAATTGTCAAAAGGTGTAAAATTTAATAATAGATTGGAAATGCAATCCATATAAATTTTAACTTCTTCAGACTGTTTGTCAGATTTTTCTTCATACTGGAACAAAAATGTTCACAACTAGACAATAAAATGAAATTAATATAACATTATAATATAAAAGAGTTTACCTGGTTTCTTAAATCAGCAATTAAATTTTTAAATATAAAACTAACATGTTTTGATAAATTTTCAATCTTATTACAAAATTTTGCAATGCTTCCAATTACAATATACAATACATAACCCTCTGCAATTTTATTTAAAAACAAAGCATTTTATGAATTGCTTTGTAAAAAATCAGTAATAGAAATAATTTGACTTTACCTTTGGCTGTGTAGTATTTTGAGTATGATTCATAATAGTGTGTTAGAAAATCATTTAATAGTGCTTTGTCTAAATTAAATTTTTCTATGGAGTTTCTGAAAGTTTCTGCGGCTGCTTTTCTCACAAAAACTGAACACTTATTTTTTATCCATTCAAAGCATAAGGCCTGAAAAAAATCTATCAAGCATGTATTATCTTAATTTTAAAATAAACAATAGTAGTCAATTAGAATATTACTCTTGTCTCTGCAACGTATGGTTCATACAAATGCTGAAAATGATCCATCAAAAATTGTAAAACATGAAAACATGCTTTTAGTAATTGGTTGATTTTTAATATTTCATGCTTTGATAGAAAAATTTTTCCTTTCATAAATTTTATTATGTTGCATTGGTTACCAAGTAAAATATCCAATGATAATTCTAAAAGGGTTCACATTAAACAATTCTTTAATTATATACATTAAATTATAGTATCTTCCAATAATAAAATTCACTTACTGCCATAGTCAGCAGGCACATTTTTCAAATAATATGAAATATTTTTTAATAATCTGGTTAAAGCCTCCCAATTCTCTGAATCTGAGAGTGTACGAAATTGAAGAATAAATTCATTTACTGAATCCATTTTATTCGAAAATATTATTTAATTATAAATATCTTTGCATCTTTGATAATAAAGTAACAAGTCTTTTAACTACAGTGCACTTATACAGAATTGCGGAATCAAAACAATTGCTATCGCTTTAATTTGAACACCGGAATCGGATCCGAAACCTGTTCTCACAGGTTTTGAATAAAGGAGACTAAATAGCAGAAGTTAATTTCATCCGTTCTTCAACTGCGACATCTTGCGCTAAAATTATCGCTTCGTTTTATGACAATGATCATGATAATGAAACAGAAAATATATTTCATAAGAACCAAAAATAATACCAATACTGTCAGGATTTTATTAAAAATCGTTTTTGGTAAATAAATACTCATCTTTTTAGTATATTCAAATTATTTATATCAAAAGATTCACATTTTGTATCACAAAGAATAATTTTTCAAAATTTGAGTTTGTAAATATGTTATTCTAATTTACATTTAAAAACTTCAATACAAAAATGTTCATATAGTATTGAAAACACTTAATATCTTATAAACTAAACTTAGGTTTTAAAGAGCATTAGTAGTTAATTTTGTATTAAGATTTAATGTAAAAGTATTGAATACTATTAGAATTCTTTTATTGTACATATATGATTTAAAAACAACATAAAGATTTTTCTAATCAATAATGAATCCTCCAAATACAGATAAGTACAAGAATTGAATGAATTACCACATACTATATTCTGTTTCATCGTGATCAAAAGCCAAGAAAAATCCAAGAATAGTTGAATACATAACAAAATTACCAGCTATTGTCAAATAACATGCACCTGGTTTTATCTGCAAGTATTATACATTAAATTTGATAAGTGAAACATTTTTTACAGTAAGAAAATGTTATTTAAATGAATTAAATGAATTTTCGCTTAATAAACTTACAGTTGGATTACTTTCTGGAGATCTTGATAATACAATAGGAAGAGCAAAAGATGAAATTACACAACCCATTGTTAAAAAAATAGCCAATTCCATATACTGATTATTGGAAGTTGCGTTTTCAGAGTAACGTCTGGCTATTAAAGTTGGAAGAGGTGACAATATGTAAAACAATACAACTAAAAATGGCCACCACACTCTGGAAATATATTAAATTGATTAGATACTTAATTTTGAAAGAAATAAAATGAACAATTAATAGCTCACTTGTAAGCTGGAAGTGCACAACCTAATATGACAAATGTCATACCAATAGATCCAGCGAATGCTAATGTAAAAAGTCTGCAAAAATGTGAGTACGATATGAATTGATTTTAATTAAATTTGAATTATAATAGATCAATGAATATACTTACGCTGCATTATTCAAGGCAAGGATCAGTGATAAATGGAACATGAAAAAATAAAAAACAATTGTTAACGTGATTTTTCAAACAACAACAGATTGATCATTATCAATCAAACTTAGAATTAGAAGTGAGGAACTTTTACGATTCTTGAGGATTTGAGACACTCGTTAAAGTATTGCAAATATGTATACAATGTTTTAAATTGACAATAAGTCATGTACCTTTTAATCCAGCCATTATTGAAACGTCAAGCGCAATAGTTTGGGTAAATTTAATTTGGAAATGAAATTTAGAATATAGCTAATGATGTAAATGATAATATTTCTTCGAATCAAATGTACGAATGAACGGCCATTAATTCATGTTCTCAAGTACAAAGTGCGTTTGTTTAACACATTTACAACTGACAAACGCTACGAAAGTTCAATAATGAGTCGATCAACAAAGCTCGGAAAACTTAACGATAGCTTTATAATAACTACACCGTGGCTTGGCACTTCACTGCCCCGACTACCGCCAGTTTCATTACAATACCTCGATGCAACTTGCAGTTTTCAAACGATTCATGACTGTCTCGGACTAAATAACAATGGCTGCGCAAGTCTGAGAACGCGCGCATGCGGCCAGCGATCGCTACCGTGTTCTGTTTATGTACCGATCAGCCACTCAAACTATTTACCTCACGTCCGACACACATAAATTACCTACAAACACGTATATACACGCATATACACGTATACTCATAAATTATTACGCACACGTATGACAAACATTATGCATTCATTCTGTAGCTAACCAAGAAAATATGTGCGGGCCCGCCCATTGCTGGCAATAAAAATGACCTAACTTATCGATGAAGCTAGCGTGCGAGTGGCTAAGTGGCAACTATTTTAGCTACTTGAATTACTCAAATTACTGATTATCTACGTATTATCGGGCACCGCTTCAAGCCGAAACTATGCAATCTAACCGCAGCCCGTTTATTTACAATTGAAATGATTTTATTCAACTAGTAAATGAGGACTCGTTTAATTTTTTAACTCGAAGTAGTCATTTTTTGAAGTAACTTGGTGGAAACTGTAATGTCAGTTAAAGGCTGGAATTTTATTAATTGGGAAAATCTGAACGATATTAAAATTTCAATCAAATATTAAATGTCAAGGTCAACGTGTATAAGTAGCTGTACATTGTCATAACCTCCTGGACCTTTGTGTTTACATCAAACAATAAACACTAAATAGTGCATCATCATGATCAAGATACCAAATTTCAGTTGTAGGTAGAGCTGTAGTCGCTCGTTACCACAGTCCACACACTCAGCTCATAGTCAAAATCCACGCACTGCCTCATTGCTGACTGGTTTCCCAACGCACACACATAGACCTGTTCTACAGTTGAACATAATCTACCCTAGCGAGTCCCTACCATATCTGTCTCTCTCTTCGAGGGAGCGCATCATATTTTGAGCCGAGGAATTAACTCACTCGCACAGATACTGTCGAGCGACACGATCAACGAGTCTTAACGTGTAAAACATAGAAATTATCGAACTCGCGCGTTCTCGCTAGTGTGGTACGGCCGGCACCAACGTATGTTGGTCATCATCGAAATCGACGGATCGAACATTGAAATTCCACGCGGCAGAGAACAACCGACGGCGACGGCAACGACATCGTTGAAATAAGAATAACTCAGTCAGCAATCGTAGGCGCACGCACCTCAAGTTCCAACGTTTTTATTCCGTTTTCATCACGAGTGCGAGACGGGCCTACACACTTGTGACTGTCTTTTAGCTGAGTCGAATTACTAAATAAGCAGAACAATGGCTGCGGATCCCAAGAGGTAAGTGTTCCCAAGCTTATCATTATCACTTATATTTGCATCTATATTACGAGCCGAACGCTAGTCGCGATATCCTTCCGAATCTCGAGCGTCAATTTTACACTGTCATCATGTCGGAAATCCGACGACTCTCCAGTTACTTTTGTTGCTCGTTTAATGCTCATCGGGAATCCCAATCGACAGGAATTTGTGTTCGACGTTATTTGTCCGCTCTCGAAAGCACGATTCTCCGAAGAATCGGCTTTGAGCTCGCGACCCCTTGTATACACGAACCCCCCCGCAATCGTCGTCATCGTCATCGGCCGCAGCAGCAGCAGCCAGGGCCGTCACCGGCCAGCCAGCTGCATGCTTTAAAGAGTAACCTATCGCGTAGATAAGTGCAGCGACCTCCCCCTTTCTGGCTTCTCGTTTTGAGTGCGCTGCTCTTTCGTTATATTGTGTATGGAGCTAGATCCACGTCATGTACATACAAACAACAGCTATTCGCAGATATGCTTTATTCTTTTGTTTTTTCAAACTTGCAGCGGAGATCATCTGGCGACTGCGATTTTGCGCAAAAAGGATAAGCCAAACAGACTCCTCGTCGACGAGGCTTCAAACGATGACAACTCCGTGGTCGCCCTGTCTCAGGCTAAAATGGACGAGCTCCAGCTTTTCCGTGGCGATACTGTCCTTCTCAAAGGCAAACGTCGCAAGGAAACCGTTTGCATTGTCCTTTCGGACGCCAGCTGCTCCGACGAAAAGATCCTCATGAACAGGGTTGTGCGCAATAACTTACGTGTCAGACTCAGTGACGTCGTATCGGTACAGTCATGCCCCGACATCAAATACGGCAAACGCATTCACGTCCTGCCCATCGACGACACCGTCGAAGGATTGACTGGGTGAGTTCACCTGCCTTTAACTCTTATTCAATTTTTATACATTATTATTAATTTATAACTTTATTCAATTTACAGAAATCTATTTGAGGTTTATCTAAAACCCTATTTCCTAGAAGCTTATCGTCCCATACACAAAGATGACACCTTCATTGTACGTGGAGGCATGCGTGCAGTTGAATTCAAAGTTATTGAGACTGATCCAGGTCCATATTGCATCGTAGCACCTGATACTGTTATTCACTGCGAAGGAGATCCTGTCAAACGAGAAGTCAGTTATTTTATACTTAGTAATCTTCTAAAATAATTTGATTCAATACTAACTCACGTTATGACTAAATATTTTTTAGGAAGAAGAGGAAGCTCTCAATGCCGTCGGTTACGATGACATTGGTGGTGTCAGAAAGCAATTGGCTCAGATTAAAGAAATGGTTGAATTACCCCTTCGCCACCCCTCTCTTTTCAAAGCTATTGGTGTTAAACCACCTCGTGGTATTCTTTTATATGGTCCACCTGGTACAGGTAAAACTTTAATTGCTCGTGCTGTTGCCAATGAAACTGGTGCTTTCTTCTTTTTGATCAATGGTCCTGAAATCATGAGCAAACTCGCTGGTGAATCAGAGAGTAATTTACGTAAAGCGTTTGAGGAAGCTGAAAAGAACTCACCAGCTATCATTTTCATTGATGAACTTGATGCAATTGCTCCTAAAAGAGAAAAAACTCATGGTGAAGTCGAGAGACGTATAGTTTCTCAACTTTTAACCTTGATGGACGGGATGAAACAGAGTTCACACGTTATTGTTATGGCTGCCACAAACCGTCCTAATAGTATTGATGGAGCTCTCAGGCGCTTTGGTCGTTTTGATAGGGAAATTGATATCGGTATACCAGACTCGACTGGTCGTTTAGAAATCTTAAGAATTCATACAAAAAATATGAAACTGGCTGAAGACGTCGAATTAGAAGAAATTGCGGCTGAAACTCACGGTCACGTTGGTGCCGATTTAGCTTCTTTGTGTTCAGAAGCTGCTTTACAACAAATTAGAGAGAAAATGGATCTCATTGATTTGGAAGATGACCAAATTGATGCCGAAGTGTTATCATCACTTGCGGTCACAATGGAAAACTTTAAGGTAAAAAACCTTCCATTCTAAAATTACTTAAATTGCTTAAATTTGAACCATAAACTTACATGTTTTTTTCTATTCAGTATGCAATGAGCAAAAGCAGCCCGTCGGCTCTTCGCGAAACAATCGTTGAAGTTCCAACCGTCACCTGGGACGATATCGGTGGTTTGCAAAATGTCAAACACGAACTACAAGAATTGGTTCAGTATCCTGTGGAACATCCAGAAAAGTTTTTAAAATTCGGAATGCAGCCATCGCGAGGTGTACTATTTTACGGACCACCAGGTTGCGGTAAAACTCTTTTGGCTAAGGCTATAGCCAATGAATGTCAAGCTAACTTTATCTCAGTCAAAGGTCCCGAACTTCTGACCATGTGGTTCGGAGAGTCTGAAGCTAATGTCCGCGATGTATTTGACAAGGCGCGTTCAGCAGCTCCTTGTGTGCTCTTCTTTGATGAATTGGACTCAATTGCCAAGTCTCGTGGTGGTAGCGTCGGTGATGCTGGAGGTGCTGCTGACCGTGTAATCAATCAGATTCTTACAGAAATGGACGGCATGGGTGCCAAAAAAAATGTATTTATCATCGGTGCTACTAATCGACCCGACATCATTGATCCTGCCATTCTTCGCCCTGGTAGACTCGATCAATTAATCTACATCCCACTGCCTGATGAAAAATCTCGAGAATCCATTTTCAAAGCTGCGCTTCGTAAATCACCAGTTGCACAAGATGTTGATTTGATATACATTGCCAAAGTTACACATGGATTTTCTGGTGCCGATATCACTGAAATTTGCCAGAGAGCTTGTAAATTGGCCATCAGACAGTCAATCGAAACAGAAATACGTAAAGAAAAGGAGCGAGCAGCAAATCCAGCTGCCTCCATGGATGTAAGTTTGGTGATTTTAATTAATTTGAATGCAATCAATATCCTTTATTTAATATTTTCGCTGTTGCAGACTGACGAAGAAGATCCTGTTCCCGAAATAACGCGTGCTCACTTTGAGGAAGCCATGAGATTTGCTCGTAGATCAGTATCTGATAATGATATTCGTAAATACGAAATGTTTGCACAGACTCTGCAACAATCCCGTGGTTTTGGAACCAACTTCAGGTAATTAATTTTTATCATACCAATGCTTTAAATTTTTACACCAATTATTAATTTTTTAAACTTTTTCTGTGTCCAATAGATTTCCACAAGGTGGAACTGGAGGGGCTCAAGACACGACGCAAGGGGATCAACCCTTCCAAGATGATGCTGATGATGATCTCTACAGTTAAGTTATTTACTAAAGAAAAATTGTAATCTCGTTTGCAATAAGCACACGACAAAAGGGCCTGTCGATTATTTTGTACATTTAAAGATTACACCATAATTTTTCATAGTTCATGTGAGTAAATTAATATATGCTTTAAAAAATTTTATATGAAGTACGTGATGTGTGTACTAAATAGAATAAAATTGTTATAAACGACAAGTGTATGTTGTATTTGCTTCTGAAAAAACTTTAATTAATAACTTATTCATACTGTGTTAAAATTTACATTTTCATTTTTTGGTATTAGAATCAATCATTTATAATTTCTATGGAAGATATATTTATTCAGACAAAAATTACAACTATCGATTAATTAAATAATACGATTTATAGTAAATCGTGAGAGCAATCAAGAATTGTACTGAAATGAAGTTTGAAACTCGATTTGAAAACGTGAACGAGATACAAGACTCGGTCCGTAGACTGACGTTATTGAAATAATAGTAAAAAGTGGGAATAAACAATGTCGATGGACCCTTTTGTGTAAAGCTGAATTTTTAATGTAAATGATTTTATATAAATGTGTGGGAGCATCATTGGATAATGGGACTTTCATTAATGGAAATTAATAAGTTAATCAGTAAAATAAAGTTTGTTAGTTACTTCAAGTGATCATTTGAAAGTTAGTAAATAAGATGAATCTTCTAAGATGTTAAAATAATACACTTGGAAATAACTTGAAAATACATTTTTTTATCATCACAATGTATTATCGCGTAATTTTTAATCATACATATCCAACATGAATAAATTTTGAATTTATTTATTTACAATGGTCATTAGTAACAATTCTTTTTCTGTGTATTTTTCCCTGCGTATATTGAAATAGTTATTTGATACGTTAATAAATATTTACTAAAAATTTTTCATGTACGGATGAAAAATGAAATGCGTTAATCTAATTTCTTCTTACTAGACTTCAATTTGAAGATTATCAGCTACATAGCAAACGTGGTACTGTAACAATTATGATTCACTCGCTATACATTGAACTTTTATAATTCAGCTAGTACATACAAAAACTATTGAAATCTAAAGTATATAACTGCCTTTGGCTGCGAAAAAATAGATAAGTCCCCGGATACGTGTAATTATAATGCCCGAGGCCGATAAGCACGTGAATTGTTGCTTTTTTTTCGCTGCCTGGACCGGTATGCTGTTTTTCGTACAAGGTGTTTGGAAAAAAACAGTTCTGTTTATGCACAGCGGCCAGGAAATGCTACTTTCAGGCCGCTGGTATAAAATAGTAGATCAATTTAGAACCACAGCCACGTACGAATAGTGCCTGTTTCACACAAAGAGTATAACGTTGACATCGATTTTTTTCAGTATACATTCACTTATATAAAACCTAGAGTAATTATCGTTTCAAGTTTTAATTTTAACGCAGTATCATTTTATGTAAATGTATGTACAGAGTGGGACAATTTCAAATAAATAGAAAGAATTATCATGACAAATACATCATTTCACTATTTATATATATGTACAACTGTCTTAGCATTCGCTTATGCATAATTATTTGATATGTAAAAAAAGTTTTATTATGCAATAATATATATGTCAATGTTAGAGTCTTTTGAGAGCGCTGTTTTGATGTCGGCGATGATGATGGTGAGCTCGACGGCTGCGATTCTGGCATGGCTCCTTTTCTGACACTGAAACTCAGTCGGTACGCTGGGTTACCGGTGGAAATTCGGCATCGTCATCTAATCGGAACGCACCAGCTTTCGGTGGACTTTCCGTCGCAGCGATTATCTCGTGATACTTTTCCGATTCTACGAGCATAAAGAAATACAAGATCATATGTTGCGAATGTCAATTACTCATCGATACACGCGTAAAATAATTTTAATTTTTCAAACCACTCCTGCTCATTGTCTAATAATATTTTTGTATTATAATTTTAATTAACATCAATCATATCATTTTGATTAATAATTGTTTCGCACCTTATTGCGGTTACTTTATCATTTATATATTAGTAATTATTGAATTATTTGCCTGCATTTCACACTTGTATCATATACAGTGCGTGTGTTTTCTTGTCAGTTATTATATGCTTTATATTTATACGAAAAAGCGTTTAGTTAAAGGAAGTAAGCGATTATGTTAAGAGAATGTTTCATACATAATAATGTAATCATCAGTGCCCCCATAAAAAAAATTGGTGTGTGATGGTTTGGTGCTAAGCTGAAAAAGGACTTGTAGAGTATAGAGGACATACCAGTACCTGACATGACGTCGGGTGAGCGGCCACGTAACGCACCCGCGTAGCTATTTAGGCAGGCTTCGAAGGATAATTTTTTATATAAAAAAGAGAACAAAAATAAAATACACATCAATCAACATGTAATTTTGGCATTATTAAAAGTATAGGTGAGTATAGGATAATGGATGCATATGCATTTTATTCATTGGTATCAAATATCACGTATTTTGAATATATCGTATATAAAATGCATACAGTAAAAAAAGTTTTGTTGACAAGCAATGATATAAAGGCTTTAAATGTGTTCCATACTCCATAATCCAGAGCAAACACAATCGTGCGCAAAAAATTATTCTAATTAACTTTTCGATCATTGATTCCAAATCAAAATAATATTTAAACTGATAAACCTATGTATTTTCAACTATGCCTGATTAGAATAATATTTTATTCAATTACCATCATGTTATTGCACTTTTTTTATATCTTTTTGAGCATTTGAGAAAAATTTGAGATTAAAATCGATAAGCACGTACGATGTTTGGCATAGCATGAATAGAAAAAACTACATTAAACATCAATCTTTTTCCTTGCCAAAATACACAAAACTTTTCATATTATCAATAAATTAAACATAACAGAGTTTTATTGCACACCAGAAGCATTTGTGTGGCTGCTCAAATCTTTTCATTTTTAATAATCAATGACATGCAATTTTTACTGAAAAGTACACATACCAGTATTTTGAATGGACTGCGGTGGTGTCGCAGCAGTTTCGCCAGACCCAGAAGCTGCGATGCCAGCACAATCAACTTCATCTTGTTTTCCATCTAGCCTGTAATTAAAGTTTTGTCAGGCCATTGAAGAAAATGGAGAATCACATTGAAGAATAATTTTTTTATACAAACCTATGTTGCTTGAAAAGAGTGCAGTCTCCACCTTCTTGAGTATCAAGATTATAAACATAAAGATATCCATCCGCACTAGCAACTAGCAACCTGAGCACCTTTTGAATCCTTCAATCAAGCAGTTAGCAAATATTTAATAAGATATCTTGGAAATAATTTATAAAATAATGTTTTCAGGCAGAAGCGGTTTCTAAATTTATTGTATAAACTTACGTTGCGATGGCACAGACATTTTTTAACCCTTGAAAAGGTAAATGAACACTAGCAAAAGCTCTACCCTGATTAAATACATCTGTTACTTGAGAAGGTAAATAATTAGCTGATGCTGTAACAGCTTTTGATAAGTAGCCCATCCAACTTTGTGTTTCTTCGGGTGGTTGTTGAGGCCTGAAATATAAGTAACTTACAATTCAAAGATATCAGTAATGGCTATCTAGTGAAAATAATCTTTTTTTTTATAGCTTACACTTCCTTTGGCTCTTCCAATTTAAATATATGTACAGTTTCTGTGTTGCTTGAGCAGCACAGAAACATAGAATCTATACTGAAGCTCAAACTGCTAATAGAAACACATCTTTTAACTCCTCTTCTGAATTCAAACAATTTAGTTCCATCATGAACCTGTAAACAGTGATTTTTTTGATATTGTCATTTCAGTATGGTTTCCATTTATCGAATAAAAAATTTTTAATATTTACATGAAAGACTCTGATGACTGTGCCTTTTTCTGAAGCAGTGGCAACTTTTGTACCATTTGGACTAAATGCAAGAGCAGCTAAAGGGCTATCATGAGCTGGTATCATAGTTTTTGCTTGCTAAAAAGTTTTAATTTAAATAAAGAAAAATCATTAAAATTTTATAAATTTATTAAAGAATGAATGGAGTGATATTTTTGTTAGCTTACTAAATTAATGGCATCAAATATTTGAACTTCACCAATGGTATTAGAACCAGGGTAGGCTAAATAGCAGTTATCACTATTTATTGAAAGCGTGCAGAGTCCAGCCAAATTTGGTGGAGTGTCTCGAATTGTATGTAAGACCTTCATATCTCTTATATTATGAATGTAAAGTGATTCTTCCAAACATACTACTAATCTCTATAACAAATATGATTGATTCATATACAAAAGGAAAGTTTTAAGTTTTTTTTGAGTTTTTAGAAATACTTACAGCTCTATTAAGTTTCACAGCCAATATTGTATTAGAGTAGCTATAATTACATATCTCTGTTCCTTTTCTAAAATGGCAAACTTTAAGTTTCCTGGGTGATGAAGAACTGACCATGGCAATGAGGCTACTATTGAATAGGCGCTCGATAATGCATGCATCTTCCGTTTCTAAAAAATTAAAAAATCAAATTACTTGTGAATTTCAAAATATAAGTACAGACAAGAAAAATTTGTTCTTAACCATTTTCAAAAATTTTTTCCAATTGATCCACAGAATTGAGTGAAAAAATTTTGTATCCAGTTTTTGAGCCAACTGCTAGCGACCTAAATTCAAAAATGTTTTTAGAAAATAAAATTTGTCATTAAAATGACTTATTCTCAAATAATTATGTTATAATAATTGGAAGAGTAAAAAAAATTAAATAAACAAATAGCATTGTGCCATCAAACGAGTAAATGAATTGTGAAACATTCAATAACAGCTGCATTCATGCACATACACATGCATAAATTTCAGCAAGAGCATACACATATGTGGACGAAGTGGGGATAAATAAAGAGTAAGACAAAGAGAGAGAGAGAGAGAGAGAGACAGAGAGAGAGAGAGAAAGAGAGAGAAAAACTAAACTGTCATAAAAATAGGTATAGAAAAACATGATGAGATTGATAAACAGGTAGTACATAGAGGGAGATATCAGTTGTAAGTACTTACGAGCAGTCTTGGTTGAAATTGACAAAGAATATTTGTGCATTTTGCGGATCGGTGGTATTTTGAGTTGCGAGGTTCATTAGTCCGGCTAAGCTCAACTTGAGACCTTGTGTTATTACGTCAATGTTTCTCGTGAGGCTTTGCATAAAATGCGCTGTTTTATCGCACTGCACACGCACTTGGAGCGAATGAACAATCCTGCTTGAGAGGAGTTGCTGCAAGGTTGTCCGTTACCACGCAACAAATATATGTATATACTGCAGTAGTGTATACCTGTGTGGAGAGCGAGAGAGAGCGATAGAAAGAAAAAAAGAGAGCGAAGCTGGGTACGCGAATCTTCTTCGTCTGAGGCAGCGTCTCTCTTTTTAGGTCTTATGCAGCAGATTGTAGCAGCTCGTCAGTAAATAAAATCTAGCTAATAGCAGCAGCAACGACGATGACGATATCAGCTGTTGCAGCTCGGGCGAGCGAGAGATCAACACTAGGCCTGAAATGACAACAACATAGGTATATACATATAGATATACGCGCACAAAGTGCAGCAACGCTGCAGTGAGCAGTCTGCTCAACTACAATCTATATAGTGCTATACGATCAAAAGGTAGGGTAGAATATGTATGCATACGAGTGAAACAAAGCCTGGCCTGCGTTGGCAGCTCGTTACAGCTATGGCCAAGTTACTGATGCAGAGTTCTAAGGTAGAATGCACTTGTCAGCGCGACTGTCAGTTGTTTTGCAGTGGCGTCAACTGGATAGTCGGTGCTATTTACTCACGTCGTCGTGTATTACAGTCGATGCACAAATCGCAACAATGACTGATGACTCGATGCGAGTGGATTGTGTGTTGATCTGCAGTTTGGTATAGCGGAGCTCGTTTGCGACTGCTACTACGACAGCTACTGCTGCTACTGATGCTGATGCTGCTGCTGCTGCTGCTGCTACTGCTGCTACTGATGTTGTGTTATGACTTATGAGTTCCTCACAGACGGCTGCACTTCATGTATATAATATTATGTTTATCTTGTGATATGTATAAAACAACGAATAAGTGATGAAATATAGACGTATTTGGAATTGGTGCAAATCTACATAAAAAAATCATGAGCTAGGGTACCAGTAATGCGAATATACGATGTCAAAGACGCTCTAAAGCCCCTATACAGAGAGCTTTTTTCTTTGCAATAATCCTAATTTAGTACGTGGCTCAAATACTCGCAGTGATCGACTACTCTGTTTAATACTTCAATTACCTACCAAACTCAATTGGTGAACTCCTCAAAATCATACATTTGGATGGAATAAACTTTTTAATATAAAATTTATCTCACGACTGAAGAAATATCGAAGCCAAAGATCGAAACCAAAGAGGAAATTAAAAGTATTAATGGCTTTCTTTCCAAGAAACCACCAAACAAAATCATCCTCCTGTGTTTACCAGAAAATTTCACAAATTTGTTGGATATTTTTCAGTTTCACTCTGGCTTAGCCGTTAATAAATAAACCACCTTAAATTATTAACATTTTTCACGATGTAATTACGAAAAACTAATTAAAAATGTGTAGTTCTAGAATTTAGCGTTTTTTTATAGAACATTTCAGTTCACATTTTCAAAACTTTCTACTAGACGCTAGAAATCGACAGTTATTGAAAAACACTCGGCATTTTTTTCATTTACTTCAAAAGTATTTAAAATGTTTTGTAAGTATTCGTAATTTATTCAAGGACTTGTTTTTTATGGAATAAAAAATCCATTTCTTTTTACCTATACAAATAAATCGTAAGCAAATGTATAGTTTCTACATGTATTCCACAAAAAATCAATTTGATAATTTTCACTTTAAAATCTGAAAAGGTTATTATTATTGATTAATTATATAAATTAAAGTTTTGCCGCTTTTGAAAATCATTAAACTTCTTTCTCAATTAGGTACTTATCAAATTTCTAGCTAATAGACTGGAAAAGGTAACGAATATAAACCTACTTAAATAAGACATTCAAAAATTTGAATTAGATTATTAAATCCTATCATATTAAATAACTTTATCAACAGAATCTTAGGTAAAGTGTAGTGAATTTTCCGAACAATTTTATCAGCTTACGTCTTGTTATAAGAATATTCTCCTACGTTACTTACATACATTTTTTGAGTCAAATAGAACGGATATAATTCAAATCTAAATATCACTTCTCCTGACTTGCAACAAATAGATAGCTGGAATCAAATTTTCACTCATTATATTGCTGCTTATTGTATAAGGCAATTTTTATTCTCTTTATGGTCAAGAAAATTATGTACTTCTAAACTTGAATTCGTCCTCTGTTAATTATAAAAAATGACTTCAATTAAAAGTTTAGTCGATTCGAAATTGTCTTTTGGCTGGGCGAACGTGAGTCGTAACTTGGCATAATAGTTTGAGTTACGGAAAAAACTTATTTTTATGTTTTTAAGGTTCCCATAGAGCCTTTTAGAGTCATATTGAGTAGACGTTTCTGCTTGTTTGACCGATTTATAAAATTAAATTTTCGGCTGGATGAACTTCCGTAATGACGATCTTTCGCTTCGCTTGATTCGCGATTTTTTTCCATGTCAGATCCAGACTCAGATTTAAGATTTGATGCTGAGTTAAAAAGTTGTGGTTATTTAAATAAAAAAAAAGTGAAAATTTGTTTAAAACATCGACTGTGAGAGTCGTTTACAAAGTATTACAGTTAAAAACTCAAGATTTAAATATGATCAGAGGTGATCATGAGTGTAGAAATTTTCACAGATTTTTCGGACAAAATGGCGTCTATGTATAGGCGCGAAATGCAGCAAAAAAACGTTACTTGGTAAATTCTATTTCAGCATGATTAAAGTTTTTTTTATAAAACTATCAAAGAAAAAACATTTTTTTAATTCTATATCATATAAACGAAAGAAAAAAAATTAAAAATTTTGAATCTCTAACTAAGAAGATTATAGCGAGTGTGAGAAAAAATTTTAAATATATATCTTTCAACAATGAGCGTCTCAGTTAATCGTAATTTTTCAAGGTTTTTTACTGTGGCCATGAAATTCTGAGTCATTCACAAAATTATATGCAGCTAGAAGTGTATTTCAAGTGATGCATGAAATCTGTTTCATTCGTACAATGTATTTTTGAAAATAACTTTGGTCAAGTGTGATCTGATTAAAATTACTTTTAAAAAAGTAATTGACAACGGCACATTATTCAATCTTAAACGTGCTTGACTAACGGAAAAACTCATTCTCAATCCTTTGTTTTGAACATAGCAACTCAAGCAATATTCATTATAATATAAAATCGTTCACATTGACCTTTGAAAGTCGGGTTGACAAAAATAAACGTGCATAAACAGGTACAAAATGTCGTAAAAATTTGTCGAGACTCGTCCATACTCTTCGAATTGAACTTTGTAATTTTGTTAATGGAGCCGCATCTCATAGAACTCCTGGATAGCGATATAATAAATAATAAAATTTCGTATGGCATTGGAGGTCTTGTCTTTTTTTGGATTCAAATATTTATACCTTCATAGCTCATGATTAGTAACAAATGAATTCAATAATAAAAAAGAATTGAAGAATTGAAACAATTAAGTGAAGAAAATAGCTATTGTATAAGATTATTGTTATTCTATACAATTTATATTCGATGAATGTTTGAAAAATAGCATAATATCATCTCCTTCACGGATTTGATCCAACTTTACGTAGCTAGGAGTACGTTAAATACGGTCGAGGTAGGCTGGCCGACGTCGTAGAAGTTATCCTTATAAATGGCGGCTTTAGCTCCATATAACACTTGTGAGTATGTGGACTCTTCGTAATGTAGGTATACACGTATGGAGACTCGTGTGGGGATCGCAAATGCGTGGCAAAGCTCGACGAGATCTCGTCATAGGCTCAACAGCTAAAACGAGAGCAAATATTCACTCGGTGACTCTGGGTCGAATGGCGAAGGTACTCATTCGACGGGATTCCATGCAGCTTTTACGATAAATACAGAATCGATCGGTGCAAGTGATCTTGGCACCGCGACTGTGCTCCCTACTGCAGTGGCACACGCATCGTAGCAGGTTTTGCTCAAGACTCGATAAGGCATGTCCCGAAGCGGTGACAGCTTGTGCGATCACGCGCAACAACAACTCGTAATATAGTTACCGAATGTTGGAACGATTTTTGAGCCGTATTTCGTGACTGCTAGCCGATACGTCACAAGAAAAAAATGTGTTCACTCAACGATTATCTCGATGAGTTTCATTGCTTTTATCATTCATTCGTGAATATTATGCGGCCTGGATCGCAAATTACAGACTCATCGCGCATAGAGGAAATATGGAGCATGGATATTTTATTCGATACGATATTTGAAGAGCGTTTGGCACGGAGTGGGTGAAATTGTAGCGATCGGTCTGATCAAGATCGTTTCACTAAATTCTTTGATCCCTCAACTAACATTTTGTTTGAAAAAAAATGAATCAATCCGAAAAACATAAAAAAGTAGGTTCCTATTTGATTCGTGCTCGATCAGCTACTAGGTACAGTTAAGTTTGCCGCCTCGTCGCCGGCGCAGCCAAGGCCATGTGCCGTGTGCCAAGTGGCAAGAGCAGCACCTTGGACATCCGTCGCCATGGTTATAAGGTGCACCGCACACGTGCCAAAACAACAACACAGAGTCGCTGCGCCCGCTAGAAATCGCGGAGCTCGCCCAGCCAGCAAAGTACGACTGTCGAGGGTGAAATCGAAGATTGGAAAGTATGGTAAGAGCGAGCGGACTCGAGATCCGGATGGTTGATAATCGATCGATTCGATCGGCAGATCCTGTCGCGAGCCAAGCCGGCCTCGGGCGATGGCGTCGCGGCGTCACGCAGCTCGACCGGCAGACCCCGCGACTCCATCCCCTCGCTGGAGGAGCTGCTGATGAGGCGCGACTACATGGGCGCCCTGACCCTCCTCGAGTTCGGCGACGTGGCCGCGTTCGGCGGCAGCGACTCCGTGGCCCAGTGGCAGGCCTACTGCGCCTTCCACCTCGGCGACTACAAGCGCGCGGCCGAGCTGTACGAGCGCTTGGCCTCGCCTCGGCGTCCCGTCCAGCTGGCCTGCTGCCTCTTCTATCTGGGCATGTACCCGGAGGCGCAGAGGTGCCTCGACGAGGCCGAGCCGGCGGCCGACGGCATCGAGCAGCTGAAGAATCGGCTGCGTCTGCACCTGGCCCACAAGCTCGGCGAGCGGGCCCAGGCCAAGGAGTGCGAGGAGCGTCTGCTCGCCGACCAGTCGGTCGAGGATCGGCTCTGCCTGGCGGCGGTGCACTACCTGCAGGCCCATTATCAGGACGCCATCGACATCTACAAAAAGGTCCTTCTCGAGAACAGGTAACGACTAGGCCCGCCTCTTAATTACGATCTAATTACGGTCGGCGCCATTTCACGCATCGTTCGAATTTGTCCAAGGGACTTTTTGGCGCTCAACGTTTACGTGGCTCTGTGCTACTACAAGCTCGATTACTTCGACGTGGCCCAGGAAGTGCTGCAGGTCTATCTGCAAAAGCACCCGGACAGCGCGACGGCCGTCAATCTCAAGGCCTGCAATCACTTCCGTTTGTTCAAGAGCACCGCCGACATGGTCGAGATGAAGCAGCTCGTCGACAAGGTCTCGACGAGCAGCCGCTTCGGCAACGATCTCATCCGTCACAACATCGTCGTCAGTAAACGCATTCGCGGCTTCGCGCTCGGAGTCACTCGTACGGCGATTCATGCTTTGCTCACCCTCGTTGTAGGTATTCAGAAACGGGGACGGCGCCTTGCAGTACCTGCCGAATCTCGTCGACGTCATCCCCGAAGCTAGGCTCAACTTGGTCGTGTACTACCTCAGACAGAACGAGATTCACGAGGCTTACGAGCTCATCAAGGAGCTCGAGCCGACGGTCCCTCAGGAGTACATCCTTAAGGCCATCGTCAACGCCGTTCTTGGCCAAGACAAAAATTCCGTGAGCATCCCAGCGGTACTATTTTACCGATCCCTGACTATAATCCAATTTTTTTCTTCTTCCTTTCGACAGCAAGAACACATTAAAATAGCCCAGCAGTACTTTCAACTGGTCGGAACTTCAGCCTCGGAATGCGACACCATACCCGGCCGACAGTGCATGGCTTCCTTTTATTTTCTCTATCGCCAGTTCAAGGACGTGCTCATCTATCTCAACACTATCAAGACGTACTTTTCCAACGTTGACAGTTTCAACTTTAATTACGCTCAAGCTCAAGCGGCAACCGGCCATTACAAGGAAGCCGAGGATGCCTTCCTCGCCATCAGGAACGAGCGATTTCGCAGCGACTTTACTTACGCGAGCCTGCTGTCTTATTGCCGTGAGTTCTGTCTGCGGAGATGCCCTTAATCCCTATCCTTTATTTTTCGTTCGGCCTGAATCATTGTCGAACTTAAAGTTGCGCCAACGACGTTTTTCAGATATAATGAATAAGAAAGGTCAGCTAGCCTGGGAATTGTACCTGAAAATGGATCCTTCGCCCGAGTCCTTCAGCCTTTTGCAGCTGATAGCCAACACTTGCTATACGGTCGGCGAATTTTGGTACGCAGCCAAGGCTTTCGACATGCTCGAGCGACTGGACCCGTCGCCTGAGTTTTGGGAAGGCAAAAGAGGAGCTTGTTGCGGAACTTTTCAGTACATCGTAGCCGAGAAACTACCGAGGTTGTTCGTTTTTCCATCGATCATCTTAAATTACCTACTTTTTTAACTTTTTTCTTGCATTTTTATCTTTAACATTCAATTAATCTATTATTTTTTAGAGAATTACTCACTGAAGTGATCAAATTACTGAAAAATACAACTAATTCCCAGGTGGAACAGATAATTCGAGTGATGAAAAAGTGGGCCAAAGAAAATAGGGTAGTCTGTTAGTTACTATCTGCTGATTAGTCTGAAATCACCACTCCAATGTGTATAGTTATTTAAAACGTGTTTATTATTTTACATTATATTAATGCTCATATTCTATACAAAGATGTTTCTTTAACATACATGTTTGTAATCAGGTATATAAAGATATTTTTAACTTTACACAAACCAAATTTACTTCAATTGATTCAAATACATTCCAATTATATTGTATTACATCCTTATTCATTTAACTATAATTGCACTCTAATTCATATACATAAAAGTCATGGTTTCCAGACTCTCGGACATTGAAACATTATATTACCTCAAAAATGCATTCAACTGGAATGATCAGTGTTACATCGTATTGTGTGCAAGCTTAAGTTATGAACAATCTTCAGTAGAAATTCATACATTTCCATCTCTTCGACGGATTTGGTTTTTATTTTATTTATTTATCCATTCCTTTAAAAAAAAAAAAACAATGTTATCGAAAAATTATTCACTCAGCTCAACGTAAATTGACCGTTTGTGTAAAAATAGAGTCAAAAGTTTTTTCGCCGAATGTTATGAGAATTTCTTGTTTTTGTTTCGGTCGCGTGCTGTAGTATGACGTGGGCTGGGTGATAAATCGTCTGACTCGATCGTTATTATTCGATAGGCCAATAATTTGTTCATCGCTCGCTAACTCATAAATATGATAATATCTTACGAATTATAATCTAAAAGATGGAGTGTTTATTGCTATACAATATTTATAATATTTATATGAGTGTTTCATAAATCACTCATAAATTTAATTTAAATTTCATTTCAATATATATTACACAGCGAAACATACTTTCGAGGAACGTAAAGATTTAATTTTTCAGCTGTAGTAATTACTCGGCCAATTAGAAAAATGTAAATATAACTGTAACGTTTTACAATGTTTACTTAAATGTATTCCAAAATACACTTAGTAATTTTTTCACACAAATCAATGTAAACGATAAAGTTATAAAAATATAAAATCAAACACTACACTAATTTTTTTATTGAATCAAAAGTGACATTTTCAAAATTTTCGAATGAATCTCATTACGATATTTCATCTTGAGTTGTACAGTAAAAATGGCTATAATCTGATTGAATATGGCATTTTCGGTGGATTACATGAAATTGACTGTTATTCTTTGAGCGACACAACTTTAATGAAAAAATTGTCAGTTGTAGAATAACAATTCATTGCACATTGCCATGGAATTACATTGACATTGAAGAGGATAAAAGCTCATTTTACAGAGTATTTTATTCAACAGACTATTTTTTCAAGCTCAGACTTAAATTTGAGAAACATATTTTACGTTATTAAAAAATGTTCATCTCTTTTTTTGTTCACATAAAGTCAATCATTAAATATTCGAAAAGCATTTGCCGCCGAATTTTTCGTAAAAATGATTAAATAAATATTTCACTGATTAAAAATCTGGCAGCTTATCATAATACATAATGGTGCAATGCAGATATTAAATTACATATGGAGAGTGTAAGGTAAACTATTTTTATTTTGAGTTCAGTCATATTATGGTCAGGCGACGTTACGCCACCTAGGAGACAGATCTTGAAAAATAAAACTAATGATTCTAAACGTTTACAAACAATTGGCAGCTTCGTAAATATAATACTTTAAAAATACAATAATAAGTCTAATTCTGAAAATCAATATCTAATATCACTCTTCAAGAATAAAAAATTATCAACAAAAATTCTTATGTAAATCAAATACATTCTTAAGTTATCGATGTTACTATTTAACACATGTAGTATTAATAATAGTTACAAATGATTGAATCTCTACTTTCATAATTTCATGTTCACGATTATATCAATATATATTTATGATTTGTTAGGATGATCTTACCTTTCATATTGATACTGACTATTGCAAAATGATGAAAATTTAAAAAAAATATTCGATGAAAAAGTGTTCAGTATAAGAACTAATTGACTCGTGGAATTGCATGTGTACCCACGAAAGAAAATGATTTTCAACGAACGTTTACTACAATATTTAGTTAAGTTTTGATGAAATGAAAAAACATGCTCCTGTTTTAACTCTAATTTTAAGGTTCTTATAAAGTTGATGAACGAACATTTAATAGATTTAGTTAGCCTAGTTAACTAATAAATAATATAAATCAAGAATTTAGGTAATCACAATTTCAATAAGGCCAGCAATCGACGTAAAAATGGATGTTCTTTGGCTTAAGACTGACCTTTAGCAAAAAATATTTTTTACGATAGATTTTTGGAGTTTAGTTAGTATTATAAAATTAAGAGTCCAACTCTTAAAAGGGCGTCAAATCAGTATTTTCATAGTCTAAAGAATAAATGAGCACATAAGCGCTTGTGTGTTTTCTTTTGTGTGTTTGTTTGTGTGTGTGTGTGTGTGTGTGTCTGTGTGTGCTGCAGAAAGATGTTATTGATTGATCCGTGGCATGTAGTTGATAGATGGCTTAATTCGGTTAATTGCGTAAAAATTGCAATTTTACATGAACTAAACATAATCTTGATCATGTTTTTTGCCAAAATTTCTTCGGTAGCTATTTCTAAGGCTACGCATTGCTGCGCGGCTCAAAGAAGTTCGCCCCCATGCCACGGCACCCATGTTTCAATTCCTATCCCTGAAAAATTCCAGCATTTGGAGTTTAATCAAACTTGCGTAAAACGTGTAGCGAGATTAAAATCCACAATTTTGTATTAATTTTTTTCAATTGACTTACCCTGGTCCTGGATAGTAGTAAGGCGGAGGTCGCTCATATTCGGTACTTAAAGGGGGTGCTACTGCAGCTGGTTGGTACCTCGGCGGTCCGCCATTAGGAAAATCCCAGTTTCTATGATAAAAAATCATTGGTCAGTAAATGTTGTTTGCAGTCAGCTTCCAACACAATTTTTCAGAGGGTGAAGTGTGACATGATAAATGAATGATAAGTGATTGATGAGTAATGATAAAACAAAAAAGAAACGCGTGTACGAACTTATGGATTCATTCGGGTTTGGTATGAACAGTAAGTAATCAAGTTCAACCTATCGAAACTTTTGAACCTGACGTATGCACGACCGCAAAAATATAAATTAAATGTCTTACTTTGGCGCTAGATCAGAGTATCTAGAATCATGAGAAGTGCCTTGATGCGCGTCAGCGATTCTTTCTCTATCGGTATAGCTGATCGCTGTCCCGTCAAGATAGCCTTCGATATAGGCTGTAGAACCATGATGATGAAGATGATGATGATGTCGATTATGCGCAACATATTTTTTATCAGGAGTACTGTAACAAAACATAAAGAACGAAAAAAGTGAGTATGAATGCTAATGAATGAGTCATGAAGTGCTGAGTGAATAAGTGCACTTGTTGCAAAGAGCCGTGCAATTGTACTTTGGGTAACATCAAGTGCGTTTTAAAAATTAATATTTGGCTAAAAACATCAAAAATAATTATCCGTATTCAGTGTCGAGCGAGGATTGTGTGCGTATTTCAATGACTGATCCACCAATGCGTGTATAGGATTAAGTGGCCTTTTTCGGGGGTAAAGTGAAAACAATTTATTTACATATACTAGTATATTTAATTGTAAAAAATATCTAGATTCTAAATATCGAAAAATAAAATTATTTTTTGCAACGTAGTTTAAAAATAGCCTCGTAAAATTAAAATTAAAAAAATTAAAGAAGAATATGCATACTATATCACTATGTGCAACAGGTATAAAACATGCTAGCTAGCATTATGCCTTTTCCATTTAATTCATTTAAAATACTTACTGAGCAAGGGGTACGTTATCCCTGTCGGCATACGCGTCATACAAATATTCACTGCAACGGATCGATTCAATCAGTTTCCATTGATAATAAACAAAGACGTGCTCATTGCAACTTTCATGTTATCGATTGCACTAACTCTTTTCAATAATGAAATAAACACTTTAATACAAGTATCGGTAAATGGGTGATGCGAAAAAAAAATTTGGTACCTTGAAAAAAAATTATGAGAATATGCCAAAGCCACGGGGAAAATGAGCATTTTTAAGTTAGCTTTTGACGATTTGTATTTGAATCGTCATCAATAAAATACGTAATTGTGAATATTTCATTATTTCTAGAATATTCATAAATATCTTTGGCATTTTTTTAATTGAAAATTTTGAATTACTAGAGTACTCACGCTTCAACTAGAGGTCCTGGATAAGGATCCGACTTTTGGTAAAGCACGCTTAATTTGACGCACAACACAATAGTTGGAATGAACAGGAGTAAACTCCAGCCAACGCTGGCCCAAAATCCATTCTGCAAACGATTTTTTGATTAATATTTTTTCGATTGATCTGTGTGTGATGAACTTACAAATGGATCAAGGATTTTGTTGCAGCTAGCCACTACCGTCGCATTGTACGCATGCGACACTGGTCCGCATTTTCCAACTTTTGTTAAGGTGCTATTTATCACGTAATCAAGATAATTATTTACTTGAAAAATGAATGCTTTGCCAAACTCTTGAGCGAGCTGTGAAAAAGAAGAGTTTATTGAATCGTAACATAAAAGTAGAAAAATTACTTGATTAATAAGTTTGATTTACTGTTTTAACGTGCGATGGTCCACTCGTAGATATGAAAACTTGGGCTTTATCGACTTGGTCGACCAAGGAAAGAATGGCCTCAGCCATAGAAGTGTGATTGAACTTTATATGCTCTTGTAGCTCGGTGGCGCTATCGCTAAGTCGATTGCTCAAATTACTCATGGGCACGACAATATCACGATGGTAGCCTTCGAGGTCGTAAGCGTTTTTGAGCAAATCTTCTTTAACTTCATCGTAACCGTTCGGGAGTTTGAGAGCGACCTCTCGGAGTTTGCCGGCAAGTTGCTCCAAATTGATGCTCGTAATATTGTCTTTCAAATTGTCGGTGAATTGATAAAATTTGATGTCGCTTAATCCACTTTGAGCCAAGGCATTGAGCTTTTCTCTCGCAGCCTCGCTAATTATTCGGTAATCATGCGACAAACTAATTTTCTGCTCGAGCTGATGAATCGTTTGATTGATATCGTATCGGTCGATAAAACCTCTGAGAGATTCAACGTCGACGATGTACTGAAGTTTCAATACCTTATAAATAGTCTCGTTTTTGTGGCAAGCACTATTGGATCAATGGTATAAAAGAAGATAAAATTGAAACAATCAAGCAATAGATAGAAATGCACTTGATAGTTGATTGTACTTACGTAACCATATGAGCGATATCGATGTCGGCATTGACGTTCTTTGGATAGAGCATCTGTTTGACATTCACGAACCGATCGAGCAATTCAAAAACGTGATTATCTTCGGGATGTTTCAGTGGTTCACAAACGACCCTTTCGGCAAGTATGCCGGTAACCATGTGAGCGATCGTCACGACGAGCAGCACACTCGTCAGTAAGAAAATTATCCAAACAGCCCTTTAAACAACATTGTTTGCGTAAGTATATACTATGCATGTCTTGAACGAGGATTTGTCAAACTCACATCATAAGAAAACGTGCGCCTGAACCTTTATTGCAGCAATCATCGTCGTAGCCGTCAGGGCGTTTTCCGCAGACTCCGCAAAACAGACCAAATGTTAAACAAGAAAAGACGGTGAGCAAGATACTTGAAATGCTCAATCCCAGGTAGTACCTGTAAGCCGATATTGAATTCAATCATCGCGTGGACAAATGTTTCGAGTGGCATGATTGCGTTAGAAGCGCAAAAGACAATGCACGATGCGTCGACTCGGGCGATTTTCAATAACACTCGTTGGTGCCCCAACGCGAAACAAAATAATAGGAAAGAAAATGACAATAGCACATTGTATTCGCAATGCACGAGGAGGAAGGAGATTACCTGTAATGCGAGTATTGATCGATATGGCGTTTCGCGTAATCGAGCTGAGGTAGGTAGTTCTTGTCGATGTCCATGCTGAGACGGTCGACCATCTGAACGATATTGTTGGAGACTCCAGCGAGCGAGTCACCGGCCCTTCTGATACTCGCGCTCACCACGGGTATGGTCTGGTTGACGGCTTGCTGGATTTCCTTTTGGATGTTCATGAACTCCTCCATGCCTTTGCGCACCTCGGCCACGATATTGCCGTCCATCAGTTGAGATATATTGTTCAGCACATGATTGACGGTGAGATCGGGCAACTGAACCATTGATTCATTTGTTATCATTGAATAATAGATAAATTCAAACATTTTACATAAATAATATGTATATGAAATGAGAGTGGAAAAGTAAAATGAGAAAGAGGAAATTTTGATAAGATAGAGACTCATGCGAGAGACAATTGCAGCTACCTTTGGAAAGTATCGATCCAGGTACTGTGCGTTCGAGTGCATGAAAATGATCAATAATTATTATTAGTACGAAGGAACAATGAATAATCAATGTTAGTAAAGAATTTTGTTTACTATTGATTGTTTGATAATGAATCATTGGTGTGCGTGTACAACTATGTCTTCGCAAGTTAATGAGCGCGTACAGTGCTTAGATGATTAAAATTGGTGTTGTTTTTTATTTGTCATGCTAATGTCGTTCATTTTGTTCATATATTTTATTTTTCATATTTATGATCACGAATGAATAAAAATAGGCGGGACAGTTATGTTTGAAAACGAAAACTTTGGAAACAATCGTTACTTAACCATACCGATGAGAATTTCATTATTTATAGTAGCTTTACTTCAAAAGCCTTGCCTCGTATGAAAAGCTCTAAAAAGCTCAAGACTCGTCAATCCGCGGCTTACGAGAACGAGTTCTAGATTAATTTCCTGGCAAATAAGGTTTGGGATTTTGAAGCTAATATGTCTCTGATTTACGTAACTCAAAGATAGATTCAATTCGGATCTATTAATAAGATCTTAGTTTTTTATCTCAGCTGAAAAATTTAGTCGTCTTGAGTATGAAAAACTATTAAACGATCCATTTTATCTTGAAAATTTTCCAGAAAATCCGTATGAATCATTCGAGTGCATATTTTTATGCTAGTATAAATAAATCAAACAAGAAAAATATAAAAAATTTTACGTCAGCATTGTTATGTATCAATTGTTTTCGGTTTTCTTGCACCATTTCTCGTCTGCATTCAAGAAAAAGCGAGAAAATATCGAATTTATTTCATCGACGATCATCGTCGATTCTATATAAAATGTATCGTTAATTCTGGGACATTCTTCCAAAGCGGATCAACAACGTAAACGTACCTTGTCGAAGTCGACTTTGACAGTCATCTCGCCGATTCTGTATTTGTTCATAAGGTCCTTGCACTGCTGCGTATCGCAGCTACTGAGAGTCTGGAGCAAGTTGTTGCGCACTTTTCTCACGACTGTTGACAAAAGAAAAAAAGAATAAGTAGAAAAGAAGCAGATACTTTTGAGAGACGAAAGCTCGTGCAAAAGGAGAAGAGGATCGACTCACGAATTTCGAGATGCGAGGCGTTGTTGCGCAGCTCCCTCGTGATGTCGGTCATCATCTTGAGGTCCTTGCGTATGGGCGACAAGCCGGCGACGATGTCGTTGAGAGACATGAGCGAGACGGCGTGCGACGACTCGGCCAGCTGCTCCGTGACGATCTGGCCGCTCGCCCGGAGGATCGAGTTGAGCGCCAGCTCGAGCTCGTCGTAATTGAACTTGAGCAGGGTCTCGATCTGGGACTTGGTGGCCTGCAGGTAGGTGCGCAGGTCGCGCAGACTCGTGGCCGCGGCCCTGGGCAGCTCGCGGGTGCCCTCCTGCATGTACTCGTTGGTGGCGAAGGCGCAGACGACGCCGAACAGGAGGACCGTGGCGCAGCCGATGAGCAGGAAGCTCAGGACGACCTTGCGGCAGTGATCGTGCTTCTTGTCGAAGGGGGCGCTCCGGGCGCCGCAGCGACCCGCGCAACGACAGCAGCAGAAGAAGAGGCCGACGCAGGGCAGCAGAGCGGCCAGCAGGAGGCCGGCGAACGCCACGGCCCCCAATGCCCCGTAGTGCGTCAGCAGCTCGCGCCATTCGCTCGCCGGGTCGGCCAGTACCAGCTCGCCGTCCTCCTCGAACCGGATCAGACCTGCGAATTAATCACGCAATCGGCTATGGACTCTCTTTCGCGCTAAATAATGACGAATCGACTCGAGCTATCTATAGTAATTCTACGCACGAAACTACGGCATGAAACGCCCACACTGGTCCCTATGAGCTCGCTGCCCCGAAATACTCCGCTGTGCGACTGCCACGGGGAGGCGCGTTTATTTTTACGCACTTGGAGAAAGATGGAAGAAAAAAGGCGAAAAAAGAAAACAGTGGGTGGTAGACAAAGAAAGTTACGACGAAAAGCTTATAGCTGGGGCCCGTTGTTGTGACATTGCAATCGCGGCGGACTGTTTTTTTCGATCGCGCGCCTACGTACTACGAAGAACGAGAATAAAGAATTTGGGAGTTCTTTGGCCTGAGTCAACGGCTCGCGCGAACTTATTATACTTTGGAGATTCGTGGAAAAGCCGAAGGTAAAAACGAGGCGGATGCTCGGCGTTGTCTCTGTTTGTATCATAAGCAGGTGCTTCGACTCGGCGCTCAGCCAATATAGAGCTTCTACGAGGCGGATCATCGCGCGGAGAGAAGTCATTGTGCATCCTTGAGCGCCAATTAGCCTATGCACGTCGTTGTAGAAGCCAAGAGCGCAATAGCTCGCGAGCACAAAGCAACGGACTCGTCGCAGTGTGTACGCGTATAGGATGTGCAGCATAGCTGGCAGTGTATATATCATAACAGACGGGCTAGTCAGAAGAAGCAGCGGCAAAAGTCGCGATAACGAAACGAGCTTTCAACGGGACGTATCTCGCGTCAAGTACTTGTAATGTATTATTTAAGTGGCAGTTTAAAGCGATTCGGGTAAACCGAGCGCAGCGGAGTCAATGCGTACGTGCACTCGCTGCGTATACGTGTATGCATGTGTTTACAAGTATTAGGTCGCACGAGCGCGGAACCTGTAAGTACGAGTGAAGGTGCAAACGACTCGAATCTCGGAGCCGATCAGCTGCAGCGTCTAAGTGGACTGAGTGAGAGAAAGAGAGACAGTACGTATACACGCTCTACTCTATGATGCTGCTCTGCTGTGTATACTATCTCATAGAAAGGAGATACGCGACTCGAGCCAAGAGCTACATCGCGGACTCGCCGCTATACACGCAAAGAAAGATTAGGACCGTTACGTGTAGAGGCAAGCGCAGCAACGCGGAGGCAGCGGGCCCCAACGCTTCGCGATCCATCCTCCTCCGATCTCATCTCATTTTTATAATATGCGCGATCTGTCACGTTTGCCTGTAGCGTGTGTCCATGCATAATTAAACCATGTCAACGCGCGCCGAAACATCGATAGACGACCGAATGGACGGCTCAAAGCTGCGTCCTTACTATTTTAAAACCCGTAGGTAGTTGGAACAACGGCAACAACAGCAGTTGGTCGCCGCGTGTAACGGTCGCGTGAGTCACTCGAATGCGCTCGTCGATTATTCATTACAAATTAGTCCAGCCAGTTATGACGCTTAATTGCGGAGAGAAAAAAAGCAGCAGCAGCTCGTGTACATGTGTGCGGAAGGAGCGCAAAGGGGGACATTTAAACACAATAACCTCGTCGCACGGGCTGCTTGTGTAAGCTAGGCTAGGCCGTCGCTAATGTCATATGACTTTGCGTCGCTATATAGACAGGCGACGAGTTTTTTAGACGCAGGTTTCTCTATCTCGCGCGACTCGTACACATACCTTCGGGAAAAGCCTGCTTGGGATGTAGAAAGTCGATGAAGGCGTTGGTCACGTTGTAGAGCTGGCCCATGCCCATGGGGTCGAAGTCCGTGCTGGCGTTGTAGGCCAGCGAGCTCGTGCTGTTGAAGCCCGTGTAGACGAGCGACTTGAGGCCCGCGCTCTCGTCCAGCTTCCTGCGCAGCCTCTCGCCGAGGTCGTCGCCGATCGTCGTCGCCTTGACAGCATCGTTGGATGCTCCTCGGGACGGCCTCGTGAGCCAGGCGAATGACAGCAGCAGCAACAGCAGCAGCACTGGCCAGCGAGCTCCCGTCGCGGTGGCCATGGTTAATCGCGCACTGCACTCGCTATTCGCGACGCTGCTCCAAAAGCCCAAGAGGGCACGCTCGCTGCACGACTCTCTCTTTGTTGTCGTCGGCCGTCGGTGGCTTTGTCGAAGCTCGATCGGGCTACCGCAGCCCGGCCACACGCACGCACGCACGCACGCACACGCGCTCTCTTTCTCTCTTTCTGTCTTGCACACGCACACGCGCACGCTCACTTTTGGGTCCGTAGGCGCGCGACGAGACGCGGAGAGCTGCTTCGCTCGCGGTAGATCGCTGCCTACTGGGCCACGACCCGCGAGCGCGTCAACTTTCTGCGCCTACGTGTGTGTTTGCGTATAGGTTTATGCTGCTGCTATGGTACGCCAGGCCGTTCACTTTGTCGCTCGTACGCGCACTCAACGCGAAAGATCACGAAGAAAGAGCAGGAGAGAGGCGCAGAGCTCGACCGAGTTTGTCGGTACAGCATATACAGCAGCTGAACGGCGCTCGGGGAGCTCGGAGCTCGCGTTGTTTTCGCTGCTCTAGCCTATACAGCACGCACACTCGCTTTGATTGATAACTACCTACACGTCCAATAACAGTGTATGCGCTTCTCTCGCTTCTCCTCCCAACTCGACCTCCGCTGCTCCACGGTCCACAGTCTTACGATGTACAGTTCATACAGCAGTATTCTCTACATCCTATGTATATATATAGGTATACTGGGTATATAGTATATAGCCACAGCCAGCAGACTATAGTACCAGAACTCGCTGCTCGCGCCGCTGCTCGCTAACAGTCTGCTCAGTATGTGTACAACACACAGCGGAGTCTGACCCGTAACGTGTTGTGACTGGCGAGCCATTCTGTCAGTCGTAGGATGCGGTGCAGCCTGATGTCTGGCAACCGCGACTCGCACAATCAGACCCACTCTCTATTAAATGTTTTGCTGTCCTTATGCTGCAACGCCGATGAATTCGTAAACAGCATTGATCTGACCAATCGCGCGAAACTCCGAGTCGTCCAGTTCTACAATTCAATTGCTTCTTCCCATATTGATACATCGTTCCAATGAGCATTAAAAATAAAATTTATGAGTCCAATTCCAACTAGGCCTTTCGCCCTTTCATTTTAAACAAAAATTTACAGTGCGCGCGCACGCAGTCGACTCCAACAGCCAACTTTCAGTATAAGGCATTCATCCCTATTCGGATGACGTATCCCTCCACCAGCGTCCGGCCGCCAGTGATCGAGTCGGCTCAGCGGCGCATTTCGCAATTGCAGAGTCGCAGGCGGCGTACTTACTACAGTCGGCAGAGAGCGACGCGCTTTACACTAGCATTACTCTGCACGCCACACTCCTGAGTCTGTACAACTACGTCGCTTCTCGAGCATAATATAACTGCACACTCGTATATATTTCCTTAGAATGTCAACGTTCAATCTCTATTTGTGATATTTAACTCCATGCAAATAGTTATCAGGCAAATCTTGCTTCGATATTGCGTGCTTGCCTACGCTCTGTGATAACTAGTGACTTACCGAGTCCCTGTGTGTGTGCGCGCGCGCGTGTGTGAGTGCGTGGGTGTGCATGATCCTATCGCGTGTGCAACGCACTGCAACGTGCACATCGTAGCACGTCGCAGGCGGCTTACTCGCATCTCTCGTGCTTCTTTGTGCGCGATCAAAACACCGGCCGCTTTTCACGCTTCTTCAACACGTTGCTCCGAATCCTCGCCTCGGGAATCACCATCGGCATGGCCTCGACCGAACAAATTGGCTTGAATAAGACTTGGGAGTTGTCCTTGTACGAGCTGCATCGCACTCCCCAGGAAGCCATAACTGACAGCACCGAAATAGCTGTCAGTCCCAGAAGTCTTCATAGCGAGCTTATGTGTCCCATCTGTCTCGACATGCTCAAGAAGACAATGACGACGAAAGAGTGCCTGCATCGATTTTGTTCCGATTGTATCATTACTGCGCTTCGCAGTGGCAACAAAGTAAGTACAGCTCGTGCTTGGCCTTATGCTCTGATGACATTTAGAACTATCTCTGAGCTAGAATTGTTTTTGAAATTTGAAAATTTTTTTCAGGAGTGTCCCACTTGTAGAAAAAAACTCGTATCCAAACGCTCGCTCCGGCCGGATCCGAATTTTGATTTGCTCATTTCTAAAATCTATCCAAGTCGAGACGAATACGAAGCTCACCAAGAGCGAGTTCTGGCTCAACTCAATAATTCGCACTCCCAAGCTGCTCTTGTCAACTCTATCACTGAAGGTATCAAACTTCAAAGTCAGAATAGGCCTCAGCGCTCGAGAAAAAATGCCGGCGATGCAGACGTACCTACCGCGTCGGCTAATTTCAATAACAATCGATCTCTCAATCAAACTTCCAATGCTTCCACAAATAACAATCAATTGGAAAGTCCACAGTCTAATGGTCCATCTAGAGATAACCACTCCAATAATTCCAATGGCTTATCACAGCCAGTGGCCAGCCCTGCCGTATCTGGTGAGCTTTTTTTTGTTTCTGATCTTTTGCTACTGTATTTTTATTTCAACTTATTTGTGATTCTTCATAAAATGATTCAGGAGCAGCTTCAAGAAATTCTATGACGCCGTCACCAGTTCCATCCAATTCTAAACACTTCAAGCAGTCAAATAGTTTTCAGAATTCAGAAAATGATTCATCTAGTGCTGAAGCTGAAACAGGTGGTAAAGATTCTATGGTTGATACAGAAGGAGAAGGATCAAGCGATCCACTCATGCCAAATGAAATAGAATTAGTCTTCAAACCTCACCCTACTGAAATGGCTAGCGACAATTCCCTTATAAAAGCTTTGAAAGAAAATTGCATTAGGTATATTAAAACAACAGCTGATGCCACAGGTAAATATGATTACTATTTTTACTTTATTTTTTACTTTCAAAGCTTCTAAATCACTTAACGTATTATTTTTATATTTCAGTGGATCATCTGAGTAAATACTTGGCTATGAGGTTGACTTTAGATTTAGATACTGAAATGCTGTCTGAATCTGAAAGACTATTAAACTTTTGCATTTATATAGCTCCAACACCAGGCCAACTAGTGGTTTTGAGTGGTTCACAGACTCTTCGTCAAGTAAATGATAAATTTTGGCGTGTTAATAGACCTTTGGAAATGTATTATTCATGGAAAAAAACGTAGGCCCATGTTAAATTTATCAGTATTTTAAACTATAGCTTTAGATTTTGAAATGAATCTTTAATTTTTATTTTTTTTTTATGTATTTCATAAGTAAATTTAAAAATTTTAATTAGTACTACTTTTAATGATTAGAATTTTGTCATGACATAAAAGTGATTTTTATCAAATGAAGAACATGCTGAAACATAATGATTATACATCAATAAAACAAATATTTTTTAGACGATTTTAATTTGTTCATTTTTTTACATCAACTAGAAGTATTTATTGGTGCTAAATTGTATTAGAATAACAATGATAGTGCTGCAGATGAATGTATTGTGTGCCATTATGAAGCTATTGTGGTATCCGAATTTATAATAATTGAAAAATGACAAAAATTTATTTTTCCAGTATTATTTTTTTAATAACTTAATAAATACACATATAAATTATACAATAAAAATTCATATGATTTTATTCGAAAAGTTACATTATTTTTATTTTCCAGTGAACTTTTTGATTTTGATTTATAGCTTGTTATAATAAGTAAATACAAAAATTATGGGTCATCGAAAGAATCTATAGTAAAAAAAGTAGGTTTTCAATTAGTAGCGATGCGACGGTTTCATTGTGTGAATCATGAAAGAGCATCACAATCGTCTTTTAGTAGTTTTAAGGTGTTACTCATTGACAATCAAAGTCACTTGAGATATCGAGATATTAAGAACTGAAAGCCTGTAATTTTCAGGTCTAAGTTGTGTACATTTAATAAATTAAAGTGACAATGTTAATTGGTCCAAACAGTCGAGAAAAAGCGGCAATCCGATTAAGGAGGTTCGGGAGTCTCAGCGAAATGCAGCCAAATTTTTAAAACACGTTTAATTGCTTTGAAACTTTATAATATGAATGTTAATATCAAAATACAACTTTTCACCGCAAAATTTTGTTAAAATAATGAAAAAATTTTTTGACCATTTAACATGGTTTCTTATGAGAAATCATGAATTTTCGCTTTCAATGAGCATAAACATAATGTAAAAAAACAAAAACTAAATAGAAAAAAATACGTACATGTAGGAAATTTAATAAGGAATAATTTGACTGCAAAAAGAAGTTCATAGACCGCTTAGTTATCGAGAAATAAATTGTTATGTGTAAAAATTCGTGGGTCATTTGCGCGTACCCTAACCAACAAATGAGCTAGAACAACAAAAATATGTGCTCATTCGACTCTAATGACAAATAGAGTATTGTTTTAAGCCTAAAACATCGAAAAAAACTCATCAAAATGATTGAATTATTAATAATAGCTATAATTGTGTGCCAGCTCATTGAAAAAACCTACAATTTCGTGTTATTTCGAAGTTGGCAGCGCTGAAAATTTAACATTGGAAGTATAGGAGCCCCTCGCGTCCCGCTTCGTCCCCCTCTGAGACTCCCGAACCTCCTTAACTAAATAAGAGTAGATGATCGGATAGCAGCGTTATGAGGAATCGGTATGAGTCATAATTGCGCGAAATATCATTGCTCCTCGGTGGCAGCTTCCCAGAAACTATGTCTCATCCAGCGGTAAGCGTCATCTGAGTTTCAGAGGTTTCGGCAGTCGATTCCAGATATCCGCGTCGTCGGATTGCGTCTGTGTCGTTGAATCCTCGTTCTGCTGCCCTAACGGCGGAGATCGATCGTTGGCGATTCTAAGTAAGAATAAATTGGCACGTTATTGTGCAAATATGGACTACGAAGAGCATAGAGTTAAATGTGAAAAGATTTTTGTTATTACCTAAAAGCCGGATCGTCATTTGGATTTTGGTCGGTGTAATCCAGCTCGTGAACGTCCGTCCCAGAAGAGGAAGTCACCGAGGCTGCGGACTCCACGGGCGATTGGAGGGTGGCGAACTGATTGTGCTGGCGCTGAGCCGCGAGCAGGTGACTGCGAATGAGCTGCGGTAGCGATTCGTAGCCGTAGAGCGGAGGGTCCGGATTGTTGGGATCGTTGAAGTTGTGCGGATAGTAAGTCGGAGGTCTCGGCGGGTTAGCCGGAGATTGGTTCACAGGAGTGGAAGGAAGGGCTTGAGTCGGAGCCGCGCTGGCCGGGGGTAAAAATTGCCCGAGCCTGACGTCCGAACCGTAGACGGAGTCCGAGACGAAGATCGGAGCATTGACGGCGGTGTTGTGCACGACGATGGTGAGGTTGTCCCGGGAGCCGACGGGCCTCGCCACCTGGACCCGATTGTTCTGGCTGATGCGGGTGCGCGTCGGCTGTTTGACGGGTCGTTGCTGCTGCTGCTGCTGCTGCTGCGCCTGATGATGGGCCGGCGCGGCACCCGTCCGTCTCGAGGCCCTCGGCGAGGACTCGCGCCACGGCTCGAGGTCCATCGGCTGAAGAAGGGCCTCTTGGCGGCAGGAGAGGCGCTTGTTGCGCAGCGAGTCGGCCATCAGCATGACGAACGGCTGGATGCTCTCGACGCGCTCGGCCGTGGCGCAGAGCAGCTGAGCCAGCGAGCTCCGGCGAATCTGCTTGAGCTGCTCGGGACTGAAGCCGCTCTGGGGCTGGTCGTTCTCGTACCAGAAGCGGTCGCCCTTGCGCAGCGCCCGGAACTGCTGAGCTATGATGCAGGCGAACGTCGGCCCGACGAGTCCACCCGCCACGGGTCGCTCCGCCAGACCGGCCGAGAACAGGTCGAGGTCCAGGGCCGAGGCGTACAGCCGCTGGAACTTGGCGGCCGCCTCGACCGAGCTCACCTTGGCCACGTCGTTCCAGTCGCGGATGGGCCCGAGCGAGCAGGCCTCGCGCCACGACGCGTAGCTGGGTATGCCGTGGTCGCGGCCCCGCTGAATGTTGATGGCTGCCAGATCGAGGCCGAAACCCGACGCCCCGGATTGGAACAGGTGGCGAGTCAGCTCGCGCGAGATGAACCGATCGCGCCTTTGGGCCGGCTGGTTCACCAGGCCCAGGATGATCCGATCGACGGCTCCGGCCGCCTCGAGGTTCGACGGATGCGCAAACTCTTCGTGGATCGTTACGTCTGACAAAAAGTTACCATTTTTTCTCATCGGTATCAAAGATTCCATTTATTTTTATCGGAATATATTTTAAGAACGACTTTTTATATTATAGTCCAGTGAAAACTTGCATGAAATTACATTTTATTGACTATAGTGATGAAAGCTAGTATGCTCAATGTTTTTGGATGCTCTGAATTCGAATAAAATTTTACGACGAATCGGTTGGTGCAACTTATTTTTTCGTATCTTGCTTCATTCGCAAGATATAAGAAAAACCCTTTCACCCTCAATTTTATCATCCTGACGCTAGGGTTTAGAAAAATAATAACATTGGATTTGGATTCAGCGCACCCAAAACTTTCGAGTATACCTGGCTTCATCATTACCCAACAAAATGCAATTTCATGTAAGTTTTCACTGGTCTAATTACTGATTTTTCAATTAAAACTTTCCTCAAGTTCTATCGGATTATTTCGATATCGTTAAAAGTTGCGACACTTGATACAAAAAATAGATCGTTCTAGATTTTTAAAGCAATAATAACATTTTAATTGTATCAAGATTAAAATTTGTAAATGTTGTGTTTTTCACAAGAGGCCCCTATTTCTTGATAATAAAGTTGATGACGAATACAAAGTAATTTGATTGAGCTAATGGATAAAAAGGAAATCAGTTTACAAGCAATCAGTTTGTTTTTACATATTCACGATGAGTTTGCCCTTGAATTATTATCGAGAAGAAAATGAAATAAATGTTGTTAAGCATAAAAAATCGTTGCAATGACTTACTGTCGAGCAAAGGCTGGTGCTGGCTGTCAAAGCGGGCAAAGGTCCGCTGCACGAGCGAGTGGCCGAATCGGTAAGCCGCCGCGGCGAAGCTGTTGGCTATATTGGGATTGACGCTGGGATCGTAGCCGTCGTAGTATCCCTTGCGGCGGAGCTCGATGTCGAAGATGCCCATGACGTCGGGCCCGAGGACGATGGGCAGGAACTCGCGGTAGGTGATGTGCTGGACGAGGGCCCCGACGATGCGGCGCGTCTCCTGGAACAGTCGCTCGTCCGACCAGTGCGGATTGAGGCTGGAGAGGCGCGTGGCCAGGCGATTGTGCAGCCGCAGAAAGACGACGTGCAGCCCGATGAGGGCAGGCTGCTCGGAGAGACGCGCGTCCCCGGCCTGGAAGCAGCTCGTCGACAGGGAGCCCCGCCTGCACAAGTCAGACTCGAGGTCGCGTCGCTTCGGCAGCAGTGGTCGCTCGGCCGCCTGTTTCCCGTACTGCATGAGACCTGCTCGCGAGTCGGAGGTCGTCAGAGAGGATGCGTTTTGTCGGTCGGTCGGTCGGTCGATCGCTCACTCACCATTGCGGAAGAGCCGAAGGGCGTCGCTCTGCTTGGCGCTGCTGCTGTAGACGGTCGAGGCGTCGATGAAGCTCGTCACCTGGGACAGCTGCTCTCTGGGCCCGAAGCCGCAGTCCTCGCGCGGGGCTGGCCCGCTGCGCACGAACTCGAGACACCTGATCCCGAAGCGGCCCAGGTGGCTGTCGTCGGCCTCCACGGCGATGGGCAGGCAGTCGGGGTGCTGCGATCCGCAATCTTACAAAATGGCCCTCTACGTCCTTCGAAAGAGCGTAATTACTCTATAATATAATTACCATGGAGTCTCGGGGCTGGAAGGCGGCGCCCCCCTGGCGACAGCACTGGGGCACGCTGCCCCTGAAGCCTCGGCTCTGGCCGGTGGCCGTGATGTCGTGGTCGACGAACTGGCCCCACTGCATGAGCATGTGGCTGACCGAGCTGAGCGGCTCGTCGCGCTCCTCGTGCAGCTGGTCGCTGAGCCGGCGCGCGCTCGGCAGCTCGGCCCCCGTGACCGATCGCCGGACGCTCTCGATGCCGTCCTCGTAGGCCGCCGGCAGGAAGCGCTGCATCGTCGACATGGCCGAGCCCCACCACAGCTCCCGGAGGTTGTTGCAGCTGCCGTCGGTCGTTCTGTACCTGAGGCTGGCCGGGGGGCACTGCGGCACGATTCCCCTCCTCGGGCAGTCGGGCAGTTGGCTGGACGCGGCCCCCGACGCCTGCTTCAAGCGCACCACGTTCGGAAACCTACGAACCGGCCGACGTCCGCGTATAATAATGATAAATAATAAAGGAGCTTGATCGAGATCGGAACGAGGCCTCACTTGCTGCGGATGCGCTTGGCGGCTTCGATGGAAGCGTAGCCGAGCTTGGCCAATTGTCTGGCGTCGTCGCTCTGCTCGTTGAAGGCGGCCAGGTAACGGGCCGGCTCGTCGGCCTTCAGGAACAAGCCCATTTCGTAAAGCTTCGGCTCGGTCGTCGAGTACAGGTCGTTCATCGCCTGGATACCAAAGTCGGCGGCATCGTCCAAATCTCGCTGACTCGGCAAAGAAGAATCTCCGAGCGGCAGCGGCTCGAGCCTGCCCCGATGGCTCAGCAGCAGCAGCAGCGATAACGCCACGATCCTGCGCAAAAACTTGGCTATGTCAAAACGTCAAGAAACGTCAAGAAACGTCAAGAAACGTCAAGAAACGTCCAATTCTCGGCGAGCCATGAATAACCGGTTGAAAAATTTCGGGTCAATCGAGCTGTCGGTCAATCGCCGCGCACGAATGTGCGGCACAGTATACTTACGATCGGTAGAGCGACATGTCGCCGAGGCCGAATCCAAGTCGATGTTGAGCAAGTCGAGTGGGATACGCTTTCGGGCTATGTGGCTATACATCCAAAAGTGGTGCGGGTTAATTGGCGCGGTTGAACGCGTTAAAGAGCAGCGGAATTTTTTCTCGTCCCTCTCGACTCGACGCACTTGGGTCGCGATCGCGGAATGACGGGGAGAGCAGCGAAACCGAGTCGCGCCCGAGCGGTCAAACGCCAGCGAAACCGCTAATTCTTACCGCGCTCGAGGAGGAGAACATTTCGATGCAGCAAAGGTTATTCGCTGACCGACGACTACTTTCGTACTGTCGAGGCAAAAACAAGGTGCGCCAGCAAAAGTGCAAAAAAACCCCAAAGCTTCGTCTCTTTCTCTCTCTCTCTCTCTCTCTCCCTTTTCCTCTTTGCCTCCGCGCGGCTCTTCAAAACTCATCCTCGAATCCCGCTCGGAAGGAGTAGCGAGCCGCGCGCCCGGTTGATGACCCGCAAAATCGTATACGTACATATTTGCCTGCTCGCTGCGAAGCCAAGAGAGCCGCGAGTACCGACTGCAGCCGATCGACCGAGCGCAGGAGTGGGAAAGAGAGGAAAATTTCGTCGACTCGTTCTCGTGCAACTGTACAGCTTGTAATATATCGACGATAAGTCTGCGTGCTCGAGTGTGCATGTGTGTGTGTGAGCGCGCGCCACCTGCGTTTACGTGTGTATAATATGGTACGCGCGATACACGCGTAACGCCGCACGAGACCCGCAGCCATATCGCTGTACCGACCGATCGGCGCCAACACCGATTCTGCACTTTGTGACGTTCGTAGCTCGCAATAATTGTTCCGGATTTTCTACCAAGTCGACCCGTATGAATGATCGTCGCGCGTCTCCGATCGAACTTTAATTGCTACAAGAATTCATATTACCAGTCGATCAAGGCCGGCTCCTAGCAGCCTTCTCTTGGGCCTGCAGAGTGGCGATGGCTTTGCCCGAACCGTAGAGGATTTTCGCCCGAACCTGTACGTGACGCAGCTGCGGCCTGGCATCGGCCGCCGAGCCCGAGCAGTTGCCGATCGCCGAGCCGGAAGCAGCTGGAGCGCAGCAGCTTGGCCCCCGGACCCCCGAGTACTTGGACGGGGTAGCGCCGCCACCACCACTGCTGCCGCTGCTGCTGCTGCTGCTGCTGCTGCTGCTGCTACTCGTGCAGCCCTCGGACATAGTAGAACGATCGCGGAGAGCCGATTGTCACACTCGATCGGCTGCGATTCGACACTGACGCGCTTGCACACTCGAATCGGTATTGCTTATTCGAATGCGGCACGAACAACAACACAAGAGAAGGCTGTGCGCGTGGCCAGATCGCAGCTCGGTCTGCGACGATCGCGGCCGCTCCGGGCGCTCTTATATATTGTACTTTATGGCACGCCAGCAAAGCCGCCACTGGGTCAAATACCAAAAGGAGGTCGCACGCGGCTCCGATCGCGGATTCGCGCGGCTCTGCGAGCTGAGCTGTCTGCCAGCTCTGTGCCTGCTGCGCCGCTGCCGCTGCTACTCCCGCTCTTGTCTCGCTTTTCTCGCTCTCTTTACGCGCGCCGAATGACGCCCGCGTTACACAGCCGTGCCATAATGCACCTGCACCTGTGTGTGCAACCTGTGTGCAACCTGTGTAGCCTACCTCTACACCTCTTTGCAGCTGCCGAGACCCCGGCGGCTTCACTCTTGTAATTTTTCACCGTTTCACCTTACGATTTTACAATCTCGCTGCTACTTAATTAACGATGCCCAGTACTGGTGCATTACTGCACCTGCACAAGCAGGTCACTCAGCGATTCAAAGCACGTACCAAGGAAACAATTACGATATTAACGCGCTTTCCGAATCTCTTGCTTTGTTCTCTCATGGATTCTCGTGGATTGGTCGTGGATTCTCGTGGATTTTACTAGGTACAGTACAACAATTATTGACTTGTTACTTTTTTTTATCTTATTTATTAACAATTGGCCAAAATTTATCAGATATCAATGATGTTTTTAAAGTTTTCTTGAGTCAATTTTCATCTCACTGTTTTCGTCAACTAACTTTCCATACTTTGATATTTTGCATGCAATTTCATTTACTTTGATACATAATTGTTTATCTATCCGTTACTTTTTTTCCCTGTTCTTTAAGATAAAATCGAGTTTCGCACAAAAAATATCTTTATTTTAATATTTTGTTTTATAATATATATATGTATAATATATATAATGTTCATTTTACTTTTTACCTTTGTTACGATTAATATTTAGTATATATATAAAATTGGAGTATGGCATAAATCTCGTCTAAAAGCTCGCATCGTGAAAGATATCGTGGTATTCCTCTCATTTACTTCGCGTTTAGTAACCACTTTTTGTTTCGCTCGCGCGCACTCATCAAAAATTCACGCACTCGTTTTTACAAATTTTTTTACTCGATACACCTCTGCTCATTTCTACCTCGTACATTCCTTCGTGCCCAGTCTTTAGCTTTACAATAATATATACTACACAGCTCATTGTATTTTTAATATTTAATCTAAGTAATTGTAATTGAATTTTGTCTTTTGTTTTCATAAACATCAATTTTATAACATCCAGAAAATGCTACAATGTCATTTTTTATACTTATCATACATTTACGATTATTGTGTGAATTTATGTATCATACCGATCAATTTCAGCTTTTCATTTTTCCAAAATTAAACTTGAATTTTCATTTTTAGGACAAAAAAAAAACAACGTTCGATCATAAGGAATTCAATTTCAATTATATTTCATCATATTTATTGCCTAATACGCCTGAAATAAATTTTTTACGTCCAACGAACGTAAAACTACGTCAACAATTAAAAATAGTTTCTAAAAATTACATTTGAAAGTATTCAATGTTAGTTATGATATAAGACTTGAATTTGAAGTGTCAAATATTCGTTTCGAACAACTTCAAATTAAATTAACAATCAAATTACATTCAACTTTTACGACAACGAATCAACAACATTCTATGTATATTCAACTTCTATTTTAATATATTAACGTTCAAATTTTTTTTTTACAAAAATAACTTATGTAAATATCTAGTATAAGAAATAAATATCGGTACTCTTGAGTATTAACAAAGAATTGTTGAAACCCAAGATAAACGTCAAGTTTTCGCAACAATTATGTTGAGTATCGTTAAACATTGGAATTCTTGGTATCACAATTCGTCGGTTATCAAAAGATTCGATCTTGATATTGGCAAAGTACTTATATTTTGTCCTTGTAGTGGTCCCATAATTTAGTAAAATTATAATCATAAACTCACCGACGAATGTGTTAAACAATTCAATAGAAAAAATTTATTTCTTTCATCAATTATACGTTGCTTGATTTTTTTGCTAATTAGGTTGTTTTACAATTCAGAATAATATTACCAATGGAACTTGGTACTTTCGTTGTTTCGTAAACGTAAACAAAATTGCCCATTAAGTCATACCTTTTTTAACACACAATAATATACAACTATAATAGACAAAATCGATTCATTTCTCGCGTATTCATGCTTGGTCAGTTTGTGTACACACGTTTTTCTTTAAAATTGTGCATGACTCTTAACAAATACATGCATATAATATTTATATAATTTATATCCTATTCTTAACTCAATAGATTGCTTAAAGTTTATTTGGTGTCACGGTTAATTATAATCGTTACTTTGTTGTTTTTAGACATTAATAAATTTGAGAGCATCTCTCATTTGAGGCTCGGTTTTTTTTTGTTTTCTAAAATCTCACAAGTCTAAAATTCTCAATAAAATTTAAACAAACAAAAAATTCTAAAATTTTTTAACCTATCGAGATGCATTCACGTAGAAACTACACGAACCACTTACAATTGTGTCAATTTTACCAACAACGCTATAAGACGGAAAAATATCTTTACTGCTGATAACCGTACATTTTTCAATGTGGTAAAATATACATTCTTAATATTTTGGCGAAATTAATATCACTTATTTTTGTACAAGAGTAATAAATTTTTGAATTTTTTTTTTTTAAATTGACGACTAATTGCATTTCGTACTTCCTTACTGTCATCAGAGTTGGAATTTCAACATACAAATAATGGAAGCTCGAAAAAAAACTGGCAAGATGCAACGAGCATGCCAGATATACTCTGTAGGAACAGTCAGTAAGAATGAGATCACGTAAAATTCGCTACTCTTGGGAAACATAAAAAATTGTTTCCACATGCTTTGTTCCAAAATAAAAAAATTGATTTCATTTGGGAATCAAGACTAGGACAAGATAGTAAGGTAATTGAAGGGAGATTTTGTGTTAGGTACAAAAATTTTTTACAAAAAAGCTGTGTGTTTGCTACTGTGTTCCAGAGCTGCCAAAACATCATGTTTTTGCCGCACATAAAGGCGACCTTTTTTCCATGGATTTTGCAGCTGAAGAGGTTTAAAATCGTCCCTGAGACAACGTTCCCTAGCTCCAATCACCGCAACTAAGCAAAAATTAGATAGCTCTTCCGGTGAATATACAGGTCCTTCAAGTCCTTTCAATACCACAGCCATATTCAACTGTTTGACTACGAGGTCAACGACTTCTCGAGCTGTCGTACGGCCTGTCACGTGTAATTTTAAACTCGTACCTGTGGCTAGACCAGTTTCGTAGGCTGCATACACCTGGATAGAGAAAATGATCAGCGTCGGATAGAGTAGATTCTCATAATAGAAATGTTGCTTTTTTTACCTGAAGAATACCAGGCAGAGGAGCAATACGAACTCCTGAAGTCAGCTCTGTATTGGTTTCGTCTTTGTCTTCAGCTCCTGAAAACTTTTCAGAATTGCAAAGATCATTCGCGATCGATGCCACACTGGCTACCGGGGCTGGATTATATGACTTGGTAGTTTTCAGTAATCTGGTTTGATCTTCATTAACGCTAGATCGACTAGTACTAGCACTGCTCATGACAGGACTCGTTGAAGCTGAAAGTGAGCTTTTGCCTTGATTGCGACAATTATAAAGCTGCTGCTGTTGCTGCTGCAATTGCAATTGGCTAGATGCCTGTTTTTGAGCCTTGCAAGCCAAAATAAGTGCATCCTCAGACTTTGAGGGAGGTAGCCTGTTCTGGTGCTGTGGAAATCTGTGAGGTGGTACTGGTGGAGCTGGCATAAGAAATGCCGAATTTGAAGACGCTTGACTATGCGGTTCCGAAGTTGATGAGCAATTTGAGCTGTTGCTACCTTTTCGAGGGTATGGCCCCATGGATAGCTGTTGCTCACTTTTACTTAGTTCTGTTGCCAACAAATTTGTACCTGAGCAGCCAGAGATGTTTCCTACGCCTGGACCAGGCCAACTACCGCGTCCGGGACTCGATTTTACTAGTTTTGGATCTCTTGGTGGTATTTGTAATAAACTCCTTTTCAGATTATTTCCACTGTTTGTGTTTTTATTTCGCTCCAAGCTCAATAAGTGTTTTATACTAATACCAGAATTTTGAGACCAACAAGATGCAGTCTAGCAAAAATAGTAACATTTATAATTAGCACTATACAATAAATTGCCCTATAAATAAAATCGGACAAGATACATGTGAACTTACCGATTGCGAAGACATAGTTAGTGAGCTTCGATCTCTAGCGAATGCAATGAGATCAATGAGCCAACGAGCCCCTTTCCAAACAGTGTTGGCTTGGCTTTGTATATCTTGTAGCTTAGCGAGTTTGTCCTTTGCTACGCTGAGTTCAGAATTACTGAAAGCTTCTCGTTGACTATGTTGAGCTTGTGCTGTGTCGAGCTCAAGTATACAACTGAGTCGTGAAAATCTATCAGTAACATCTTTTTGATATGTACCCAGATGCACCATTTCAAAAACTTGAACAGATAGTGAGAGCAGATCACCACGTTGCAGTAAAATTTCTCGTGTTCCGGGCACGGAACATGCGTTGTCAGCTGGCGGAACTACCACAAGAAGTGACACGTCAGTACTCAACTCGATGACTTCTATATCATATAATCTATGAGCCAAAGAATCTTCTGGACCAATATCCATGTAGGCAAAAAGTCGCTTTGTAGATGCAGCTACGGCATCAACGAATGCTTTTTGTTGTTCATTTCCATTTAATTCAACCAAATTTTCTTTGTCATCGCTGTCATCGCTATTGCTATTTGCACTTAGACCTTGTAACCTACCCAATCTCTTCAAATACTCCCATTCTTCGCTGTGAATTGTAATAAAGTCTATTAGAACTTTTTTTCTACATTATGTATACAAGTAAATTTTAAAATCAACTTACGCTGTGACATGTGAATTATCTCGAATTTTACAATGAGGCAGCATATTAGGCGACTTAGTTGGTACAACAACTTGAATCGAGTCCACACTACTTTGCATTTTAAGATAGCCAAGGTACAAACCTCTGGGTAATTTTATACTGCTAACTTGGTGATAGGATATTTGATCATGAATACTGGCCATCAGCATGTCAGCAACATTGCTGTCTTCATGCGCAATGAGCTTTTTTGTTACTTTTGCTAACGGAATCCACCTACTGTTTAGAACCGATACATGTTTTGGAGTCTTAACACAATGAACTGTAGAAAACACCAGTGTACCATGCACATCTTTAATAGGTTTATGGTAGAATTTTCCGAGCTCTTGAGTACAAAGCGCCGTCTAATAATCGATCGAATATGTACATGCAAAAAAGCATCGTGATAAATAAAAAAAGATTACAAACAAAAATTCATATTGGTATAATAATAGTACCTGCATCTGTGCAGCAGAATTGAGAAGTTTAACTCGAAAGTGATTACTTGTATTGCTATGACTTTTTTCCATGTCCTGTTTCAAGGGTTTTACATCTTCCCAGGAGCAAGCTACTTTCATGAACCAATGAAAATCATTCTGTACGCAGCTCGGATACGTTTCATCGATTTCGATTACCGGTAAAAAATCTTCGTTTGTCAATAAAACTTTGTCTTCGTGATAAAAAACGCAGCTGAGAAAAACACCGCGGCGTAAATTTTTCTGGAACTTGCTAGTAGCCGTGAAGAGTTGTTTGATTGTTGTTTTCGTCTTTTTATGATTTCGCCGCTGCACCGCTGGTGTTTCAAGACTGTACTCGGGACCTCTTACGTCTGTTAAAAGACTATCTAACTGTTCTAAGCGACTAGTCGAACGAGTGCCTCGGCCGTCAACGTCCCTCCAACCTGGGTAGTTTATATAGCATTACAACTAGATTATCACCAACATAATGATTAATTAATTAATAAGAAATAATAAATGAAAAAACGTACTATTAGGTGTCAAATATTCTGGCTGCGTCGGCTTAAATCTGCTGTACCCTTTGAGATTGCCAGCGGCAGCACGAAAATGATACCTACGACCTTGGTCTAGTCCTTCGATACGACACTCTTTTTGCTTCATATCGAGAACCTCACGCTCACCGATCATGACAGAAAAGTCCTCGCAGAAGCTCCATTGAATTTTAAATTTCGTACAAATGGACGTATCTTGCATATCAGAGTCGAAAAATCGTGCTACAATTGACGAAGTACTGCTTACTTCAATTGATACCATAAACAGAATATCCGGAGGTCCTGCAACATTTTACATCGAAGAAGAGCTTTAAACCTGGATAAATTGCTGGTTTGAGAAATAATCTGAAGCCTTACGAGTTTGCTCGAAGCCAGCTAGCATTTTTCGCAGAGCCCGAGCTCTGCGTTCCCATAATACTAGCTGTTTGTCTTCTGAGCTACTTCCTCCTCCACTGCAGCCAGTTAGATTGTTGTTCTGAGACGTGAAACTGCCGCGATGAATGTAGGCCGAATTTTCCATGAAAGGAACTCTACCGCTGGAACTTTGACCGATCGACGGCACACCGGTCAACTCTTGCACGCGATGCTCTGATTCGACTAACAGCGACGCCAGGTGTTTACCTAGAGATTCCGACGATTTGACTGTATGAATGGAAAGAAAAAAAATATTAGAAAGCGTGTGAAAATTCTGACATAGATGTGTTATTGAGAAATCAATGTCTTTAAAACAACGAGGACTTACAGTTGTCGCCTTCTCGGGCCCCGAACTTGGCAAGTAATTTGGCCAGAGGCCGATTATTCGTCAAAACAGCCATATCCAGAACTGACAGCTTATCACTGTTGACGCTATGGAAGAAAAGGGTGTTACAGTTATATTGTATTTCTGAAGGTCGGTACATTTGACCGTGGAAAAGAATGAAACATTTACTTACTTATTAACGTCTATGTCAGTCGATTCCAAAATCGTTCGTACTTTGTCAAGACTTCCCTGTTCGACTGCCGCAAAAAGAGCTGTTGGAAAATTAACATATTTTTAATAAATGCAAGTGCGTAAATGCATGTCTGCGATAGATATTTTGCAATCATTTTCTGATAGTTATAGAGTAAAATTGCATAGTTAATGATGTTTTTTTATGATGAATTATTTATGAAAATGATCTATGATTTTATTTAGATTCGATTATGTAAAACCAGCGTATCGTAATGATGAAGCAATTATGAATTTTCATTGTCAAGTGCAAGGAAGAAAAGCAAAAAAAAAGAGAAAGGCAAAGAACATAATGAGAGACGTGTGTACCATGCAAATGAATGTCGAGAGATGATTGTGCCTTGGTTGGTAACGACGACACCAAATCGTTGATTTTTAGTTGTTTTTTTTTTCCAAACCCCTCCAAGAAGTCCATTCCTTGCAGTGGATGCAACTCTACGTACAGTACATCAAACATTTAAATGCAGCTCAAAATTTTTTAATTTTTATCGCAACGATGGTGCATGACGAGAGGCTATGATCGAGCATGCTCAGTTTTACGGGAACTTTGACGCGAAATAATTTCTAATTCGGCACACGCTGTTCAATAAATTATAATGATAAATAATCGCAACGCGAGCCAACAGGGTCCTGAGCACAACCGATTTATTATGATTGTAGTTGCGTTTTTTTTAATAATTAATCGTTTACTAGTAGTTACCGAAAGATATGGAAATAGAGAGATGGATCAACGATTATAGAAAAACCTACTTGCTTTGCTGGGAGGACTTTTGACTCTGGGTTTACTTTTGGGGCCACCCAATCCGAATTTGACGATCTTCTGGGGTTTCTAGAGCAAAGATGAGACAATAAACAATAACAATGAAAAAAAAAAATGATGCAACGTCACTCGGCCTCAGTAACATGGTAATCGAGTAAATTTACCCCTGTGAAGGACGGATTGTGCAGCGGATGCCGGCGTATATTGTCGAGGGTTCTCGGCGACAAATACTTGGCTCGAACGAGTTGCTCGTCGTCGCAGTGCTCGAAACGCGGGAACGTGATCGGGCTCGCAGGCCATTTGGCATTCTCATCGTTGAGCGAGCAGGGATGATCGCCACCGACGAGAACAGTGAGAGACGGGCCGTGCATCGATCTCGCAACGAGCCTGTCTCGCTGAGCGCTGAGCTGAGGCTCCTCCGCGCCGCTGGAGCCAGAGCCGCCTCGGTGGTAGTACGCCTCCATCGACGAGTCCAACGAGCTGTCGAAGAACGTCGGGTTCTCGTAGGCGTTGTGGTACACGTCGTCGTCGTCGTCGTCGTCATTTCTGCGGGGCTTCTCGATGTTCAGCTTGGACTCGAAGTCCCGAGCGATGCTGGAGACGGTGGCGGCGGTACCGGCTCGAGGTGGCGGCGACTCGTACGGCGGAGGCGGCGTAGGCGGCGGCGGACTCAAGGGAGCCGAGCATCGGCGGAATCTGGTGCGCGCGGGCGGCGGCGACAGGGACGCTCCGAAATCGTGCCGATGCGGAGGCTCGTCCGCGCGACGATCGTTGACGTGCATGGTCGCGGCATGCTGGCGGATCCGCGTGATGAGGCGCACCGATGCGCGCAGCGGCTTGTTCCTTTTGAAGGTCGTGGCGTCGCTCGACACGCGCCTGATCAGCTCGACGCTCGGGCTACCCTTGCACTTGGCCTTGCCATTGGTGCTCCTCGAAGATTTGTAGAACTTCATCTGGCGCTTTGATCATGTTCCAGGCTCGTAGGCCAAGGGTTTTCAATTATATATATCTGTCACACCGAAAGGCCCGTCTGCACTCGCTGTATACTGAATCACTGCTCACTGGTCACTGCCTCACTGGTCGCACGCTACTTGGTACGCCTTAAACGTTGTCGCAAATACGCGCACACATTTGTGTGTATATAGTTGTAGTACGCCGGCGGTATCCCGCGGCCGGCAGGTACACAAACTGTATATAATACAGACTCGGATTTCAGAGAGCACAGAAAGATGAGCAGGTATCGGTGGAGAGGGGAGCTATCCGTTATTAGAATCTGATCATTGAGACTCGGGTGAGATTTTTGACGTTTTGTGCCTCGTATGCTTGTGCACCACGAGTCTCTCGAGCGAACAGTGACAAAACTGAGCGAGTAGCCGTACGACGCTTCACACTTTGTAAGTGCTATTACGTGATCTAAAGTCTCACGGGCTTAGAAACTAAGAAGCCGAGAGCTCAATATTATATTCGCCGGCACTGCCACTATAAAATTAAGCATCGAGCAAGGAAAAAAGTTCTATCGAGTATATTTGCTGCTTAATCATGAGTATAACAACACGTGGTGTTTATGAATGTATGAGTGTATTCTTTAGCGAATGATCTGAATGTGCGGGTTATAACAAGCCCGCAAATTCTATCGCACTGCACAGTACGTAGCCACCACACCGCGTACACATTACACAACGTAACGTACTTTAAGTACCGCAAATATTGGTGCTGCTGCAAAAATTTTGTTGGACTGGTCTGCACTTTTGAGCGTTCAAGCCGTTCGACTTTCGAGTCGTCGTGCTTCGATGTTTCTGACGCCTTCTGCAGTTTCGCTTAACCCCTCTCGTCCCCCCCTTTTTATGCTCGCATACAACAGACGTAAACACTAAACTAGTTTGAATTCGAATTCTAACGGATGAATGAGATGAGAGAATGAGAAATTCGCAGCACATAGCAGCAGCAGCAGCAGTAGCTGCAATTTAGAAAAGAGCGAGTCGCGCATGCGCCTCGTAAAATCTCGTTTGAGCGTTTGAGCCGTTCGAGCAGACTCAGGACTAGAAGTCATAACATAAGTTCGAGGCCCTGCGAGTAGTAAGTACGACACGGCGACAGCTTCGATATTCTTGAGGGCTGTCAAGTTAAAGTGTCAGGCATCGTAAATACGCTCCGCGTGATACAGTAAGCGGGTAAAAATATTCTACATTACTAACACAGACGGACGACTCGTCGTGCAGGCGCGGCTAATAACAAATAATAATATACATTGTATATCGGCGTTCAGTCTGCATCTGTGCATGTCCGGGGTCGGTAAGGCCTGTATATATTCGCGACGTGCGCGTCTATACGATTTCGTAATTCATACACAGGCAGTATAATGCCGCAGCAGATGTACTTGTAGCACATTGTACGTTAATCGCTGAAAGTGCGCAAAGTACGTTTGCTCGAGCGTTTACGAGTAGCTGTATAATGATAACAATATCTCGGATACTCGATTCTAAACAATCGCAGTGTGTTTATTATCGTTTACAGCGAATCAGAGAGACGTAGGATATAGGCGTTGCAGCTCAGGAAGACTTGGATCGAGCAGAACGACGTGCAAAGGCAATTGAATAATAGTCGTCCGCTTTCTCGGTCTCCGTTTTATTTTTTTTTGCAAGTTGCAGAGTCTTGAGGGGCAGTATACTCGAGGATCGATTACTGCCATGTAATCACTCCTGATTGATTATTTTCGCTCCGTATGCGTTCGTATTGGCACGAAAATTAACAACTAACTATAGGGCCGAGTTGCAATGATTAAAGATTGTTCGGGACTTAAAAATACGGCGGAAAAAAGGGACTCGATAGATTGCTCAAGAGGCTCGTTGAACGAACGGAGACCGGAGACTGTGGAAATGGCAAAAAAAGTTGTAAAGACGTTCGGTATTACCTGATTAAAGTGCAGCCTCTGAGCCGTTGTCGCCGTCGTTGTTGTTGTTGTTGTTGTTGTTGTTGTTGTTGTCGTCGTCGTCGTCGGTTAAACTCGGTCAGCCTATAGGCTAAGGAAGGCGCAACGACATACCGGCGACGCAGTCCAACCATGCGCGTACAATCGGACCACACACTCGCTAACTACTATCGCTCACAGGCAGGCGGGCGAGTAAAAAAGCGTAGAGGGATTGCCCGAGCACTGGCACGAGTCGCAACGGTCCCTCGTACAGCAGCAACGATCCTTTCGGAGTCGTCGAGCGGAAGTAAGCGCCTAGGCCGCTGCACAGGTAGGTAGGCAGGCAGATATGTATATAGCACAGGATAAAGGTCGAGCGTCGCGCCGAGCCTATAGACTTGTTATATTTTAACGTTATATAGGCTCGGTACTCGTGCGCAGCCAGCGAAAATCGTGCAGTATACTTTGCACACGGCCATAGGGCCCGCGCGACTCTACTCACAACGAGCTCGCTGCGTGCGCGAATACTCCAACACTATATAACAGCACAGATAGACGCACTGGCAGACGCAGCGCAGCGGAGCAATGCACGCAGCAGTAGCGATGCACTCCCCCGACGGCAGCAGCGACTTTGTGCCGTCTCGCAGTCTTGCAGCGCGCGCGGGCAACAAGTTGCAAGTACGTATCCTCGGAGCACTCGGACACGCAGAGTCAGTTTCTTTGCTCCCTCCCTACTTGCCTCTGCACCTCCTTCCGTCCAGCTCCCTCTCGTCGATTCTTTCTGCCTCTGCTCTAAACGGCGACTGCTGCTTCATACGGCTACCTGCTGACTATATAATATAAGCTGACCGTGTAGCGCTCGTATGCGCGCTCGACACGCATGTCCATTGTGTGTAGGCTTGGCAGCGATTCACGAGTAGTAAGTGCCTCGCGTTAATCTATGTATGTGTATCGCGTCTTTCCCTCCTCGCGTCCATCGCGCTCCAAGTAGCAGGTGCACAGCCATTCCTCCCTCCCTTTCTCCTTTTCTACTTTTTTACCGCGTCTAGCTCTTTCTTTCGCCTATATTAACGCTCTAATTTCAATATTATGAAGAAGCGCTCGGTGCAGCTCGTGACTGCCCACGATGATGGCTCGCGATACTCAAGCCTTTACTTTGCCTTGTCATGCTCGAGGACGGTTATTTTCTTTCCTTGAAATCCATGTGTTCCTAGCGAGTCTACTATTGATGCGCGCACATATTTCACATAACGTATGCGACTCATCGTTCAACTCTCGTGCTTTGAGCTACGTCCGATTCTATTTCTTCGGGTTGCCTCATAAACGGCTAAAATTAAAGGTCCCCGCGGCCCTGAATAATCGCGTTGGATGGGGCGCGATCGGCCGATGCCGAGATTTACTCGAAAGCTCATCGCTAAAACTTTTACAGAAACTACAAATTTATCTGTGCCATACTTATTATGTAAGCGGCACATGGGCTGCTTTATGGATGAATGATGATAAACCTACCGAAACATGCAGTCGTCTTCCATGGATGCAGCGCCGTAATTGTTGGTAATTGACAGCTCGACGATGCAATTCGATGCGATTCGATGCGATTCGATGCAATTCGATTCAAATCGATGAGCGAGATATGGCTAGTGCACGATATAGCACCGACTCAATGTTGCACGCGGTCAATGGCTGGCAGCTCGCTGATCGTTCGCTATATATCTATATGTATTGATCTATATCTACGTGATACGTATGGATGTGCACTGAACTTTGAATACACAGGCAACATATGATGGACGATAGCGTATGATATGGACTTGATGTGTGAGTATGTGTGTGTGTGTGTTGTGCTGTACGTACGTCAAGTGCATACGATACAGTTTCGAGAAGCAAAGGAGCTACAGACAGCTGCGATTGTAACGTTTTTTATGTGATTCGTGATATTAGCAGTGGAAAGGAAGTGACAGTGAATGCGGGAATGTACAGACAGGAGCTGATGTTGGCACAGGGGCAGCAGGCGAGCGACTCATCTGTGCCGCGACGAGTCGCTCCTCAACCCTACTCGAGCGAGGATTCGCGTATCGTACAGTACGTATGTGCGAGCACACGGCAAACCGGTTTTCTCGGACGCACCAAATGTACGCGCTGTATATGCCAGACTATTTCTCGACGAGTTGCAGCTCGAGCCTCGCGCACAAAGTCTCGCCTCGACGTTTACGCGTCTTCGATTTTATCGCGTTTCGCTATTTTCGCCTAACCGTATAGTTCATTTTCGTGTACTATGTGAAAAGCCTTTGAATTATTCGCAATTCCGACGAAATCGGATATCGTGTGCTTTTTCATCGATTCTTTACTCTTTCGGCAAAATTGCTTTGGCGTCGACAAAAACTCGGATGATACCCGCGACACTTGGATGATCGGCTCTAGCTCCAATTTATAATAGAGTCTCTCTTTATCAGCTTATAGATTGCTCGCGAGGCATTTTTCGAATTATGTGTAGTATCATAATGCAACTGGTAATGGAAACGAAACGAGAAATTAAAGCGACCACTTGTACGTTCTTTCTACTCGAATTTTTTCTTTCGGACATGGCGCGCTGTTTGAAAAAAAATGCGACGATTGCCAAGCGATATTTGTACTGATTTATTTGACTGTTGGAAGAAACGAACGACTACGTACCCAGCGAGGCTCGCTGGCCCTTGAAGCGGCGACTGATGCTCGGCGAGACGAGATTGTTGAGCTTGTCGGCGGTCCTGATGCCGAGCAGAGGACTCGGACTACGCCGACTGGGGGTTTGCTGCTGACGAGTTTGATCGGCCAAGACGTAGCCACTGCCGTAGAGCTGATCGCTGCCGACGGCCAAGCTCGAGGTGACGCTGCTCGTGAGGTCGCCACCACCAGCACTGGCCAGGGAGTTGGTCCAGTCGGCCACGCTGTCGATGCTGTTGCTGCGGGGCAGACACGAGCCGGCGTAGCTGCAGTCCCCTCGCCTGCGACATTCGATGAGCACGACTCGTATCGCTCTTATTGCTCGCTCGAGTTGGCCAACCTACCTCTCCCAGGACAAGCGACGCGGCGAGTCCTCCTGGGGGATGAAGCTCGGCCGCTGGTTGAACACCCGGGCGAGTCTCGAGAGGGGCTGGACGGCTCCGGCGCTGCAGGTGCTCAGTCGGCCGGCGAGGCGCGAGCAGCCCTGGGCCAGTTCGTTGCCGGCCGATCGGTAGGCGCCGCTGCTGTCGGAGACTCGTCGCTCCCCTGCGCACATCATCGGCCCCCGTCACAATCATGCCTCGACTGGCTAAGAGCCATATTATAATAATCAAGCCTTACCGATGCTGTCCTCGGTGAAGGAGATCCTTGGCGCGAGCAGCTTGCTGCACTGGGACGCGAGGCTGTCGCGCTTGACGCACAGGTGGCTGCAACTGCCCGTGGCCGCTTTGGCCGCTGCTGCTGCTGGGACGAGCGACGCGTCCAGGCTCGGTCTGGGACAGACGGCCGAGTAGGCGGGTGGGCAGCGGCTGGCCTCGATTTGAGCTTGCAGAATGCTGAGGCCCGGCACAACGATGGCCGGCAACGTCCTCGAGCGCAGCAGAGGCGGTGGGCCCGCCGGACCCTCGGCCGTCCCGCTCGTTCGGCAGGCGCCCGTCCCATTGCGCGATCCCGCCGAGTTTTTTCCATCGCTGACCTGAGCTGCGCCGCTGCTGCCGCCGCCGCCACCGCCGCCGCTGCTTTTCAGGGTGAAAAATCGATTGCGATCGGTAAGAGCCGAGCAGCAGAAACTTTCTCGCGGTTCAGGGCAAACTCGCGACTAAATTGGCCGAGATGCGCGGCGAGGGCGTGGCGAAAAGTTTCAATCGAGTTGAGCTAGTTTCCTGTGGCGCGCGCGCGTATAGCTCTCGGGTACTTGGTGCATACACACACACACGTACATGATTTTATATAGGTATCGTGGATGGCGCCACGCCGACGATCGTTCGATTCACTGCGCAATATTGTCCGTATAGGTAGGCGATGTGTACTTACCTCTTGTCTTTGCGCTGTTGTTTTTTCTTCTTGAATGCCCTTTTGACTCGCAGCAGCAGGAAGGCAGCTCGATCGATCGTTAAGCCAGGACTAGGCTTATTATCTCCGCTGGACATGCCGCCTTTGCCGTCCTTGCCGCCAGCCTCGATCGATGTTGCGCTCGTTCCGGCTGAATTGCGTGTGCACACGGGACAACCAAAGACAATGCTTATAGTTCCTGGCGTGCACGAGCTAGTAAAGCGTGCTAAAATCCAACCGATGGATGTGCGCGACTAGGTATGATCCGAATATGATGAAATAAATGCATGGTATCCGTATGTCCGTAAGGAGGATCGAGGCACGCGGGTTTACCTCTAGCTATCGATCGAAGCGCGACGCACTTGGGCGCGTACACTCGACGACTCGACAACGTCGACGGACAGATGTCGCGCGAGGCCAAATCGAGGCAATTTTTCCGCTTTTTCAGACTTGAAATTAGCACACGACGTGCATTTGTCGAATAGGTAACCCTGTGGCCGAACATCCTCGAGCATAACATTGAGCAAATCGACACGTTGCCCACAAAGAGTAGCACGCTTACGTATTAATTTGAATGGAAGCGCGCTGCCGTTCGTTCGTGGTTTTAGAGACTATTTTTTGTTTGCATTTTTATTGTTTGCCGAGTCGTCGTTGCATATTTGTCTTACTTTTCTATTGAACGCGATCGTAGCGGAGGAAGCTGGGGCACAGAAAGAAAATAGAGGCGCGACGAGTTGGCTTGGCACACACACACACCGAATCAGTTGTATGGCGCTTTTCGAGACTCGTCTCGTTTTATGCATTATATGCGTCACATACACAGACGAACTCATTGAAAGGGATGCAGCTGCGCGAGGCCGGCCCACTCCGCACTTTATACACAGTCTACGCGATATAATTCGAGTCGTCGCGTGCTCGTATGTATTTGAAAGGGCTGACACGCTGATTAAAGCTTAGCTGCGTCCTAATACAGCATGTATGATACATTGTATATAGGCGGATAGCATCGAGGTACTTGGCTACGTGTCACATAAACACTCGAAAGTGGCCAGAGTCGCAATATATAAGCTGCCGAATTGGATCACACGCTCGAAAGCTCGCCGCGGGATGGGCTGCTATACATGTGTCCCGCTCGCAGCGATTACCTACTAGATCTTATTCTGTATAGGTATATATCTCGTACAGCAAGTGCGATCGCCTATTTCATATTTATGAATAAAACGCGTCTATCGACGTCGCGTGCAGTGGCTCGAGCGACGCCAGAGATCCGTGCACGCGGGAGAATGTCGCATACGCGCTCGCTACACGCGCGCAATCCAGCATCAATTGGAATTATAATCGCGGTCGAGAGGAGCTGGCCGTCGATCGATACGCGCCTCGACGAACCTCGTCCTTTCGATTCCTTCGAGCGCTGCATCTCGTGCACGACTATACGCCTCTGTACGCACTCGACGTCATTGGACGCGCGTCACGACGACTCGATCGCAGCCGCGCATCCTCCAACATCTGTTAGTGCTAGAAAGCGCGATTTACGAGTCGGAGCCTACGTCGAGCCCGCGCGTGCGAATTTTCAGCCGCGGAGCACTGCCGAGTATCGAGCATCGAGCGCGCGACCACCGAATGTGCGTCGACTATACCTACGCGTGCGAAATATGAAGCACGAGTGGCGTACACACCGATGCAGAGGCGCGCACGCACGCACACGCACACAGACAGACACACATGCCAAGTCTAAACATCGATCTATACATACGAACGTGATGGGTATGGTGCAACTAAGGTGCAACGTGATAATAACGTGTAAAAGACAACTAGAAGCCTGCCAGAGGCCGACTTGGATGCTCTTACATAAGTCCAGCTCGCAGAGTTGCCGTGCGCCGAGGCTGTAGGGCGATCCAAAATATCGAATCTGGCCGACGACGCCAGTACTGGACGGGGCCGAGAGCGGGACAGACGCTCGCGCATTTAGGTCATCGCCGTCGACGTTGTCAACAACAAAAACAACAATGACAACGTCGTCGTAGCTCTTGCTGCTGCTGCTGCTGCTGCTGCTGCTGCTGCTGCTCTCGTAGTCGAGTCCGCAGCCACGGCCGCTTCGACGCGAGTAACGTCACTCGCCTGCTCCACCAGAGAACGAGTCCGCGCCGTAGCTGCGGACTGGCCCACCAAACATCTCATGTAGAAAGTTCCTTCGCTTCCGAGTTCCTTCTCCTTGCCAGATCCCGACGGTAACTTGGCCCGATCAACGCGCGACCAGCAGCGACGACGATGTAATAACTCGTTCGTAAACTGAAGCGGCAAACCAGCAAAACTATTTTACATTCTGCCTGACTCGTGAAAAGACAAACGAAAACCGACAGAAAAATAAATACAGACGGATTTAGAGAGAAAGAGAGAAAGAGAGAGATAGAAATAGAGAAAAAGAGAGAAAGAGAGGAAACGAGAACGATTTCAGTCCCTCGAGGACGCACGTCGATTCGGACGTTGCGACGTTTGGCCCCCAACTGACATCCCCGCCGCAGCAGCTGAAGCAGCTTAGCCAAGAAGTCGTGTGCTGCTGCTGATGCTGTTGCTGCTACTTCCATACGATGGCGTCGCGACACTCGCGACTCGCGCCACCGCCGTCCCACGTAGATGCACTTTCAGCTTGCTCCTAGATCCTCTGACGGTCTCATCGCACTCCGCTGCTGCTGCTGCTGCTGCTACTGCACCACCCGCTTACCTTTAATCCTATACATATATACATTGTATATACACACATAAAAGTCATATGTGTGGCTGTATATGCGTGCACCACCCACCGCCTCTTTTTCCCGTCCCTACTCCTCGCGCCTCGACACATATTCGGCTCGACTCTGTTTAGCTGCGTGCAGACCAGCGCAGGCCACAGGATGCACCGAAAGCTCCGCAGGACAGGAGAGGACTCGAGAGGCGCCTGCGTATCGTCCTCTCGACGAACCGACGTCGAACCTTTGCATCCTCCCTTACCCGCGCTAAAACTGGATCAAATACCCGTGAATCGCATTCGTGGCGCGACTTTCACCATCGCCTATCGAGAACCACGCGTGTCTCTACCAGCCAATCTCATCTATTTCTATTTGACATTTCCAATATAGTTTGGATAATTCGTCAACCCTTTCCTTTTATTTTACTTTATGCTTTGTGTTTCAATGAAAAAAGTTCAAACCATTGAATAACGATCAGTAAAAGAAATAAAGAAAAAGAGGCGAAAAAAAGATTTGCAGTCGGTATTAATTGGAATTCATAGCATTAGTTTATTATTTAATTGCTTGGTAACATAAATTTAATAACGGTATAAATATAAAAAATTTATAATCATTCAATGGATTAGCCCAAAGCGCAACGACCCCTGTTGGATTGCAAGAAATGTTTCTGTAACGAAAAAAGGGGTAAATTATTAAATGGAATATCGATCTGTTGAAAGAGCGAAAAATGATGATCTAATACACTCACGGCACAGTTGACGAGAGCCTTAGGATGTTTCCAATGCTGTTTGCAGTTTTGAGCGGCCTCCTTCAAGCAATGCTTCGCCGCCCATCTGAAGGCGCCGGCCAAGACTCTCACGGCGATCGCGAGGGCTGGATTCCTGGATTCCACTTCGTCCAGCTCGCTCAGGTCGATCTCCAACGAATTTTCCTGCTGCTCGTCGTCGATCACTGGCTGTGCAGAGATGGTCAGAGCGACGAGAGCCAACACTCCGAAGAATACCAAAAATGATCGAGAAAACATGATGACCGATGCTAGAATTGCTGATGCTACTTGTCAATTGCTTTGCAACTGCTGATTGCTGTGACTGTGGATTGACAACCAGTCGGGCTCCCTTTTATATCTCTCACTTTACACTGATTTTCCATTATTCTAGGGACCACTCAATTACTTCTACGTAAAACTGTTTATTTACGAGTCATTTAACATTTCGAATCATTGAAAATGTTTGTAATGAGTGTAAAAGAGCAGTAAATGGATATTTTTAATAATTAGTTTTTTGCGATTACAATAAAGCTTCAGTTACAATAATATTCATAAATTATATTTACAAAACAATTGAAAAAATTTTTGCATTTATTTCAATAAAAAAATAACAAGTTTGTATGTAATCGTCCGACTTTAATTTATTTTTGTAAAAATTCTCTGATGATTGTTAATTATTTCTTCCTTATCAGTTTTATTATATTGAAATCGCTACAAACACTTGGTTCTAAATTCTTCATACTTGGAAAGAATTAAGCTGCATCCAAATATTTAAATTCTGTGAAACAATTATCAATCTTTCTTCGTCAATAATTTTGTTTGGAAGGGGATTTATTTGTTGAACAAAGATAAACACAGAGTGATTACTTTCTCTTTCAAAGATACATAAATATTCCACCATTAAAAATTAAATTATTAATATTTGATCAATATTGGATTAATTTTTATTCATTATTTATTTTATGAAAAAACGGCATGATTTTTATGCATATGTAATTTTTTCTATTGTCGCAGTCGTATTTTCTAATACAAAATCAACATCAAGATCCTCCGTAATGAATAATACCAACTATTTTTACTACTTCTCACAGTTTTTCCAATTTTTGATGCGTTTATTAATATACATTAAAACGTGTTTATTTAAATTTCATCACTTTTTATTACTATGGTGTGTTTTTTTACAGATGTTATACACTCAAAACCGGAATAGGAGTGATAAGATTTGCAAAATCCGTTTTAATAAACTGAGAAAGTTGACTCATGATATGTTAAATGACCCGTAAATAAACAGTTTTACGTAGAAGTAATTGAGTGGTCCCTAGAATAATGGAAAATCAGTGTAAAGTGAGAGATATAAAAGGGAGCCCGACTGGTTGTCAATCCACAGTCACAGCAATCAGCAGTTGCAAAGCAATTGACAAGTAGCATCAGCAATTCTAGCATCGGTCATCATGTTTTCTCGATCATTTTTGGTATTCTTCGGAGTGTTGGCTCTCGTCGCTCTGACCATCTCTGCACAGCCAGTGATCGACGACGAGCAGCAGGAAAATTCGTTGGAGATCGACCTGAGCGAGCTGGACGAAGTGGAATCCAGGAATCCAGCCCTCGCGATCGCCGTGAGAGTCTTGGCCGGCGCCTTCAGATGGGCGGCGAAGCATTGCTTGAAGGAGGCCGCTCAAAACTGCAAACAGCATTGGAAACATCCTAAGGCTCTCGTCAACTGTGCCGTGAGTGTATTAGATCATCATTTTTCGCTCTTTCAACAGATCGATATTCCATTTAATAATTTACCCCTTTTTTCGTTACAGAAACATTTCTTGCAATCCAACAGGGGCCGTTGCGCTTTGGGCTAATCCATTGAATAATTATAAATTTTTTATATTTATACCGTCATTAAATTTATGTTACCAAGCGATTAAATAATAAACTAATGCTATAAATTCCAATTAATACCGACTGCAAATCTTTCTTTCGTCTCTTTTCCTTTATTTCTTTTACTGGTCGTTATCCAATGGTTCGAACTTTTTAAACTAAAATGTGAATTATTAAATGAAATGAAATGAAAAAACTAAAAAAATCGCCATTTTTTTTCCTAAGTAGTTTCCAAGTATCACGGATAATCCAAGCTTGCAAACATTCGAAATTTGACAACATCATGACTTTATTATTTTTGAGATAAGCTGAAGATTTTTCCTGTTTTAATAATCGACAAAAATGATGACAATGTAAAAAACAATGAGTGAAACGATCAACTATAAAAGAGCATTGAATTCTTCAGCAAGGCACAGAATCATTCGTTTGATCGGTTGCCAATCCAAAATTTTATAATGAAGACTAGTTACTTCTTGTTGCCGTTGTGCATTTTGGTGATTTTAAGCGTAAGTTTTGAATCGGCCAAGGCTCAACAAGACGAAGTAGAGGACAAACAAGCCCAAGTGATCGTGGCCCGAATCTTAGGACGACTCTTCGTCAGAGGAGCCAGGAAATGCCTTGGAGAGGCTTCAAACGAGTGCAGAGGACATTCAGGCAATGTAAAAGCGGCCCTAAAATGTGGTGTAAGTATAGCATATTTTTACTGACACTCTCAATTTCCCACAAAAATAATTGATGTCCGATTATTTATTTACACTTAACATTAATTTAATTTTAGGAGGAATTCTTAAAACGCAACAAAGGGCGATGCGCCATTTAATCAGAATTCATTTACTTGTTTGTATCTACAAAATGACAAAGATTAATAAATTAAAATATTGAAATGATTGATGCCGATATTATTGAAAAATCGTATCCTATCATGACTTTATTTAAAAAATGTAATAAGATATTTAATTTAAGGTCACAGGCAGATCGTTACTATGTTTTTTAAAATGAATATTACATTTCGTTCTTTAATTTATTTTCTGAAAAGCAATATTTTTTGGCCAAATTAATTTTTATCCTCGAACAAATTTGAAGGTAGTTTAGAAGTAATTGCTATAGTTATTTTCACAATTCATTCTTCGTTTTTTTTAATTTTCATAGTATATCCATCAAGTTATTCAGATTGTCAGCTTATAACTTTTTTATAACAATTCATAAAACTTTCTTACTAATTATAAATATATGTTTATAAGAATTGAATAGCAGATTCATGAATAATGCCATCGGAAGAAAGTTCTCGGGCTAAAATGTACAATTTATCAATTAAATGAATTTACGCATTAGATGAAAAATAACTGCTTAATATGAGCCATCTATGTATCGAACTCCTATGCAATTATTGAATGAATATGCATGATTGAGAAATTAACTCTATGGTGTTTGATTTTCGGTCGCAGAGACAGCTTGAATGCTTTAAGATACGATAATTTCCCCTTTCAATTTAGCGATCATGTAAAATATTTGTTTCTGTGATAATACATTAAAATTTTTCCACGTAATTTTCGATAACGAATTTTACGTGGAAATAATTATTGAAGCAATTCATTCTATTGGAAGGTTTTTCCGTTGAAAACTCTAACGCTCAGTATTATACAAAAGATGTGTCAATTATATCTTGATGCATAAAGTATTGCACAAGTTCGTCGACGCATGTGTTGACTTAACTCTACATAATGTAATTTTGTATAAACATATTAAATCTACAAACTATCGAGAATAATCGAGTGGCCAACTTTTCTTTCCTCGTTACATCTGTGCATAAATAGTGGGTATCTCAATTAAACTAATCGACTTAACTCAAAGATCGACTAAACTGTAAGTGAAGAAACATGTTTTCTCGCTACGTAATAATTTTTGGAATGGCCATTTTCGCATCGGCCTTGGTCACAACGAGAGCGCAAGATTTGGCTGCAAACGAAAGCGAGGACAGATCTTTCGCTTCAAAAGCCGTAAGTTCCCTTTTCTTTTCTAAATTGCTCCTTGTGCTCGATTAGTATGAAAAATTTGTCACGTTCCATCTGTCAGTTGGAAAAGCTAGCGAAAAAGGCACTACTGCAAGCTTTTGGAGGCCCACTGGGCGGAGCTGCCGCGGGCTGCATCGAGCAGGCGATCGAGCAATGCAAGCACGAATTGAAGCACCTGAAAAAAATGCTCAAGTGCGCTGTGAGTCATTCAAAATTATATTTTTTTCCATCGATTGATAAATTATTGAGCATATTTTTGTTATAAATTATGTATTCTCCATCATAGGGCAACTACTTCAAGGAAGATAAAGGCGAGTGTTTGATACCCTGAATTGTTATAATGAAAACTTTATGAAGAAAAAAATTCTTCAATAAAACTAATGTATTTTTTAACTCATTATTAAAACACAGACCATTATTTCTTTGCGTATTCATTATACTTCAAAATAGTCGCGACAAAGGTGGATTATCTAACTACTCTGCTGTACAGGTAGAACTATAACAATTAATTGTTAGATTTTCCTCATTGGTAAAGCAGTTACAACGCGTCGATTTCGTCGCTGTTTCGCGTTACGAGTAGTTAATCGTATTGGTTGCATGTCAATAAGTGGGCTGTAAGGTATAGGTAACAAATTTGGTTTGTCAATGTTTATTCGAAATTCCTGAGTCACGATATATAATAAATAATATTTGTCGTAAGTTCTTGATAAATAGAGAGAGAGAGAGAGAGAGAGAGAGAGAGGAAGGGAGAAAGAGATAAGGACTTGGAAAGAAATTGTAAATTGCCGATAATTTCTCATTGGAAGACGATGGAAAATGTTAAATGCAGAAGCACGAGAGTCACGAAAGTAGCATAATTTGTTAATAATTGTATTAATATTCTTTTGAAGCTGACGCTACTCGATGTGGCAATTAGAGAAAGCCACGTCAAGAGTTTCCTTATGGCTTTCCTGGCAGAGACTGCGAAAAAAGCGAGAACTGCTTGTGGCGTCACAAGCTTCGATGTTTCGCTTGTTAGTCGTTATCGGTCGTAGTCGGCACTGTATCAAGCACATGATCGGAGCCGCAAATACAGCTGTTCATGCGCCTATATTGCATAAGGCCAAGTGTCTGACAAGTGACTCCGTAAGTGTACATTGTGCACATATACATTCGTGCATGGTGTCGCCACAGACAGTGAGTTTTCCATACTAAGGGCCAAACGCGCGGCTGGCAGCTATCCTGACTCAGCTGAGCACGGCGACACTTCCTCTTGGATATTGCCCCATGTGTAATACTCTTGGCTTCGTAATCCCTATTATGGTTGTATCGGCACCTACGCGGGCTCCTCGGGCATCCGACGTTTTTGCAGTCATTGCTGCTGATGTAGCTGCACGCACGTATAAGAACTGGCGTGCAATGGTGTGAGTCGTGCGCTCGCGACACTGCATAGTAACGGCTGCGTCGAAGTCGGGACTGTCGAGCGTCAGTCGACACCCGCCACTCGTGTCGCGAGCACGTCCAGCTTGCCTCGCGCGCACTGCTTCTACCACACACCCACACACGCGCGTACACAATTTTATGCCTCGCGAGTGCAGTGCCGTATCGTACAATAGTCACCTATATATACAAGTATACTTGTAGCAAAGTTTTGTATGCGTGGATCTAGGCTTGTACGCACCAAGCTCTCATCCTCGAGCATCGGCGCTATGTCACACCAGTGCAGTGCAGTGCTGCACATCTCGTGCCTATTCCTGTGATGATACCTTATACGTATACAAGTATCAACGATACATGTATAGACGATGGAATGAAGCAGTCAAATCGATTTCGCCTCGTCGTCGTCGTCGTGAACGCACGGCTTCGCTGCTGAACCCTTGTCATCGTCGTTGAATCCGCACACATGCACTTTTCTCTCTATATGCAAGACTGCATACGATTTTGTCAACTACTGTTACGTACTACTTCTTCCGGCCTACTGCAGGTAGATGAGCTCTTCAAGAAGTCGTTCGCACTCTGCAAAACCCGATGCTCCTTACCAATGAAAGTAGTAAGTCATTGACGTTCTGTCCTAGTAAATTCATACTTTTACTTCAGCGATTGCCTGTCTTTACACCCTAGTTCGTCTCTCTTTAATATTCATACTTATTTTAGAGTTCAACGCGTCAATTCTGAAGCTGCAAGCCATTGCGCGTGTTTTTGAAAATCGATTTTCTTGGCGTCTGCGACAGTCGCGTTCTTTTGTCCGGTCTCGTCATAAATTGGCTTACGTTGATTGTTCGTTTCGCGCATTACTTTTACTACATTTCTTATTTATTTTAATCAAAAATTGCAATAACCAACTTTTAAATTATGCGCAAGGGAACATTTCGGTCGCATTTGACAGCTGATGAAAATAAAACTTAACCTCGTGTTTTTTGACCCAAAGCTTGTCGAAACGCTTTTTATCTGGCATTTCTGCGCACATTTCACCTGCAAAATTCTTAAAATGTATACTCTGAGCAAGCGATAAAATTGTTAAAATACATTTCATACTGTAAATATACATATCAATGCTTGTATTAACGATAAAGTGAATATTATATCTTATTTAATTTTTACAAATCTGAGTGAAATATTAATATCAATCAAACTTGTACTGTGAAAAAGTACCAATCATACTATCATTAACATTTCTTTTATTCAAAGAGTTAAAATAAGTAACGTAGCATATCTATTGAGTTAATTTAAATAGAATGTACAATAAGGACTATTGACCTAGTTTAATATTTCATAAAGAATATTATCGTGACCTGTATTGTTTATTGGAAAATAAAATGTAGCCATTGTATTACAAATGAAGATATTGACCATTAATTGTATCAATTGCTATTACACATTTTTTCTAATGATGGGTAACCAATATTAATTTGTTTTTTCTCATCTTCAATCTTTTATCCATTTATTTTAAATCATCAGTGCATTTAAATATTACATAAAAATATAACGGTATTGTCTTTACATTGTACATAGTAACAGTCGAATATGCAATTTATAAAGTTTTGATAAATAATAACTGATAATTTGACCATATATCTAAAATATTTTCTGTATTTAAATTTGAAATGAATATATCATAAAAATAAATAAATATGGAATCATACTTTTGGTAGGTCGATAAGATATAAATGTATGAAAAGTGACAAGGAATATCTTATTTTGAGAGACTATAGCAATTTTCTTGGGTTACTTTATGGCAATATTAATAAATATCCAATAATACAATATTTATCTTTTATATTGCTCTTTTTTGTTTCCTCTCACCGGTTCACCCTGTTGCATGCCATACACTCGAAATTCATACTTATCCAAAAATACCAAATTCATTTTAACGCTTGGACTCTGTTCTATACTTTTGAAATAGGCTTCAATTACTTTAAAATTTTTATTTAAAGTTCTAACTTTTATTGTAAAAATATCATCAGTTTTTGTATATAATTTTTAAGTAATTTTAATTATCTCACCTTTGAATTGATTCATGACCATTTTGACATATTTGAAATTGATGACTTTATCAATTGTTGGTGGCTGGGACTTTCAATTTTTACTTTGAAAAAAAAATTTCATGAAAAAAGTAGACTTACAATTCAAACTGTTTCCTCCGTAAACAAAGAATGACGTAAAAATGATTTTTCATTGATGCGGCGTAAAATTGTTCATTTTTACCGACTACATATGCCCTGGTAATCTGTGAGAATATTTTAATTTGGTAACCACAAAACTAAACTATTTTGTGAACACTGAAATCTACAGGTGCTGTTTAATTTGAAGAGAAAAAAAAAGTTCAGTTTTTTTGTATTCAATTCTTTAATACGCAAGTTTGTGGAGAATAAACTATATGAAAAGAATTTAAGCACTAATTACTGTTTTTGTACTGTTATTGCAGAAATTGCGAGTGACATTCTGTAATCAGGCATCATCATCGTAAGGGGTAATAAGAAAAATTAAAAACAGTAAAGTGAAAGCAGCGAAGCAGCCGATCGATCGAGGTGCATACAATCAAAGCTGGAGTAAGCGCGAGAGAGTTGATATGCGGGCATGTGGATGCGCTGGGAGCACCTAGGCGTCAGGCTCGGCTCCCTCGTGTTCGTCGGCCACGTCCTCTTGCTTCTCGTAATCGGGGCCAGCAGTAGACTCGGCGATGCAGCCAACACCGTTAAAAGCGACGCCGTTAGGCCCGCATCGGTGGCGAAACCTCTACCGGTTCGGGCACTCGCCGATTCCGAGTTACCTGTCACGCCATCAATCAAGCGGATCGAAGAAATGTTCGATAACGTCACTGGCGGCAGCAAAGTCGGTAAGTTTGCCAAAAGCCTAGCAAAGCAGCTTTCCAATATCGATATTCGGTGGAAATGTAAACACTGACTCAGTACCATCCGAAAGTGATCGATTCTCGCGATCGCGTTTCAATTATAAAATAATTATACCTGTAGGAAAAAAATGTCTCTGGAGTACCAGTTTTTCAAATCGACTATAAAATTTTGCGAATTCCTCAACAGAATTCCAAGTTGGTGAAATTTTAGTACATAGCACTCGGAGATGTGCGAAAGAAGAAAAATACGTATAGACTCTTGCCTAAATGTTTTATTTGTTTAAACAGCTACTAGAGTGCCGGTGACCGGAACAACGGAAACCAACTCGCCGATAGTGCCTCCCACCTTCCTCAGCGAAACTCTTACTTGCCAACCTTATCAAGGTATCTACGTCAACCACGTCTACTTCCAGTTAGCCAACGCCTTCTTTCTTCTCTCGCATCTTGCCCCGAATGGTTTGCACGGAGTCCTTTATTTGCGATGCACACTGCTCGTCGGTTGTGCCTTCTTGGCCGGCTGGGCCTGGACTATTGCTTGCTGGATAGACGCTGCCCTTTGGAATATACTCTTCGTACTCATTAATTTGATCCACGTATGCGTTCTCATCTACAGACTAAGGCCTGTTAGATTTTCTAAAGAAATAGAAGAGGTCAGGTGCTCTTATTTTTGTCCATAATCTTTTTCCTTGCCATTTTTATCGTTTTTCATGGTCGATATATATGATTTTCAGGTGTACAGAGCAGTCTTTCAGCCACTTCGTGTATCTCGGCATCAGTTTAAAAAAGTTTTAAGTTGCATGAAACTCATAAGACAACTTAAATATCAAGAAGTATATGCTCAAGAAAAAGTTACCAAAGTCGATTCACTTTCCTTGGTACTTTCGGGAAAGTTAGTTCTATTGTCAATTGCAAATCACTCAACTTAACGTTTCGTTATAATAAATTTAATTATTTCAGATTGGTCGTTTCACAAAATGGAAAAGCTTTACACATTGTCTTTCCTCACCAATTTTTAGATTCTCCGGAATGGTTTGGTGTTTCAACGGACGAATTTTTCCAGGTTATTTGGTTTTTTTCTTTCAATAGTTATAAAAAAATTAATGATTTTTTATAAATACAGGTATCTATTACTGCTATGGAAGACTCTAGAGTATTACTGTGGCATCGTGACAAATTGAAATTAAGCATAATAAGTGATCAATTCCTACAGGCAGTTTTTGATCATATTCTTGGTAGAGATGTTGTCAAAAAACTCATGCAGGTATAACATTTTACGATTTTGGCAGAGTCATGGTTTCATTTTTTTTTTTTCGTTTTAAAAAAAATGTTATTAATTTTTTCTGCTTGCAAAATAACAAACACCCCGTTTATTAATTCTATTTTTTTACATATTTATAGGTAAGCGAGACAATGGCTGCTAGTCATCAGCAACAAAATGGCCAAGTGGTAAATCTTGGTAGTGGTATTGCCAATAACCACGACACTGAACTCGATGCCAAAATGTTCGTCGTAAAAAAAACTGATGATAGCCAAGGTATTACTGCTTTAATAAGCAGACAGCTGCAAGGTATAAATTACATTTTTTACGTTGTTAATCAATGCACTTTGCATGAATACCCACTAAAAATAATCAGACATTTTTTATAAAACTTCAAAAGTAAAGTCACTTCAACAGTTCTGTAACGCACGCATCAATATTCTTTTTCATATTTCTGTCTCTGTACTGTTGAATTCAAACAGTTTCAAGTATAATTAATTTCAAATTAAATACTATTCATTTTTCTTACATCTGCTTTAATTTTTAATTGATACAATCAATTTTTTTTTAATTATAATGATATTATTTGTTAATTGCACTCTTTAAGTTTATTTTTTTTTTTTTATATATTTGTTGTTGTTGCCGCCCCGATCCGCATATACAATGTGTCCTACACCAAAACCACAAACAACCATCACCATGATCCACGCGCATGCACTGACCTGCTATCTACTGATGTACCGATGTCGCATGCTTCCTCTGCGCAGAGGAACGAGTACCACTACTGTATTCGAGTGTCGATGTCCTAGGCAACGCTCTTCATCGCCCTATTGAACTTCAGAAGGCAACTAGTCGTAGTAATATACCTTCAGTGCGTGTATCTTGGTAACAGCTCATTTGGTTGTAATAATTGTTTTTCCAATGGAAAATTTATATTTTTTATTTCAAAAATATCTGACCAGTTTAAATATTTTAGTTGTTTTTAGCCGTAATTGTGAATATACGTACTATTATTTGTATCAACGCGGAAATTTCTCAAACATTTATCTGATGGAAGAAAATTGATAGCTTCATTCGATTGTATGAAGTGGAATAATATTGTCAGAGTTTGAGTTTTTTTCACACAAAAAAATCATAAGATAGAAAATATTTTAAAACATTTTCTAGTCTTATTTATAAAAAGTCAAAGAATCAACAAATATTTATCTTTCATTAAAAAATTTGTCTTACCTGATTAAGTCGCATTATTGATAATTATTTATTTACCATGGAAAGGTATTAATCTAGTCTTTTCAACAATAAGTTTGACCAGTAAATTAAGAAAATTATAATTGTAAAGAAAACTATTCAAACTCAACGTTTTGAATGAAATGATCTTACATTGAAACGTGAATTTCAAATTAACAGTTTTAATTATTATTTTTTATACGTCATATGATTTAAAGTGGCACTTTACTCAATAATTTAAAATTTTTTGAGACTTAAAATAGATAATATTATGTAGCGAAATAATTTCGCATTTTAATAGCTTTGCTTTTTTCTTCGACTCCAAAGGCAGCATTTTTATTTTGTTAGTATGTATGCTGAAGTGTTGAACTGATGATTGTGATATTTTATTTGATACAATGGTCGATTTTTCACTAGTGTAAAAAATTTCTTTTATTTAAAAAAAAAATTATTGCATAATAAAATGTCCTCTATTTGTATTTACGATTAATTTTTGTTTTCTTAGATTTTGTTATTGTTACAAAAATTCAGTAAAAGTATAGAAGAAAATCAGCATTTATAAACATATTATAATTATATTGTAATTAAGGTCATTGATGTTTCGTATTTAATACACTGGAATGAGTCATTTTTAAGCAGTTGATATGGAAAACTTTTTATTTCTTAATAATATGGCTTTTGTATAAATTTATTACAAACATGAAAAATAAATTAAACTTTCAATCAAGTAAGTGTTTTATTGCATTGTCAAAAACATCAAACAGAGACAATTGAAATTCAATAAAAATTTTAATTTCTATTTTTATAGTTCTACTTACATGTGACTTTCTTTCTGTACTTAGGTTTACCTAGGATTAAATACTATTACTGTGGTAAGTTATTGAATAAAAATATCAAAACTGTAAAAGCAAATACCTGTCATAGTTGATTAAAAAAAATCATTTTTTTAGCTTTATTTTTTGTAGAAAATTTTTTTTACTTCATTATGAGTGAATTTTTCGCTAAGGCAATTTTTCCAATTAATTTTGTCTTGAAGAGTTTTTAAAAGTTTAAAAAGAGCTTGTTAAAAAGAAATTTTTTTAAATTGAATTCCTAGAAAACTTTTACAACTATGAATATTTATTATTAATTTATTTCTAATAATGACCAAATAATAAAAAAAATTATGTGTTAACAGCTGCTGGAGATCCAAATGCTTGGCGCTTAGGAAGGATTGAAGAGACTGATCATGAGACACCTGTTTAATGCTAAAATATATTAAAAAATTTCTATAAAAATTATTGTTATGCTTAACTCGTGGCAAAATATTGCGATACGAAATTGAATACATAATTTAGAAGTATCTTTTAATTTCCATTCAATAGGGAAATGAATGAATAAAAACACAATAAATTAAGGCACACATGGGCTCAACTTTGCTTAGAAAAACACTGGCTCCAATGTAATAATTAACATTTTGCCATTATGTTTGTATGTGCGTGTTTACAAGAGTGAAACATAAAATTTCTATAGCTAATGAACTTAAAAAAAAAAGATGATAAATGTGCTCAGTAGTTGCATCATATGACTGCAGGTGTAAAATAATTTATTCTAAGATGCTTCATTAAAAAAGCAGAGATCCATGATAAATCATCTATTTAATGAATATAACGTAAATTTGGATCATGCCATGAATCATACATTATGTATTATAACGTTATTCAAACTAAAACTCTACCTGCAATTTAAAATTGAATGAAACATAATATTCGTATTAATTCAAACTTTCCAAAAGTACAACTGCAATAAAAGTGATTGATTGTTATTTATGTTATATGCTGTTTTCAATAGATAATAACTTTTCATTTTCTGCCTGGCATATGATGATGGAGGTTTACATAACTTAGGAATGTTGTTGATTGATTGTAAGGTAAAAGTCATGTCTTTCAAGTAATAGAACGAATCAATGCAAATGGCTATGTTGATAAATGTATGCATTTATAATATATGTATTATTACTGTTCAAAGTTAGTACTTACATTATTTAGTGACCGTTAAAAATTTATGTAAAATATCCAATATGATAATTAGGAATTACTTATATTTTAACAAGTAAATCTAACATACCTTACTCAATTAGAATATCCTTTGAACTTATCAAGTAATGTTCAATCTGTGTTTAACATAATTTTCTTGTATTAATATTAAAAGATTTTTTATACTACAAAATGAATGTAAATTCTCTTATAATTGAAAATAGTTATCTTTATGCACATATTTTAATTTTTACAAAATCTAAATTCTCCTGAAAAAAAGTGATAGAATCTAATTGAGCAAGATATTCTTTTTCAGTAATTTCTTCTTTTCTAGGAAATAACAAATTTAAACAACAAAGGTCATAAATCTGCACTGGTTAATGTCATCTATGTTTTTAAAAAAGTAGTTTGTACTGCCACTATCAAACTTCTGTACTTGATTGAATTCTTTTTATTGAATGTCAATGATTATATTAGAAGTATTCTCACATTCAATTAATTAACAAACCATCAAAATATTTTTAAACCAATAGTTTGATGTTTATATTTTTTTAAAAGTACCCTTACTATATTAAAAATTATAATAAAAATCATTATTTTCATTAAGTGTTGTACTTAAGTGAAAATAAAAATGAATGCTTCATGAATTTAAAGAATAGATTTATTAACAATATACAATCTATTATATTTTTAATTTAAATAATAAAAAAATAAATACTTGAACATCACATATTTTATTCCAGCATTATTTTTCTTTTAATGTAGAAATCTATTCAAAGTAAAATCTATCTTAAAAATTACTGATTAGTATGAAAAGTAATTTCATACTAATTTCATTGTTGTGTGTAGGTAAAATTTGATTTGTACATTAATACATATAATAATAGATTACTATATAATTTCCTTCCATTCTCAATATCCTATTTACAACAAAAATGACTTAAAAATAGTTTATGGCCACATAATTTTTTGGATTTTTTTTTTTGTCTCATTCTGAAAAAAAATATTTTTACTGTATCTTTTGTTTTTTCAATAAAAATGAATAAATGAAATGGTAATGTTTAAATAAAATGTTTTTTACTTGATCATCTATTTTGCGCTTAAATCCATTTTCAAATTGAGTATTATCTGTGCATAAATTAGAAAGACCATTTACATTTGACACAGCATCATCATCATCATCTTTAGGTTGATTTAATCTGTTGTTATTAGCCGAATTTGAAAGATCTTCTAAATTAGAACTGTATAAAAACTGATCAAGTTAATATATTATTTTCTTATATTACAGATATTTCTAAATGTAATCACCTTTTTAAATCCAACTCTTTTCCTGTTGCTGTAGGTATTTTTCGTGTTACCCTGAGTTCATGCAATTTCTTTCCTAAATATTTTGCTACATTATACTGTCTTTGGGGTAAAGGTAAAACTGTCTTTTTATATATTTTTATTAATTCTGTCTTAGTGTAGATTCTGTTATTTGGTAGTTCTTTGCACCTCTGAAATTGAAGTTAAGAATAAATTACATATACTTCGGAAAGATAAACTTTTAGTAATAAAATTTATGGTTCAATCACCTACACTCTTATTTATTAGACTTATTAAATCTTTTTCTGATAATGATTCTGGATGTACAAGTAGTCTGGGATTAATTGACATTTTAAATAAACTTTTTCACAAAACTCCACTGAAAATCTTAAAATTCACACTTAACTACCCTTGAAAAATAAATGATTTTGTCAATTGTTCTCGATCAGCAAATTTTTTTTTCTTCAATTGATGGACTTAATTCATCTGATAAAAATTAAGCCTTGATTAAAAGCAGTTACCCTAGATATCAATTTCTGTACATCTTATCGATAATAACTGATACTCGATAGAAATCATTGTTGTAGGTATTGCCTGTTTATGCGACAGTATGATTAAAGTTGATATGCAATTAATATGGTATACAATAAGTATATAAATGTAGCACGAGTGCCGACTGCGGTTGAATCGCGCAGCGCGCTATAGAAGGTTATATTGTGTCCATGGTTATAACTGAAGGGTGCATGTCTATGGCTCTTGACTCCAACGAGCGCGGGAAAATGACATTGTTCAATTTTTTACATAATCTCACAATTTCGACGATTCTTAATATCATATCATATTCATCAGCTTTAAAAAATCATTTTTCAACAATACAAATCCCCAAACAAAAGACGTTGAATATTGTTATAATTAAACTTGAAAAGGTAGCCAATGATTTACACACATTTATCTTTCCTAAAGAAAAAGGTTTTGTCAATATTTTGATTTTTAATGCTAAAATATATTAAAAAATTTTTAATTGATGAACATTTTAATTGATAAAAACAAACATAAATTACGTTTACTTGAAAAAAGCGCTATCTGATAGTAAATGACGCATGTGCTTTGCGTTTTAAGTGTACAACAACATCAATGAATCTCTTTGGCATAGCTGTATAATATATAGTGCACCGAGCGCACGCAACTTGAGCAGTAGGCAAAGTTCATTTATTTCGATGATAACAATTTACAATACCCAAGTGTTTCGTCATAAGCAATGATTTTTTATAGGTTCATTTATTTCACGCCTTTGTAATTGATCATCGCGATTCAATTTTTTTTCGATTAGTACTTTGGCATCTCTGTCCATTTTTATGTTCAAGGTTGAATAAACCAAAGGACTTGGGGCAACTAATCAGTATAAACTTGCGTCCAATCTTTCATAAACAGTTCATATCAAAGACGCTATTTTAAAGTAGATTCGTTTCAGCTTTAGTACACGATCGATGCAGAAATGTATCATTCAGTTTTTTTATTAAAAATCAGTGTATGATGGAGCAGCAGACAATATTTATCACTCGTTAAATGAAAGATTTAACCATAATTAGAACCTGTTTAAAAAGTCAGAATAAAAAGCAAGCAAAAAATGAAGGTTGGTTTATGGAATTTTCATCTTGAAATCACATGACGAACACCCCAATACGTATTCCTGGCTGAAGTACCTTCATTTTCTTGAATTTCTTCCAAATGAAGATCAGTTATTGTAAAAATTTATTGTTGAGAAATCTATACTTCAAACTCTTCAAAAACAATAAATATAGCTTTTGTTTGGTCCAAATTGAAATTCATAACAAACATGTCAAAAGGATTAACTATGGAATCGCTGCATGAATATATATTAGCAGCGATTAATGATATCATTATTTGGTGGGCTTGGTATCTAGCCGAGATATCATTTCAATTGATTATTTCAGTAATTTCTTATATTATAGTATGTGTCTTTCTATATTTTCTTTTAAAAAAAGTGGATTCTACTGCATGGCAATTACCAGGTCCACCAAATAGATTATTGCTAGTCACAGCTCATCCAGATGATGAAGTTATGTTTTTTGGTCCAATGATTTATTGGATTGTACAAAAAAACAAAAGTAATATACATCTTCTTTGTCTATCTCAAGGTAACTTGTAATTCATTTATTAATAATTTAAATGTATCATCAACTGATTCTTTTCTTATTAAATGATTATTACAGGTGGATGTAAAAAAAGAAAAGAAGAATTATTCGAAAGTGCAAAACGTCTTGGTATTCCTGCAGCAAATGTTACCATTATGACGTATGTATTCATTAATCATTATCAATATTAAAATTTCTACTTATTGATCCTCATTGGTTAATAATTTTATGCAGGTGTACAGAATTACCTGATCATCCAAAAATCCAATGGCCTGAAGAAGTGATAGCGGAGAATGTTCTTCAGTTCATAGAAATGTATAAAATGGACGCTGTAGTTACTTTCGATAAGCATGGTGTGAGTAGGCACAAGAATCACATTTCTTTATTTTATGCAATAGCATCTCTATGCATAGAGAAAAAAGTACCTACATGTAAGTGAATATTTTAAAAAAAGTAAAAAAGTAATCTTTCATAGTTCAATTAATTATACTTACTTTATAATATTTTTGAAAAAATTTTCAGATTGTAAATTATATACCCTGGAATCTGTAAATATTTTTCGAAAGTATACTCTAATATTTGATTTACCAATCAGTTTGTTATCTGCACCTTATTGGTACTTAATTTCATATCAACAGCGATATTACATAAAAGTAAGACTTTTCTTTATTAAAAATATTATTTTTTAGTGCTCATACTAAACTTAATTTCTAATTTAATTTTAGAATGCCATGAGAGCTCACTCTTCGCAGTATGTGTGGTTTCGCCAATTGTACATGATTTTTTCTCGTTATACATTGATAAATACCCTCCATGAAGTCAATTTACTTGATCTTGAACTGGATCTCCAATTTGATGATGACGATGACTGAATTTATATAGATATTTTATGAATCAAAATGTATATATCTTCTATTGTTAAAGAATTTATTTATTTACTATGAAAATTAATTAAAAAATAAACACATAAGTGATAATTTTCAAATCGAAATTTTATTAGCATTTAAATACACCCATTTGTTGAAATTAAAATTATAGTCTTAAGGAACAATTAAAGTCAAATGTCAAGATAAATTTTCTTTATTGTTTTCCATCAACACTAATGAACATTTGATATAATAATGGCAAATGAATTAACAAATTTAGTAAAGAGATGAATGGTCTGAAAGAATCAAATCTTTTTGCTTCTCTCCAACATAGCAATAGAGAATTTTTTTAATTCATCATATAATATATTCATTTATCAAAAATTGCAGAATATCTGATCAATTCAAATCGATATGTCGCGCTAAAATTTACTAACATATTTTTGATTCAGATTACTAAATTTAATTTAGCTTGCCTTCGATTAGACCGTCTGGATATAATCTATTTATAATTTAGCATTTGCATAATGCTCTAACGTTTATGGGGGTTGACTTTAATCATTTAATAAATTTGGCACATTCAAAGTTTTCGTGCGAAGTAAGTATTGTCAATGGTTCATAACTTATGCAAATTTTTATAAAAAAGACTCATACCACACTTTTGGACATAAAAGTAGCTTCGTTAATGAAAATTAAATGACGATTTTCAAAAAGAAAATAGCGCAGAAAAAAAATGAAATGAATTTTATTTTTATATGTCAAATAAAGTAAAATCTTTTCCTGCAATTGATTCTTGAATATTATATAATTGAAGAAACGAAAAAACCAAAAAATAAGTATAAATAAAATGTAATTGATATTACAAGCTATGAGAGTATAAAGCACAAAACTTCAAAAATTAAAATTCAATACATTACATGAAATAACAGCCTGTGCAGCTCAATGTTTTGTCATAAACGTAAAAATCTCGAATTTTTATACAGAACAAGTAGAAAACTAACTTATGAATGCATTTTGGAATGTTTGGTCGCAAGATGTATCGGCGGTATGCGTTATAAAAATTTATAGTTAATACTAAATACTGAAATCACAATTTGCGATCTTAACGCAACAACACTTCACATATACTCGCATAATTATTTGTACGCAAGTAGATTCGTTTAAATAGTGCCTTAAATTTAAATAAAATCATTTCAAAAACATCAATAATTCGTAGGTCGATGAATATTTTTCAACAGCCTTTCATTGAATATCTTGAATAATCTGAATTCTGTGCAACGTACATTTAGTAATCTAAATAAACACAATACTTTATATTTTCACATACTTTTTATATCTTACGATAAACTTGAAGTGATGTCAGTAGATGTGGTTTATTATTATAATAGACACGAGAACTTCAATGCATTATGCTTAGAAATTTTGAAAAATCTATTTTCTTTCACAATTTCAAAAACGACCATTTCTATTTTTATAAGTTTATTCAAGGATCAAAATCGAATGAATATGGATAAATTTTATAAAAGTATGATTCATGTATCCACGTCGATTTTTAATTTTGATTCTATTTTAATCAACTGATTCTATTTTGGTATAGACTTTTCAAAATTTCAAAGTTTAACGAGCTCCTTGAGTTGACTAGAAATTAAATGATGTTGACCAAGGTAATACACTATGAATAATGATTGGTTTACAATAATAATTTCTTATATATTTTTGTACAAGATTGTGCAACTTTGATTTGTCATTTTTTTGGAATTATAAAAACGTATTTCAAAAGTTTGAAAAAGTATTAGGAAGTACATTGTAGTGTATGTATGTAAGTATTTTTTTGTGCTTTTTGATTAAATATCAAAATCAAGATTCATAATATTCTTCTTGGTCATTTACAATATTTATTTTCATTGCCTACCTCAAGAGTCGGAGGAAAAAGTACTTTCAACAAGTGAATGAGTTGAGTTTGCTTTTAATTTTACAATTACCGCTATTTATACGATATAAAGATCTTACAATTTCTTTTGTTTAGTTACCAACTCAAAATCGAATTTCTCCCTCATTTAGCATTGAAACAACTTTTTCCTAGATACAATATAATCTAATTTATATCAGTGCTCATTATTGAGACATTCATAATTTTGCGCGTAAATACTTAAAATAATCGCGGTTCCATGGACGGCATAGTGTGTTCCCGCAAGATCCTCCAGTCGATTATTAAGCACTCAGACATTTAGTGACCGTCGATTCAAAGGAGTCCTTTAACTTAGTCATTGTTTGCGACGAACATGACTCTTCTCCGATAATCAATAATAAAAAAAAAACAAAATAAAAAAGGATATAACAATATGAGTGCCGTACATAGTTGTACTATCGATCGATCGCCAAGTGGCGAGTTAACTCTCCTCGTAAACGGACTCGAGCGTTTCTGAGCATTTTTTGGCATCTTTTCAAGTTAATTTTTACGTTCACTCCGCATCACTTAACTTTTCGTAAACCATGAATTTATAGAACTACTTCAACAATGATTTATAAATTTTTTTTTCAAGAGTTCTTTTTTTACACGGATAAAAACTTCACAGCTATCAACTAAAAAGAGCATCAGTTCGATATTCGCATTCAATTATTCTTTAAAAATAAATAATCAATTTCAATACGATGTATTAATTAACAGCTGTGAAGGTCAGGATAATGACAAAGTGATATTTTACTAATTATTTACCTGCTGGTTGAGATTCGATAACACTAAATCACGAAAGAAAAATGTATTATTATCATCAATTAATTAATTACTTGATTAATTAATTAATTAATTAATAAAAAAGGTCAGTCCTCGCTCAGGTCTAGAAATAGTCGACTCATCGGCTTCTTGGAGAACGCGCGAGCGTCCTAAAGAACGATGGGATGATGACAGATCACAATTAAAGCCGATTTAAATGATGTCCTAATGAAATTTTAAATTGTTTACGAGGGGTTCATAACGAAGATCTCGCGGGCTGTATCCTAAAATCTATCTTTTCCTCGCAGAGTGCCCATTCCCGGTTGAGGTGAATCTGGTGCTACATTTTCTTGTAAATATTGCATTTCCTGCAACTCCTGGAACTTTTCATGGTCTCGAATGTGTGCGTAATTGGCAGATAAGCACATTAAGAAGTGAACTAGCGAGAGTAATACTAAAATAGTTGCGATGGTCGCTAAAATGAACATGAGTATTGCTGGCTCAGAGTAATCTTTGCAGAAAAGTTTGACCTCTTGCTGACCACAGACCTTCATATCTTCTTCCCGAGTACCATTGGGAAACATGAAATCTGGAGGTGAGAAAATTCACTGTTATACAAAATTTCTCTAAAATATTTAGACGTTATCAAAATATATCATTCAACTTACTGAATTGAGTAAAGTCAATACATTGGTCGAAAGTTTTAACGCGCGGATTGTCGCACATTTTACAGAAATTGTGGAAGACAAAAGTAGCGATGACCAGGAAAGCAAAAATCAGCGTCCAGAAGATTTGCAAGATGTAGGTAATGGTCATGAACTGCAAAATAAAATTCATTTTTATAAATGATTTCATTAATTAATTTTGATTGATTTGATTTAGTCGAGATATAAAAGACGTACAAAAGCGCAAGAAATCCTTCCACCAACTCTAGTTCTCCAAGCACGGTAGACTTTGGTCCTTGTGGCACCAGTAGCTAAGCAACCGACGCACAGGATCATAAAACCCAAAGCTGCCATGCTCGCTCCAATGACCGCGAATATCATTTTAATGGCTTCGAGCCATAAGCGTTTTATGTGGAAGACATCGCTGATCATCAGGCTAACGAGTGTTGCGCCGCGGTACATCGTGCCACAAAACACACCCACCCCGATGCAGCACATTATGGTTGCAATCAGGGTGGCATATGGAATGCGCGACATACAGTCCTTGCACATGTTGCCTGCAAATGAAAGAAGTACTCGCATTATTTGGATGCCTGCTTTCATGCATTTTCGAAATTATTGAACCAATAGAGCGCGAATAAAAGGTCTAACAGGACACCGGACTTCCCGTACTTATAAAGTTTGTCGAGATATCATCATAGTAAACAATGCGCTCTCTTTCTTTTTGAAAAACGTAAATCAAGTGCATCAATAATACTTTTCCTTGCTATAAAGATTCATTAACAAGTATAATTTATGTAAATGGTTACACAAGATATCTTTAATACTCAACTTTTTTTACAATTACTTGAGTAATACTTAATTAACTATTGCACATAGTATTTCTAAAATTATTCAATTCAAGTTCAGGACCACTACGACAAAAATTAAAATCTTAAATGTTATTCTATATCGTAAAACTTAACATAAGACTCATTAAACTCTGTAATTTTGTTTTTGAATTTTATATCAATGTAAACTTTAGCTAAAAGTTTTAAAAAGTTTACAAAGTACAGTTGTAAACTTAACCTAACTTTGTAAAATATGCTTCCAAGTTTCAATAAACCCCTCCCTCTTTTCACATAATATATATACAATTTATATTCATCTAATCAGTTGTATCTAATTTGAAATTACTTACTATCTGCATCATTCAAATAGTCACCATGCAAACTATGTTCAGAAAATCTATCAACACTCATGGCACTTTCATAATACTTTTTTCTTAAAGGCATTTCACTAAAACTTTGTCTGTTTCTTCTACCCATTGTTTAAAAAGATATATCAACTTAGATTTGTCAATAAAAAACAAAGGCTAAAAATTCAATTAACTTTATTTCTGTAAAGATATAAATGAAATAATTTCAGCACAATCTTTAAGCAGAGCAGAAAAGAAGTCACTAAATTGAAGATAAATGAGAAACTGGGTACTGTTGTACTGTGGATGACTAATACTGCTCTCACTATTTCAAGAAATACTTTGATAAGATTACTCTTTATCTTTCATTGGATCATCTGTTGTGTACAGCATGCTATGTTTATTTAAAACTATGTATTTTTCATACTTAATTAAGATCAACACAATTATTTTGGACATAAAAATCATTTTCTCCTTTTGTTAATTTCAATAATTAACATTCCAGGGATGTAATCATAACTTGAATGAATATCTTAGATGTGTCATCAATGAATGTGGATAATCACAATGAATGATGCAAAATTGAAGCTTATTAAAGAAGTTAAATAGCTTTGTTTATTATTTATTAGCTTTGTTGTAATCATCTTATTCAATACTTTTCTATTTTTGAAAATTTTTAAAAATGTGAAAAAAAATTTAATGTTTATTTTTATTAATTATATTATAAAAGTAAAACAGGATCTTGATGAAAAAGCTAATATCATTTATAAAACTTCCCAAAATAAAGAATTGGTAAGTTTTTAATAATACTTAAAATTATTATGTATACTATGTTTGTAATTATCTATGAAATATCATAAACTGAACTTGATTCATTTCAATTATCATATTTCTATGATGATAATCTCAGTGTCAACTGTATCCAGTAATATTTAATTCTTTCTGATTCATCTTTAGTAGTGAAAATTTTAAGAGAAAATTATATTTTATTATTTGAAACAATAAAAGACTACTATGATACTTGAACTCTTTATGTAATATTTAAATTAAACATTAAAAGTAGAGCGTGTTAATTAATATTGCCATGCGACTAAATTGTGGCATCAATGGCGCCCTGATTTAAAACGCGTTCGAGGCTAAACGCGACGCGAATAAATTGAACGAAAATTAATCACTAATTATAATCTATGCGCGTCTCGTAAAAAAATATTTTCAAACTCGTAGTCTAAATATTGAAAATGCATTCGCTAGCATGAAGAACAATAAACAGTCTATGATAATGCAAGTAACAATGAGAGCATGAGTGTAGTAAATTTGACCCAGTGAAGTTGGAGCATTGACCTAATATGTTAGATAAGATCATAGCAAATTCACAAGATTTTGGTCTTAACTTATTAGCGAGCTTTCAATTTACTAACACTAGTTTTTTATACTTTGATCAACATGTACAAAAAAATATGTAAAAAAGTGTTTGATCAATATTTGCGATCATAGTAAATGCGCAACAATTACAATACCGTCGAAACAGATATCTGTGATAATCCAGTCTCAAATTTCAACAAACAGAAAATCATTGTGATGTAAAGTTCTAACAAAGCTCGCAAACAATTTGTACGTTCGATCCCATAAAATAAACCTCAACAGCGTACATATGCGATTGTATTGGTACAGTTTCAAGAATGCAATCGCTTACGCGAGTGTATAATATATACCTATATAAATACTAGACGCCGTCTGAATCGTAGAACTAAGGCTGGAATAGTGGTGGGGAGACGCTGCACCTTTTGTTTCGTATGGGACTTGTATTTATAATGTAAGCTAAGATGTCTCGGGTTATGCGTTGCGCATGGAATGAAGAAAGAGAGAGAGAGAGAGAAAAGTACGTATGTATTATATGTTGTATACGCGTATACAAACACGATGCGAGTCTGATCTGAGAGTCATTAAAATGACGAGGACTTTTCTTATTATGCGCGTGCTATACGATTCTGCCATGGACTCACCCATTTTTGCGACAAAGCGTCTTCGTTGCGCTGTTTTTTTCCAACGAGAGAATAGAAAGTCGCGGGCCCTGAGAGCTGCCGCGCGACTATGTCCAGATGAAAGTTGCAGTCGATTTGCGACCGAGACTGCGGCGCAGCGGCAACACCTTGTCTTTCAACGGCGAGCGACACAAACGAATTCGATAGTAGGTATATTATATATCTATATCTGTGGATGAAAGCGCGCTCGGAGCAGGTGGCGGCGTTCGCTCTTCGAACTGGCTCACAGGTTCACTGCACACCCACGTAAGATGTACTGCATAATACAGCGGTCAGCAAAGAACATCGAATTGCACAGAAGCACAAACACGCAAACGAAACTCTCACAACAGTCCGTAGATATAATGTCGATGAGCGCCGACGCTCGCTTTAACCAGACTCGATCGACTCACGCGCTAACGACGACTGGCTCGCTCGAGGATTGTGCGAATACGTGCACTTGACGCCGCCAGAGACCAGAGTTTATAGTTGCGCACTGAACGTCCTGTAGGTTCTCTACACATAATCTATACCTATATACCTACCTGCATACAACGCATACAAACTACTGCTACATTTCACGCACTCTTTAGAGATTCACCTCTCTTCTATACTACGAGTCCTGTACATACCTGCCTATGGATCAAGGTAATATTTGCAGGTAACTATGAAGGTGTTTGATACGTGGCTGTTACTATGATAAACACCCTGCAGACTGCCTGATGTTCTACAAAAGTTGCTGACTCTGTGAGCCGTATAGAATATTTCTTTATTCACGGACGGGCTAGCCACGAGTCGGCCCGAATACGGCGAGGCATTCGAATTTACATGCTTGGCAGTTATATTACGTTCAGTTCAACTGGCTATTAGCATTTGCTATGTCGCAATTCTTCAGTAAAGCTTGGCAATTCAATTTAGGTACTTACGATTCCGAATAGTCGTCTTGATTTCTCTTCCTTTTTACTGGATCGCTAAAAGACGATGAGAACTTTTTGTATTTTCATTTTTTGACATTTCCCATATATATACCAATTGATGTGCCGTCTGAAGGCCTAAACTCAGCTTAATAAGAAAGTATAATAAATGACTGCGTACTACAATATCGTTCGCGTTTTGCAAATGTTACAATTGTAAATACAGCGCAGTAAAGACTCTACCTATGCCAACCAATGTTTAACTAACTTTGTAGTTATTATTGCTCTATATTTCAACACAAAGGTATTATAGAATTAATCTAGAAAATGTCAAAAACTACCCGTTGGTTATTCCAAATCGCAGCTTGCGCATAGCCATCATATTTAAATGATGAAAAAAAATTTGGAAAATTCGTAACACAAACCATAAACCAACGCCTACAATTCTGGTAAAATTATTTTCAATTAAATGCATATTAGCACCATATATGCGTGACAAAATTAAAAGAAATAAATTATTTTAATTACTATCGTGTTTTGCTAAATAAAATAAACGAGGACTTATCCTAGTGTACTTTTGATCATCGTATTATAGCGTAATAATTAACAATTGAGCGTTATATTAAATCCCGGACTTTATTGCAAAAAGTATCACATTTCAATAATGTTGTCTAAAATTATGCCATCCAGATGATACGGAAAGCCAGAATATTGTGATAACCGTGATTTTGGAGTCAGCAAATGTTTTTGATTCTATAAATTATCAAAAGAATCCGGTAACATGGAAAATGTTCCGATAAGACGTTTTTAAATAATACAGTAACAATATCAGAATGTTGTATAACGCGTCAGCGTGGAGACTGAAACCCCTCAGTTTTTCATCAGAATCTCGCGAGGTATTCAACAGTTAATAACAAATGCTTTTAAATAAACAAATCGCCAAAAGTCAACATGACTTAATAAATAATTGAAAATCATTAACACGAGAGAAAAATATCAAGAGTACTTTATAATTTGGAATTCAAAGCACTTTATAATTTGGAAGTTCAAAGCTCATCATTCCAATAGTGGGGATCGATTTGTGCTGAAACATTGATAACATTGTCAAAAATTTAGTTTAAACAAAAAAGTAAAAAAAATGTTCACGCTCTCTCAAAATCAAATTTCCGGTTTCATATCGGATGTTTGCCATTTTGTGGAGTTTACCACACGGCGTTCGTATTACCACCTTTTTCTATACCTTAATTTTTCTTTAAAAAAATATTAACGTTACGTTATATATATAACGGTACGTTATCTCAAAAGTTTAAATTCATTCTAAAAACAATTGATTTATTAACTACTTGCAATATATTGTAAACTGACTCATTGAAATTAAGCAAGTAAACATAATTCAAAAACTTGAAAAAGCCACTAAGTGGTAGCAAAATTTTGTGTCAATTCAAATAAATATTACTAATATTCAACAATTTTTTAAATCAAAATTTGAATCAGTAATAGCCAAATTAAAAATAAAATTTGATTTCAACTATTTTAAATTATTAAAGTATTTGCTATTATGATTTTATATTTTGATAACGTGAAGGTGATTTATTTATTATGGTAGCATATAAACATAAAGATATTATCAATTTTTTTATTTAATTTAAAAAAAAATTCAATTTAATTGGATCCTTAAATTTACATTATTAAATAATATATTTACAATCTTAGATTCTTTAACTTTTTATACATATAATACATATGATGTACACATGACTGATACTTTAAACGTTTAAAGTAAATATAATGAAATTTATATACAATGAAATGTACATTTCTTAAATTACAAAAAATGTCGACTAGTCAATTGATGTTGTTTTGCGTACATTTTTTTGACTTATTTTTCTTTTCTTAAAAGAAACTACTGGCTTTTCGTCATCGCTATCATCAAGAGATAAATGCGTAACAGTTTTTTCTTTGAATTCCCTTTTAACAACAGGAGGGTCTTTACAACTTATTACTGGTGCTTCTGGTTCTTCTACTTTTGGTAATTGCCAATTTATCGTTGGCTGTTCAACAGTTTTTATAACTGTCCATGAACCATAAGGTTGAGGTTTTTCTGGTACACTGTAATCTCGCCTATAAGGTATCTCTTCTTTGACATCTGCATCACTTTGTTTTTGTTCATTTTGTTTGCGAATGAGCTTCATTTTTTCTCGAAGTGCATTTGCTCTTTGCTCTTCAAACAAGTCTTTTTTTTCTATTTTTTCTTGTTCATCTATTTCTTTCAGCAACTCTGCTTGCAATTCTTGCTCTTTGGCTTCTTCGGCTTGTTCTTCTAATGACATATAACCTTCCAATGGAGGTTCCCACATAGTTTCATTAGTTTCAGTATTCCAATAATAAGAATATCCTTGAGACTTGACTTCATACCAAACTTTTCTGACTGCTATACCTGTACCTAGTTTTGAATCTTTTTTGCCTTTACTATTCTTCTTGTTACCTTCAGCATCACTCTTAGCTTTGGCCGCTTCTTTTTTTGCTGCTTTTGCATCACGAGCAGCTATTTTTGCTAATTTTTGAGCAGCAAATGGATCACAAGGATCTACATCAGCAGCAGTATACTTAGGGCGAGTTACTTTAGGTATATTAACATTCCTTGGATGGGCTTCTGGTGAAGCATCCGGTACTTGATTTGGATTAGTTGAAGCAAACGATTTTTCAGATAATCTACTTTCACTTTTTTGTTGCATGATAGCTTGAGCAGACATATCAGTATGATTTGCAGCTAAATCCTTCATGTAAGCAGCCATAGCTGCTTTTTCCATCGATTGTAGGTTATCTTCAAACTTTTTTTGTTGTTTAATTTGTTTCATACCTATTTTGTGACTCTCTTTAATACGTTTAGCGACATTTTCTTTGTGGCGTTTGCCATTTTCATGAAACTCGATGCTAGGTTTATTGTCGGCAATCCAACATTTACAAAAGTCGCAATGTTTGCGTGCTTGAGATTTCCAATAGTCAGCCATGGTCGTTCACAAATTCACGTTCACTGTTTCACTGACGTAGTTAGACTGATACAGGCTTGAAAGTGCGAGCACTGCGAGCCGCGAGGCGCGAGCCGAGCACAAGTCTTGACTGTCTGACTGTCTGCTAGAAGGAGATGCGCGCGCACAAGCGATCATGCGCGTGCGTTTCTAGTGCCCATATGAAATTGAAATTTGTATAAAAATGAATATCTATTGTAAAATTTGGTTTTTGAACTTATCAAAATATCATAGATTATGTGCCTGATGAGCGAAAAATTGGAAAGCCTCAGAGCACTCGCGATTATTAGCCTCGTCTTCGTCTCGAATGAAAAATATTTCATCAGTAAAATTTCCAAAAATATTTTTCAAATTCTATCTTGGCTGTAGCTTCCATTTTTTTTATAAAAAAAATCCTTGAATGTTTAAAATAATTATAAAAATTAACGATATATGATTGATTTTTTTTATTGATTTATAGATCGTCATTACGAATTTAGAGTTATTATTGCTAACTTTGGCATCACCATCTGATATTTTTGACGAAAATTTTTAAACGTATCAAGTAAGAATGAAAACATTTATTCATCAATAGAAAAGCTATGAGACTGCAATTTCGTCCCTATGACAATAATATAGATGTCTATATTGGTTTTACTTGGTCAAATATAACATTTCACATAAAATTACATGTACTTTAAAATTAAGGTAGATAGTTATATTTTTTTATAATGGTCCACTCACATGCTGCTAGTATATTCTTTATACTCTTTAGAGGGCCTGATTAAATTTTAAATATACAGATTCATAAAAAAACACCTTAATATTGGTTTTAATAAAAGTACGTTAAAAATCATTCAAGATCATTCACACATTTCTTCATAGAAGATTATTTTATATGAAATTATAACATGTTTTAGTAACAAGTTTAATGCGAAAAGTTTAATGCGGATTTTATTTGGAGTCAAACGCTTCCTACAACAATCATTTCGTTTAACCAATTCTTGAAGGTTATTAAGTATCACTACAATTAATTAGTAGTTGATACAGCACTGTACTTTACATAAAAGAACATTAAAAATCAAGCAATCGACATGAAATTATCGAGTTGTTCCATAGATAATTAAATTCATTAATGGAAATAAACGTCAAACTAATTCAAGAAAACATAACAAGCGATAAAAGAGGGTGCACGAAGAAATATATTATATCTAAATAATATGTATATCAATATTCACGAGAGATAACATGTGTGTCTTAAGTATTAATAATAATGCTTTTGTAATTATCTCCGAAGTAAATATACCCTTATAAAAAATATATATTAATATCAAGTTAAAAAATAATCTAAAGAGCGTATAAAAGTTAATCTTTCACAGTATAGTAGTACGCAGACAACACTACAAACTCACGCTAGTTATAAATTTTACAAATTGATCGCGATATTTTTAATAGTATTACTAACGTATACTTCGAGGCGTTGGCCTAATAGGTTCCACGAGATACTGAACTACAATTGGCACTTGTGACAGCTTCTTCTTTACTATATCTGGCATTTCCTTCGGATCTTTTCTTGGATTATAATGAATAATGCTACCGTCGGAACTTTCGAATAGTATTCCATCTCCATTTTTTTTCGTTATTACCTTGATAGCCAGAAAAAATTATTTTATAGAAAAATAAAAATGAACATGTATGCCTGAATAGGCTAATAACCTACCGTGAGAACCGATCCATCTTTGTAATCTATTCTAATATCTCCAGAGGGCATTTGAACCCCTGTACCAATACCAGGCACATCAACCTTCACAGGTTTTGATTCAAGAAAGTGATTAGAGTGTCGATTTTTAGCAGGAACGTTTAAAGTTGTTGAGACCATGGAGCAAGTAGCATCGAAGGAAGGCATTTGCTGAATCTGAAAAGAGATCAGAGAAGTGAAAAAAATAAATTTGATAATATTCTTGACTATTTTAATTATAAAAAAATTACGGCAGGTCGAATTGAAGGATCTCTTAAGATATTTTCTTTGCCTAGCAGAGGCGCTGCACTATCATTTAATGGAGCTACGGGTTTTCTACCAATGATAGCCGGAAAAAATGATTGGCTTGTGGCAGTTTCAAGGGAAGTCAGAGACGCTTCCAGAAGTTGACAACGTTTATAACACTCGATGTAATGGTCGTAGTATTCTTCAAGCTCTGTAGGCAATTCGGCTTCCGAAAATGTCAAACCAAGTTTGTCTTTAACTTTAATAATACCTTTGGATTGGCTAACCTAATGAAAATGAAGATAAAACACCGTTAAATTAATCTTTGAAAATCCTAAAAGAAAATGAAATAGTATGAAATAAACCCGAACTTTAATGCTATCGTAAAATATTGTATCACAGTTTGGTTGTGGGCCATTTTCCATATACAAGCATTTGGCTTTAGATGTATATAGAGTGATTTTGGGTGTTTGAGAGCGTACTAGCTTGACAAATTCTGCAGCATAATCGTACTTTCGTTGGTGCTTTGCTGGAAGATTTTCATAAGAAAACATACTGTCAGCACCCCGCGTGGGTAAGGGCAGAGGCTGTTGGCTTGGTTCAACTACCTCTTGTGGTTTATAATGAATGATCCGAAGACCATCACCTGACACTCGCCATACTTCGCCTATTCTTTCCTGAATAAGAAATATCATTTACGTTTTAATTTTCAAATTTTTTTTCAAAGCTATGAATAATGCATGAAAAACTCACGAGATTATTTTTTTTCTTTAAAAATTCAGCGACAACTTCACCGCTGCTGAGAATCGTTAAAATCGCACTTTTTGTTTTATGCCTCGTAGGTTGCAATCTTATGGTAGACAGTGGAGGTACTTTCATCTTGTTAGAAGCAACCTCATCCGATACAATTGGATTGTCTTTCGGTTTACTACTACCACTGTTGCCATTGCGATCACGACTCGGTGCACGGCGGTGATTCTCACCATTACTGCCATTCGAACCTCCGCTGTTTCCGCCATAAAGCTCTTCTCTGTGAGCGTTATTAGGTCCGGTAATGCGTTCATCACTATTAGTCCCAATTCGTATACCATTGCTGGAGCTTTTCACGTGATTATGATCGCTACCGTGGCCACTGATAGCGCGATTATATCCACTGTCGTGTCCGTTGCACCTTTCGTAAGATCTACTATTTCGTTCACTAGTATGCCGGAATTCGTGATTCTTGAAAGGTTCACGATGAGCATTACCGTGACCATCTAGAACATTAGTATAGCCTTCAAGAACGTTATTTTGTATTCTATTTTCTTTCATGTAGGGCCCATTTTGGTCATGGTAATTTTCATTGTGATTCGCAGTATAGTTACCGCTTAGACCCCCGCTATGGTTTACATTACGCGCACCGCTGCTATAGTGGCCTGCGTTGTGTTCCATATTATGCCCACTGTATCCGCTGTGTCCACTATGACCGCTATTACCACTATGGCTGCTGTGATTACGGTTGATGTGGCCACTGTTATAAACCTCAGAACGTACACCGTTGATACCGTACAACGGCTCATTGTTAATGCGTCCTTTGTGATCTTCGTAACTATTACGTAAACGAGCACTAGGTAAATTTTCTTCCCCAGTATAGTTATTATCGTAATAATCATCGTATCTCTGAACAGGTGTCGGTCGAATAGGAGGTTCACACTCTGATAAAAGAATTTGACTGTTGCTCCGACCAGATTGTTGAGGTAGATTAATTCCTGATAGTATGGAGTCCGTATTATTGTCTCTATTGTAGTCTGAGCGCCTAAATAGATTGATTTATTATTCAGTTTCTTATAGATAATGATAAATAATGTTTTGGATATGCACCTCATGCTCTGTGACTTATGTAGACTAGGAATTGGATCTATCGTAGGGTCGCTTCTTGTGCTGCAACCATTGTATGCTACAGGTGCACCAGAGCGTTCTTCAGAACGGGAACGGATGCGTGTATGTCCATTTGAAGATAAAGTTCTACCTAATCCTGAATCAATATTATCCCCGGAGAACCTTCCATAACCAATTTTATTCTGAAAATTTCAATTGGAAAAATAATCCTTTTTCTAGGATAGTCATTACGCAATTAAAATATTCTTACATTTGTCCCATGTTTATCGATTGAAGTAATAAAAGGATGTTTGAGTATGTCTCTCAATCGTATCCTGTCAATTGGATTTTTTTTCAGTAACCTATCTATGAGATTTTTAGCATTCTCAGATAAATGTGATGGCATTTTATAATCTGCCATTACTACCCGCGTCAATGTGCTCTGAACAGCATTTGAGTCAAAAGGAGGTGTCCCAACCAAAAGAGTGTACAGCATGCAACCCAAACTCCACACATCAGTTTCTAAACCATGAGAAGATCTAGTGGCTACTTCAGGAGCTATAAAATTTGGAGTACCGCACATAGTGAAATGTTTTTCATCAGGACTGGACAGTTGTGTTGCTAAGCCAAAATCTGCTATTTTCTATAAATAATAGGTTATATTAATAAATAATAATAATTCAAGTTTCTCACAATTTTATATATTAAAAATATTGTTACGTACAACTTGCATATCTTTTGTCAGTAACAAATTAGACAATGACATGTCTCTGTGGAGAATTTGAAATGAATGCAAGTACAACAGACCTTGAACAACTTGTTGAATGATGCGACCAGCTAGAAAAATATTACATTTATAAAAGTATTGCTAATAATATACAAATAATTAGACCAATTATATTTAAATACCTTCTTGTTCAGACAAAGGTCCTTGCTCTTTTAGATATCTTTGAAGTTCTCCATTATGACACAGTTCTAGAACTATATACACATAGTTTTTATCTTCAAAACATGTGTAGAAATCTAAAACTGATGGATTCTTCAGTCTTTGGTGAATCTTTATTTCTTGTTGCACTCTACCCACCATCCCGGCTGCTTGCATCAGCCCTTTGTCGATCTGGGAATATGAATATTATATCACAAATATTATATTCAATAGTCACAAATTAAAAAAATTGAATATTCATGCAGTCCCCAAATATTTATTTTTACTACTATTTAATTCTCCATTACGTGTCAACAAAATATAGATTTCACGTTTCAGGGAATAAACAAAAAATGGGTCAAAAGGTAATAAATAGTAAAATATTTCTTTAATCAAAATTAATTAACATACCATTTTGATAGCAACATCGATGCCTGTTCTTCGACATTTTGCTCTGTAAACACATGCAAATCCTCCTTTACCTAATAAATTAAATAACTGGTAATCCTGCAAAGTAAATACACAAATATTTATTATCAAATATCCAAAACTCACAAACACTTTTTCGTATTCATAAAATGACACACTGGCTGCGCGGGTAAAATATTGGACGCTAACCTCGATCGATGTTCCAAAGCCAGACGAATACGCCGGCATCGCGGTACAATGTTACGAGTAAGGTAAATGCACAATCGTCTGGGAAATTGACATCTGGAAGAATTTCTGAAAAAGACGCCTTGAGCCGAGGACAGACGTCGAGGTGTACACACTATTTACGCGGAGGTTCGTTGGAGTCGTCTGTCGTGTTTATTTTCGCGAGTTGCGTTAAGCGCAGTGTTCTTGCCGGCGGCCACCTATAGTCGCTGGGCTTAGAAGATCTTAACTTTGCTGACGAGCTGTAAGTTAAGCGCCGCATGCCAATGTATATGCAGATCTCAAATGTTTGTTGACAAGGGACTTATGCCGTAATATCGAATGTTACTACGATCGCCATTTGATTGTTTAGAATGACTCTTCTTACTTCTGCATACTTTAAGTGCAATTAGTTGTCTGTGCTATATCTGGAAAGTGGTAAATATCATTAACTGGTAGGAGATCATACTTATTCGATACAAGTTTGAAGTTTCCAACTGTCAAATTTCGAATGCGCGAGCATGCGCCTTCGAATTTGGATGGTCTATATGTATAATGTATTTTGCTAGCAGCTAGTACAGAGTGTGCAGACTGTAGATAGCAGCACCTATGCATAATGCACTGCTTGTTGAATGCTTGAAATGCACCGGTCAATGAATGTTAGTGTTTTGATTTGAATTCGTTGCTTAGCAACTGCTTCGTCGAATGTCAAAGAGTGCGTCGCGCTTATTGTGTACATATTACGCCGTAAACATAACCCTTCGTAAATTTTTACTAAAGAAATATTTTATAATAGCAAATAAAAACAGGCAAGTTGGTGCTACAAGTACTATGCGAAATATGATAATTTCAAATCTTACAAAAATTCGTAATTGTTCATCGCTGCTCACTCCAGTCAAGTTTCCACATTATTTTTCGAGGTCACTTTACGAAGTTCAACATAATCCTAAAAATCGCCTTTTTTATGTTCAAATTGAAGAAAGTTTGTTAATATTTTAGTTTTTTTGCCCATTTTTTCAAATACTCCAGCTATTTTAGTCATATTTCAATGGTTTCATGGTATACTTTTTTACAGAGCAAGCGACACTTAATTATAAAATTGAAGGAATAATTATGAATTTACTTTCCATAAATATACCAAAAACACACAAAGGCCAAGGTATTGCAAAATTATTGACAAAAGTATGTGAATATGAAATCAATCTTCTAAAAAAATGATCAGTATTAATTATGATTGATGTGTTATTTTTAGACAGCATTTACTTATGCAATTAACAATAACTATTACTTGTATCTGACCTGTTCTTATACGCAAAAATATTACCTTGCTCATAAAAATAAACAACTTATGGCAAAAGTCGTTGGTCCAACAGAAATTAAGAATTCAAATTTTACGAATGATAAAAAAAAATTTGATGCTATTCTAGATCAAGAAGATAGTACAACTGAAAAAAAATAATTTTATATTTTTTTATGATTTAGTTTGTAAGAGCTGCATTACAAAATTGCAATGGAAGAAATAGAATATGAAAGTATTGTTCAATGGTATTGCCAAAAAAAGTATTACAAAGATATGCTATCTCATGCCAAAAAAGCATCAGAAGCATTTTCTTTAAGCAAAAGATTGAAAGTTTATTTTGCTCTTGCTTGTGCCTTAAATAAACACAACAATGAAGCACTGAAAGTCTGCTCCACTCTTGTAAGTACATTATTCAATTTTATTTAATTAATATAATTTTGAAAAAATAATTTTATTATATTTTTCATAAGGGTTCTCATGAAACTACAGATGTTGCTTTGGCTGTATTACTTATTCAAAGTTATGTGTACAAATATCAAGGTACAACTGATAGAATGGCTATGGCACAGTTAGATGCAAAAATTAGAGAGGATAGAAATAAGTCAACCGCATTAGCATTATCAATTGCAGCAATGGTTGCATTATTATTTGAAAATTATGACAGAGCTAATGACTTTTCTGAGCGTTCATATAATCTTGATCCAGATGATGAAAATGTACTCTTGGCCAGGGGTTGGTGTTTATTAGCTTCAAAAGATCCATCGCAGAAACCTGGTAATAAAAATTTTTAATTTATTAAAGTAGGAATACACTGTTAAAGTAACATTTTATGCGTGTAAAACTATGAGGAATAGTTAAACTTTCCTAATTAGATGATGTAAAAATTCTAGGAAACTTTTTTGAAGTAGTACTGAAAGAAAATAATAAACATTTCAATGCTCTTCTTGGCTCTGCTAAGTGCAGAGAACTACGAGGCGATCATTCTGGATCTATGCTTATTTTAAATCAATTAATCGTGAGATATCCGAAAATTGCTATACCGCTTGTCGAAAAAATGAACAATTTGTTGGCTATGAAAGAGTGGGATCAAGTACTAGAGACATCAGGACGTATTTTGTCCCTCGAAGGTAATAATCTCGATGCATTTCGCGTAAGAGCCATAGTGGTAATATGCCGAGATGGAGACTACAGCGAGTCTGTAAAGCATGTTCAAACATTCTTCCGTAATCTCGTCGTGGCTGAGCCAAAGAACATAGATTTGTTTGTTGACAACGTACAGCTCATCACTGGAATAGCTGTGAAAAATCAAACGATCCTGAGTGAACTGTTCAAAATAGTTGATAAAGTGTCACAGCAAAACGTAAGTTATTGATTACTTTCGGGTTTTCTTCTCAACCTAAAAATAAAAAAAAAGCGTAGATTATGATCTATTAGAATGGTTCAAATTAGCTACGGTAAATCATGTTATTTTTAGAAATTTTATTGTGGAACATGATGTGAAAATTGATTTAAACAGCTATATTAAAATTACATTGCGCTCGAGGAGATACCGAATTCAGGCTAAAATGATTATTTTGTAACGAAATTGTTTATATGTATATTTTTCAGAATAATATCGAGTGAGAATACGAGAAAGTGTTTAAAAAATGTCGGTTTCGGGCAGGTTTCGGTATTTCCTCAAGTCATTTCATTCGGTCCGGAAGGATAAAAAAACTTGCTGTTTCAGCCTGGAAACGCTTTGCTCACCGTAGAGCTAGGTAACGTCTGTTTAGGGCTCAGTAAAGCCAAGGACGCGGAGCACTGGTACAGAGCGACAGTACGTCTCGACGAGAGCTCTTACGCCGGTCTCATCGGCTTGGCGCGGTGTCAGCTGCGAGATCTCGATCCGAAAACGTTGCCCAGCGACGATCTGACGCGTCAGCAGCTCGACTACATCGCCGATTTGCCCGAAGCCGTTAAGAGCTCCGAATTGAAACTACTCTACGCCAAGATGTATCGAGCGAAGGGTAGCCGGGCCCTGGAATTTCTCGAGGAAGCTGCTAGCTTTGCTTTCGAGGTACGTTTGTCATTAGTTTGCGTTAGTTTGGCGAATTAAGATTCGAGCGTTGCTCACGCGATCGTGCACAGAGCGTCGATGGATGGTGTTACGGAAGCGATTACCTGAAGCGACTCAGGCCCGATCTGTGCCTCGACATAGTCGACGAGTACCTCATACACTTGCCGAGCAGCAGCAGCGGCTTGACCGAGGGCAGCGTCAACGAGAATCGCGCCACTTGCGCCAAGTTGCTCGAGATGGTCGTCGAGGCTTGCCCCGGATTGAGCACGGCCCTCTTGACCATCGGCCGCGTCAAGATGCAAATGGGTGACTTTGAGGGAGCCTCGGCCGCCCTCAAGCGACTGCTCGACTCGGTCGACCGGACCAACGCAGCTGGCCACCTGCTGATGGCTCGCATACTGGTCATGCAGGGCCACTACGAGAGCGCCTCGCAAACCCTCGAAGTCGGTCTCAGCTATAACTTCAAGGTGAGGGACGATCCGCTCTACCACATGATCGTGGGCACGGTGGCCAAGGAGAACGGCGACCTCGAGGCAGCCATCAAGAACTTGGAGCAAGCCCTGGCTATATCTCGCGTCAAGGATCACCCCTCGAGTACTCGTCTGTCCACGGCCGATCAAGCGACTCTGTACCTGGAGCTCATATCGGCCTATGCGGCGTTGCGTCGTTTTGCCGAGGCCAGCCAAATGGTCGAGGAGGCCCGAGGCAAATTGGCCAGTGGGCCTGAATACGCTCGAATCGTCGTTGGCCACGCGGAGCTCTGCGTCAAAATGGACGACGTCGAGCGGGCCATCGACATGCTCAATGGCATACAGCCCGGCGAGGGCTACTACCTGCAAGCTCATACCAAATTGGCCGAGATCTACTTGAAGGAAAGGAAAGATCGAAATTCCTTCGCCAAATGCTTCAGGTTCGTTGGCACTTTCAGGATAACCGAATAAACTTGACATTTGAGCTTCTTTTCTTTTGACCTAGAGATTTGGTGGCAAATTGCCCGGGACCGGAAACCAACGCTATGCTTGGCGACGCTTATTTGTCCATTCAAGAGCCCGAGCGAGCCATCGAAGCCTACGAGTTGTCTTTACAGCACAGGCCAAGGGACCGAATAATTGCGCGTAAGATGGGCCAAGCGCTCGTAAAAACGCATCAATATGCCAAAGCAATCGCGTACTACAAAGAGGCAGTGAGCAAAGACGATTGCCAAGATTTAAAGCTTGACATGGCTCAGCTGCTTATGAAACTCAAGCAGTTTGACGAGGCTGAAGCTGCATTACTTGAAGACCTTAACGGTAAAATATTTGCCAAAATTAAAAACTTGATACCATCTTTGATTTTTAACTAATATTATTTTCCAACAAATTTATCGTTTACTTTTATCCAAAGTTCTCGTACAATTAACCAAGATATTGGTGAACAATTTTCAAGAATTCGAATAATTTTTTTATTTTCTAATCAATATGATGGTTAATGGTTTTCTTGGGTTCTTTATCTGTATGCGCATTGCGTTCCCTAAACGTTGTCGGTGCATTGAAAATAACTTGATGAAAATGTTTAATTTATCGTGCTATAAAATGAATGCCCGGTTTTCGTGTCACGAGTAGTATTTTTTGTTATGACGGTTTTTATAGTTTATCTTTATTGACACCCTAATAAATTTTAATAAATAATCGTTGTGGTGAAAACAATATCACCATCACTCTTACGTTGTAAATAAAAGAAGAAAAAATGATAATTGGTCAAATAATCACAAAAGATTGCAATGCTCACTGAACATCTGTTTCGGTTGCTCAATTTACGCTTGGAGGTCAATGAACTAAATTTTTGAACTCATTTATTGGGAGATTATGAGTTTAAAGCTAGTTAAAAGTGTAAAAGTCCATTGATGAGTGGTCCAGCTGAGTCTTATTTTGAAAGTCAAAATCACGTCCGTTGATATAGTACGTGTGTTGGTCATTGAATACGTCCTAGAATTATATCGACGATGTATTTGTATAGGGCACTTATATCGGTATAAGAGATATAATACAACTCAATTCATTCACGTGCTCTTATTTTTAAAGGGCTCGAAGCTACCTTAATCTATTCTGAGCAGTCGTAATTCTCTGCATTGAGTAGCATGACCAGCTATCGTGTAATTAAGGAAAATGGCCTTCGAATTCCTACCTATTTGTGTAAAAAACGTGTAAAATTTGATATAAATTAATGCGCCGACTGTATGGTGAAAACAGAAAATAGATATATGTACCCACTGGGCGCATATACTGAAATTTTAAGAGTACTTTACAGAAGCTCGAGGAAGCAATGACATTCTAGCTCTGGAGATTCGCGGTAAACAGCTACTTCTATTGGCGCAAGTACGCGAGCGCTCAGGCAACATCAAGGGTGCTTTGTCGACCTTAAAAGAGGCCAAAGAGAATCAAGTGCGCTACGTGCAACGAGCCTCTTTGTTGCCCAACTTGCTCGATCAAAAAAATGTCCTTGCCGACATTTGCTTCACAATGGCCGAGCACATGTACTCCATGAGAGATTACGCTCAAGCAGTCGAGCACTACAAGGAGGCGCTGACCTACAAGCCGAACGACGTCAAAGCCCTCCTCTCCTTGGCCAAGCTCTACATGCAGGTTCGGTTATTGCAAATACCTCAATGACAGCTGTTTTAATATGTGCATGGCGCATTGCAAATTTGCGATCGTTGTTTTTTAGATGAATGAACTCGAAAAGTGCACGCAGTACTGTAAAATGCTCTTGAATGCCGATTCAAATAACGAGGCAGCTTGCGTGATGATGGCTGATTTGGCTTTCCGAAAGGTTGACTTTGACACGGCAGCATTTCACTTCAAGCAGCTATTGCTACAAAAACCGACCTACTGGACCGCGCTAGCTCGTCTCATCGAAGTATCTCGTAGAACTGGTTAGTTTATCGACCAATATATCATATGGTAAATTTAGTAGAAAAATGACCGCCCAATGATGCTTTTTCTGTATTATCCTCGTTAAAAGGTAACGTGGACGATTTGGACGAGTGGCTGCACAGGGCCAAGCAGTCGATGCGATCGGGAAAGATAGAAGCCGGTTACTATTATTGCGCGGGTTTGTTGGACTGGCGAACGAATCGTTTGTCATCGGCATTGAAAAACTTTAACGCAGCTCGGCGAGATCTCGAATGGGGTCAGCAAGCTATATACAATATGATTGAGATTTGCCTCGATCCCGATGACGATTCCAATGCTTTATCCAGCGAGCTTTTCATCGACGAAGAAATGAGCAGCGAGGACGCGCGAGGAATGGCTTTGAGTACTGCTCAAAGGTTACTGCAAGTAAGTTCATCTGTTATTACATCAATGAAATCTAACAAAACGCATTGATTCTCATTTGCACGATATTTGGAAGGATCTTAATCCGAAAGGCAATCCACAAGAGCAGTTGACTCACCGATTGTTGAGTAATTTCTATTTACTCGCTACGAAGCAAAAGGTAAACGTCGAGCTAGCTTTGCAGGATTGTACAGAGCTCGCGAATCACGAATCACTGAGAGATCATGTTGGGCCGGCGCTGGGCTTGGCAACCGCGCATATCCTATTAAAACAGCAGCCTCGAGCCAGGAACCATTTAAAAAGAGTCAGTAAAAATACGTGGACTTTCGAGGATGCAGAATACCTTGAAAAGTGCTGGACGCTTCTCGGTTCGTATGGCTTATAATATTTTACGCCACTTGGGTCTTATTTTTGTACTTCTGGTCCACAGCTGAGATCTACACACAATCGTCGAAATACGACTTGGCCAGCGAGTTGCTGCGACGCGTTATCCAGCATAATGCCACTTGCGTAAGAGCCCACGAAATATCCGGCATTATCGCCGAAAAAGAGCAAAATTATAAAGAAGCTGCAAAGTCCTACGACTTGGCATGGCGCTACGGGGGTAGACAAAAGCTCACTATTGGCTATAAATTGGCTTATTGTAATTTCAAAAGCAAGCGCTTCGCCGATGCGATTGAGATCTGCAATCAGGTACTCAAAGCCAATCCCGACTATCCAAGAATAAAAAAGGACATTTTGGAAAAGAGTATAAACAATCTGCGAACATAGATTTTATTATAGGTTTGATTTGACTTTTTTGTGTACTTACATTCTACGTTTTTATTGACTCGTAAGCTTCAATTAAAACTCACTTGTACGAACTTGAAAATAATAGCATATAGTGTAATGGAATGTATTTCATCCGTCCAGTTTTCGTTAATTTAATAAATATAGGTAGTATGGTTATATGTGAGTGTAGTTGTTTTCATTTTTTGTTGTTTTTCTGTCGGAACGAGCTGATAACCTCAAGGCCTGTAAAATGTCGGGACGAGCTCTAAAAGTCGTTATAACCGAAGCGTCGAGTTACACGGCTCGTTACTTAGCATTTCGCATTCTCAACGAAGAGCTTTTCGGACCAGACAGGAAAATCATATTGAGTTTGTTCGTCGCCGACGAGGCTGTCATGAGCTTGGAGGGTATCGCCATTGAAATCACTGCTTGCGCACCCAACCTATTGCAAGGTAGCTTACTGAGCCAACGATCGCGAGCCGCTTTGTCGAGAGTTCAACGACACTTGACTGGTGCAATTCGTGCATTTCAGATATCGTCTACTCGGCAGATCGATCGGTCGCTTTTCATCAAGCGGATTGGATATTTTTTATTGACAAAGGAAAGGATCATTACTTTACGTATGCCGATTTTGAGAATGACTCGTTCTTCATTGATTCGATGATCGAGACAAAGAGAAACGTCAGTTAGTTAAAAGCGCGCCATGACGTCAATGGCTATATGATACCTTTAAAAAAACCACATGCGTTTTCAGGCTAAGGCAATCGATCTTTACGCGAATAAGACGGCAAACGTCATTGTTTACAGCAGTACTGCTGCGAGGATACTTTCCGAATATGCTCCATCGATTCCTATTGCAAATATTACCGTGGCTACAATGATTTTTCGCAATTATACAGCATCCATGGTAAAAACACATATGCCAATTGCATTTACAGATGCTATTTCTTATTGCCTTTTTTCTGATCGACTTTATAGATAGCCAAAAAAACTCAGCGACTGCCTTGCGATGTGAAAAATTTGATAATATGGGGTACAAACAGTCTACCCGCCATTCCCTACTGCAAGTATGCTCGATTTAGTGATGGGAAATATGTGACGGATGCGGTACAGGACGATTTGTGGTTCAAGGAAGAACTTCCAAAGGTTACAAACATTCCTAAAATTAGATTGTATAGCGAACAAAGCTTTTATGTTAATTGTCTAGCTTTCGTGCAGCTATTCAAAGGGATTTTTCGCAAGCGCCGTTATCGATTGACCGAAGCTCTGGCCTTCTTTGATCATTGTAAATATTTAATAAACGGAACTCCAGAAGGTGAGTGGATTACCATGAACGTTTGCTCGGATGGCTCTTATGGCGTCAAGCCTGGCTTATTTTTCTCCTTTCCTGTTTACTGTGTCAACGGCCAATGGAAGATTGTTCAAGTTGGCTTTCAAATTATCTTCTTCATTTTCAATTGATTATCATTAATTATCATAAATCACTAAATATTTTTCCGCCAACTTGCAAATTTGTAGGGCTTAGAGTTAGATGATTACTTCAAAAAGAAGATCAAAGATATACAGATTACTATGGATGATAAGATGCAGTCTGCACTGAATATTTGCCTCGAAGACGAGAGGAATCCAGAAAAACCAATCGATAAAACTGTAGTGAGGAAATCTATTTTAAAAAATGATTTTCCCACTCAGCAAAATAATGAAACTATTACGCAAGACCTTGATGAAATGTCTCCGGAAAATTCAGACAACCCTCCTCAAAATACTGAAAATTAAATTTTTATTATTATAAGCAGTATTTGTTTTATTACTTTTCTAACGAACATAGAAATCGAATCAATCTTAGCATTATCAGTTTTTTCTTTTTGTGTCGAGTAACGATTTTACTCGAAGAATTTTTATTATCTACCAACGTCTAGCCGTATGATATCATAGCTGTAAAAATTTGCTGAGTCGTCGTCGGGTAATGCTACAATTTTGTAACTTTGCATGTATTGATCTTCTATACCGAGAAAATAAAAATTAAAATTTGCTGTAACATGACTATGAAAAATTGTTGACTACTATATCCCATGATTATAATGAATGTAGTGAACTTTTTAAAAGTATTTTTTTCAGTGCACTTATATATCAAAAACATAAATTTAATCGAAATAAGCTAATCATTAGCAGCTCTATTTTGAATCTCCGTTTATCCATTATAATTATTAGTAACCTATTTTTCAGAATTTAATATCACTGAAATATCTAAAATGTTTCATTTTTTTGTCAAATATTAATTGTATTATTAGTCTCATGACAATGACTTTTCCGCGAAGATCTTATAATTTTATCAATATCTGCAGTGTCTTAACACAAAAGAAACAGGTTTTCTGAGGTAAATGACTGGTTCAAAGAGACTCGGAATATATATAATTTTGATGTTGAAGATAAAATAAGCAAAAAATTTTCAACTTAATCGGAGCCAAGAAATATTTAATTACATTTCCTATGTCAGTTTTTAAACTTTTATATAGCCCGAAGCCTGAATCATAAGAAAATTAGAGATGATACTTGCCAAGATATCCTTTTCAAAAAATTTGATTTACCTATAGCAAAACTTTCAGCACTTGAAGTATAAACCTCAAATCAATTTATTCGTTTACTCTTAATTTATAATTTTTTGAACTACTTAAAGTTTTTAAGAATTATTATTATCAATTTTGACTTTCTACATTATTAAAAATTTAAAAAAAAACTTCCGTCCTCGTTCTGCTCGTTCCCAATTCTTGGCTGCTTCGATAATTTTCTGTTCCTTATTTCAGTTTTGTGAAAAAGGCTTAAAAGTTGAGACGTAACTTTGAAGTAAACTTGAAGCGAAGTATAATAATAATAATAACTCTAACTATGAAGGTTTACACTTTACTTGTCAATTCTTACATTAAGTACAGGTGGCGCACATGAGACAAGCACCTGTACATTTTAATATTTACCTACAGATTTTCGACTATATCATGAGTACAAATATTACAATGTGATTTTTTTTAAAACTATGTAGTATTTGATTTATTATTTGGACCAGAAATGTATACATAACTACGTTATCGACTGCAACTTTCATATGATCCTATACTTTATTAATGACAAGAAGAGATCATCGAGATTTTTACTAAATGAATATAACGATGACGGTCATGGTGTCATCGTTTAACAGGCTTATCGTTGATAACAAGAGTTGTTTCATACTACCTAAAATTTTTGTGGATATTAGTTTTACTTTGGATTCTGCTTCATGCTAGTCCATGATTCTGCAAAAATTCCAACCACTTTTTACTGTAAGTCATTATTAATTACTTTTCTTGCTTGACATGCTATATCAGCTGATAATATTCTTTTTTTGCAATATGCTTTTTATTACTGATAATTTATCTGTACTCATAAGGTCAGGGAATATTACAATGGATATAATCAGCATAGAAAGTGGCGAGACAGGGATACGTTCTTCCAAGAGTTCATCTATTATCAAGCCAAGCTGTATCAACTCCAATTCAATATGCTACGTTATAGTAATCATGGCTACTCTAGCTCTACTAGGAGCTATTGTATTCATCTGTCGCGATTATATCAAAATTTTACTTTACTGGATTGAACATCAAAATACATGGATCGTAACAATCATCATGATTGCATTGTTCACACTTGTTTCGTTTCCTGTAATAATAGGCTACTTATTTCTTATTATTGCTAGTGGTTATTTATTTGGAATAGTGCAGGGTATTATGATGGTTTTGTTGTCAGCTAACTTAGGAATTGCCATAGCTCATTTTGTTCTAACTAGCCTATCATCTAATTTACCGATTGGAGCACTATTACAAAGTGACACAGCCAGAGCTATACTCAGAGTGATTTCAGGACAGCAAGCATTTAAGGTTGTACTTTTTACAAGGCTCACTCCTATACCATTTGGATTACAAAATACTATTTTTGCAGTAAGTGTTGATATTGTCTTGTATTATTCTTATTTATAATTGATTATATTTCTTTTTTTTTTATAGGTGAGTCATATAGGGGGTTTAAAATATCATCTAGCCAGTGCAATAGGTTTGTTACCAGCTCAATTAATTAATGTTTATCTGGGAAGCAGTTTAAGATCAATGCAAGATGTTTTAGAAGACAGATCTACAGCAGCTACTGGTTATATTGTCTTTTGCTTCCAGGTAATTCCAATCACTTAATTTAATTGACTTTTATTTTTTAAAAGTTATTTGCACTCGTTAATATTTTCAGATACTGATAGCAGCTTCTTTAATGGTATATGTAGTCCAAAAGGCTAGAAGAGAACTTCAAATTGCCTTGCTAGAAGCAGATCTTGCATCTGTTGGAGAATCAACACACAGTTATATGGATAATCCATCGGATTCAAAAATGCTACTTTAAAAGCCATTACTAGAATCTGTAATAAAAAGTAATAGACTCAAGATTTCCAAAGATTTTGATTAGTATATCAATGAGAAAATGACAATTTCTAAGGAAGAATCATCCAAAGTATCCAAATAAGTGTTACACACTAAAAAAGAAGAACCTGCTGAAGTATTAGAAAAGTGAAACTCCAACATTTTCTATTGATGTTGCTTGTTGGAGTATACGGTTGTGTACTATTAGTGCACTTTAGTAAACTCTCTATCTGCCCTTTACTGGAATTATAAAAAGTGCCAACTCCACTATCATAACATTTATAATTTGCATTTAACTTGGGATAACTGCATTTATTTGTATAACTTGCTTATGTTTTTTTCTATGTCTTCTCTGGACACTTGGTTTTCTTCCAGGAGTGGGTTTTTATATACAATAAGTTTTTGAAAGTTAAAACTAACTTGCACATAACTTGAATGAAAATACTGTATAAATTTACAGCAATCACAATATGTGTAACATGATATACTACTTGTGAGAGTATATGCATAAATATGTAGATTCATATTTAAATAGTCACATGGATGCATTAAATATTTATAACTTTAAAAATGGTTGTGTTTAACTTGAAATTGATAATTTAGATTATTTTTAACAATTGCGCTAATTTAGTTTATTCTATTTTAATTTGTAAAAATATTTTTATATAAAATGTTTTGATTAAAACACCATTTAGTTTCTGGTCTTCCAGTTATTTATTTTGTATGAATAATCAGACTTGTAACATAATATTCAGCGATTCCGTGAATATTTCAATTCTTTAAAGATGATTGACACAAATGTCAGATAATTTATAGACATTGAGAAATGATGAATAACTTCATTTTAAGTTGGTTCTTATGCGATAAAGTATCTTACTTTCAAGCATGCAAAGTTAACACAATATAATGCGTAATCAATTGATTTGTGATAAAAATTATATTAAAAGTAATAATAAAATTTTAGAAATGATGTAAAAATGTATACTTTTTCACTAATGGGTGTTTACAAAAGAACAATCTATATAAGTCTCTAATTCAATGTGAAAAATGTAAAAAATAGAAAGAACAATGAGAAAATTGAAAATTGTAAAGTACAGATAAAGTATAAAAATCTTTTAAGAAAGTCTGTAAAGTTATTTGTCACTTTATTGACGAAAGAAATATTTTATTGTAACATATAAATTTGAAACCGTTTAAATAGCTATATTTGTTGTATAACTACAGCAATAAAGTGATGATCAAAGTTTATATATACGAACTTGAATGATTATTAATCTCAGTATGTGAGAACTAAACCTTGATTGCAACTGCTTGTTAAGCCTATTTTTTTAATTTGAAAATAAGCTCCTATAATTTTAAGAGTAATTCCAATCTAGGGCAGTCAAAAATGGATAGAGTGTAAGTACATTCTGGATGTTCAATAGCTTTCAAAAATAATATTATACGCCCTTTCTTGTTATAATTTTTTTTTGCATGATCGATAGTTGAAAATCAAAATTTGATCGATACCACAATAAAATTGATGTAATTTCAAATAGTATCAAGATATAATTAAATTTTGCCTCATAGTAACTTAATTTAAAATATTAAAGTAAACATAAATTTTTTTTATGCTGTATTTATTTTTTCAATCAATAACAAGTAAAATGCAGTAACTACATAACAAGAGATCAATTTAACAAATTTTCTTCAATCGGTCAAATAATTTTACGCACACACGTACATATTTATATACATATACACATTTATGGTACATTTAAGTATCAACATTCTTTGTCAGTGACACTTTCATTTACATTTTCAAGACCACTAGCAAGCTTTCTTGATTCCTCTGATTTTATACCCCCATCAATAAGATTTTTCTTTTCCGATACTACATTTCTTAATGTAAAGATAATTGGAATGTCACCCAATATTGGGTTATCTTTTTGAAGACATCTAATCCATGACAGAAGGGAATCTTTTGTTGACATTCCAGTAGCACAAACAGCAAAGAAAGTTCCATCGAATTGTTCATGAACAGATGGTGGTAGTATAATTTCTGTTGTATGAATATCTAAGTATGGATTTGGTATTTTATCTACATCTACAAAAAATCAATGAGTTAAATTTTGCTTCTAGCAAGATGAATTGAACTTTTGATTTGTAAACTACTTACCATCGGTGTTCATTTCAGGAAATTTTCTATTTTTTAAAGGTTCGGCTCTCAGTATAAAGTAGTCAACAGATTCAGTTGCAACATATATTTTAAAAGGTCCTTCGACATAAATTGGAGTATTTTTATCATGTTTAAGAAGTAATTCTTTTTGTTTAGGTGCCATAGCTGATACAACCCAGGTCTTATCAATAGAATCTTCTATGTCTTCTGTTTGATATACTGAAATACTACTCTCAACATCAACAGAAGAAATTTTTATCATGGCAAGTTTAGCTAATTCTAAAGGATCATTTGGTAAGGGTTTAGGTACAGGCCACGGATTAAGATTTCTAAATTTTGGCATCCAATACATCATTTTCCAAAATTTTTCCAAAGGTATTCCATTTTGACCAAAGATATTTAATAAAATAGTTTCTGTTTCAGGATCAGGGATAACTCCATTATCTTCCATTTGTTCTAATAAACTGATACAACAATACTGTTCTCTTGGATAATGCATAAATAAAGTTTGAAAATAATTTGTTGGTACCATTGTCTCTTTAGGGAAAACTTCGATCAGTTTTTTATAGACACTTAAATCTTTATGCACACCAAATTCTTTCATATACTTCATTGCGCCATAGACAAAAGCTACTCTTTCTCTTTTTTTACCACTTGATCTTTCATACATTCTTATGCATTCAAGAAAAGCTTCTTTATTTTTATTTTTAGCTTTCACTAAAGAATTTGTTATAATATCTTGAGTATATTTACTCATTTGTTTATCCTTTTCTTCATCACTTTTTTCTTCTGGTTCTTTTTCATGCTCTTCATCATATTGATACCATTCTGAATCATCTTCTTTTTGTTTATCTTCCTCTTCAGGTTTTATAATTTTTTTACCAACAAATCGAGGCCGATCAATAATTCTAAGCTGTTCATTTTTGTTAATAGGCTTTTGAATTTCCTTACTTGTATCATCATTTACAACTGGCTCATTTATTTCTTTTGCACTAGTAATTTCATTTTCTGTCTGATTTTTCACGTCATCTTCGTAACCCTTTTCCTTTTGTTTATGATTGAATTGAATTGCAGAACAACTAATGTACCTTGTATTATATTTTGAGACCAATCTAAATTCTAGACTTTCCCGATTTAAAAATCTAAACGAGTGTGTAATGATTTTACTGAACATTTTTGGAATAGTCTCTTTTACCTATTAATAAATAATCTAAATTGAATTACCTGCAATAGAAAACTTTAAATGTAAAAATATATTAAAAAATATACTTGATACAAAATAACCTCACCTTTAGTCATTATAAAACCTTTTATAAAATAAGGACTTGGGCAAAATATCATAAAACCGAAAGTAGACAATTTTTAATGATGATTTTTCTGTACCATAGATTCTCATTAGAAATTCAATTTAAGACAAAATAGTCTGCTTGAATAAGAATTACTGAACCGACGCAAGATACATTATATTTAGACCGAAACAAATAACTAGGTTAAATTGACATGTCTTAGTTCACCGGTCGTCGGTGGATATGCGACACATTGATCACAGTAAAAATGTATGAAATATTTAATTTTAATAAAAATTAACTTGAGAATAGATATATTTATACGAATTGAAAAATAATCCATCGCAAATAATTTAGTGACACATCTTATCTGCATGAATTACAGCACATTTTCATACTAGATTTGGTTTTTAATAAATGAATAATTACCAAATTGGGCATTTTTAAACGAAAAACTATTCATTATAAAATTTATTCGTTTGTCAATTGAATGATAAGCACATCAAAGCTAATTATCTTTAAAAACAATAGAACGCTTCGATAGGTCCTGTGCCTTAGTTTCGAAAATCACCTACATCAATAATTTTTGTCGAATAACGATCGCATGTACATTTTCGGATATCCGGCAGGGTTAAAATAAGCTCTTCACACTAATTATAATATTTGTACAAATTAAAGTGTATGATAATGAAGGTTTTTATATCAGTAAGCTATGTACGTATGCGATTATAATGTCGTCGGCAGACACTCGTCATTTTTACCATGAGAAACGAAGCTGAGCATCATTATTCCCCAAGTAGATCCTTTTTCCGCAAATTATTTCAGGTACTCATTAAAAATATATTTCTTTACTTCAATCAAATTTGTATCTGTTCGATCGCACAAAATGTATCTAGTTCATCTCCGAGTTTCTATGGACATATCAGTCCAAGTCGTCGAACTACGATGACGCGGAAAATCGACGCAATTGGAGCACCTTGCCGAGGCAGACGGTTGTCGATTTTTTCAGTTTACTAGTCTTATGTGCCATACTCGTAACTATTGTATTTATCATTTTGAAATGTTACAAAGAGAGCGACGATGACGACGAGGATGACGGTGAGAGCATCGCAAAAAACAACACCGGTAATATTGATGGAGAAGACAAACAAATTAAACTTATTTTCAAAAATATACCATCATCCGGACTAGAAACTTTAAATGACCAGTCGTACGTCTTCGTTTGTAATTTTACCACTAATCCAATTCTTATTATAACGTTTGAGCTATAAACAATTTTTGTAGGAAAATCGCCAATGATTTTAATCGTAAATCAATACGACAGCATGCAGGAAATTCTGTTGTAACTTGCGAATCAACCAATGATTATCTAACGTTTTTGAATTTTCCTGATTTCATAGGTATTTCTTGTCATTTTTTTATATATTTTTTTTAATAACATCCATACAAATATTGTTTACTAGAATCAATAAGTTCGACTAACGCACTGGGTGCCTCTTTGGTGCGTGGTTCTACGCGTGAATGTCCAAAAAGGTGCAATACATTCAGCAGAAAAAATCCCACTTAATCATATCAAATATCACCATAGGTCCCATCACTATCGCTCTAAATTGTCCGATCGAGAGTGGTACCTACGATGAACGCGTAGTGGGCATATTTATGGAAGATATCCTATTCGTTGATACTTCCTTCTTATAATGTATTTTCATTCAACGAATTTTTTAAAAATTTGTAGATTTTAATGTACAAAAAATCATATACCGTGCTTAGTTACTATGAAACTTATGCACCACTTTGTGTTCAATAAAAAAAGTTAATCTTTTTGGATCAAATTATGCTGAACATTTCCTATAAATATTTCATTTACATTTACACAAATGTGTAGTAATATACTAGTGATTGGGTTTTTTACCTAACAATTACAAAGAAGTGTGATAAACTCATAATATTTCTTTTTTTGATATTATATTTATTTTTAAAAAAATCTATTTTATTCGTTTTCTTCAGAGCGAAGACGAGCATTGGCATTGGTTACACGGATAGACAATTGTTGAGCACGTTCAACAATTAATTTGCGTTTCTTGCTGCTTACAGCGTGAGCAATTTCTGCGCAGAACTTACGATTTTGCATCATAAGTACTTCAAGTTCCTGAAAAAGTAATTAAGTTTCAGAAAGAAATTATATTAATTATAATTGATACATATTAAAGTGTTTGTAATACAAATAATCTTATATTGACATTTCTAAATGTAGTTTTCAAGACATTTAACTTGATATCAATGACTGAAAGCTTAACTATTTATTCAGTTTTGAGAACAGTGAATATAGTCAAGGAAGTTCTTCCAAATGATTAATAAAATCATCACATTAGATTGTTATTAATCAATTGGTAAAAATTATCAGATAAGGAAAGTTAAGCATACCTTAACATTGTGTACAAGGACTTTTCTGAATCCAGTGGGTAGCATGTGCTTAGTTTTTTTGTTGCTACCATAACCAATGTTTGGCATAAGATATTGACCCTTGAATCGCCTTCTCACACGATTGTCAATACCCTTGGGTTTTCTCCAGTTTCTCTGTGAATGATTAAGTATTTGAGCATAACTAATTTATTTAGTAGATTCCCTACTGAACTTCTCAGGTGAGTTCTTTGGTGAGATTTTAGGAGAGGTCTAGGGCCAAAATCTCACTTGAAAATCTGAATAAAATAAAAAATTTTTTTGTTGAATTTAAAATCTGTTGAATTTTTAGAAATGACAAAGGGGACATCCATAAATAATGTCATCACCTCAAAGGAGGGGGGGGGTCAGTCATGACATTTTGTGATAACAAGGGATTGAGAAGTCTGTGAAGTATAAATATTTATTTTTGATTACTAGGATAATTAAATAATTAATATTTGAATTTTTTGGAAATCTCTAATGAGATATACCGCTTATTTCTTCTTCATCAAAGACGAAGTTCCTCCGTCGATATGTAATATAGAACCATTACATCAGTAGTCTCGCCCATGTATCGTCAACGGGCATGCGTTGTGTAAAAGGAAATACTAAATCTGCTTCAGCAAGATGCTATTTCGGCGTTTGATTCTACAAAATGCTACTTCGGCGCCCCGTATGATAAAAATTAGAAAAGTTAAAACGTACTTTAAGATTATATTATGCACAGAAACTACTCATACTTAAACTCCAAAGAGTATTCACGTCTTAAAGAGTTCTATGCAAGAAATGTTTTCATCAAACTCGTTCCGATAAAGCGCTAGAATTCGAAGAAGTAATCTGTAACCATCACACTTTTTCATAGCGTCCCGGTTTAAAGTAATGATATCATTTCGGATAACCTTCTTTCTGCGTTGAAATTTGAGTTAAACGAGTTTTTTTTCGAATTTTCATGTTATTTTTTACAAAATTGTTTATAACTTTTTATTAAATAAATTTTTGAAAATTCTGACCCCAGATTCGAAAAGTATATTAAATTTTACGAAAGAAAGGATGTCTGAAAAGTTTTTTAAACAATTTTTAGTCGGTGTAATTCATCGCTCTAAATGTTGTCCAAAAATGGTCATTTCGGGCGTTAAAGGGTTAAATAAAAATTAAAATATTATATGTATAAATTTTTTTTATGGAGTCCCACATTTTATCCTGAATGATATCATTACTTTAAGCCGGGGTTACTACCGCAGATTTCTCTTTTTCAAAAAAATGCCAATTAGGAAAAATAATAATTCATTCAGATTACTCCTTTCGAAAAAGAGTAATTTGCGTTTTCAACTGAGTTCCTAGCGCTTCGTCTGTACAAATTTTATGCAAGTATTACTCTTTACAGGTGCGAATTACATTTTTTGAAGTTTAAAGTATGAACAGTTTAAATAATCTTCCTAAATTTTAATTTTATGGTCGAATTATGATTTAAATTTGTTTATTAATCAGGGTTTCAAAGTAGCTAACTCATTATTTTTAATCAATATATGGAGGTAAATTTTTGAAATATGACGTCATTTGTGGGGGGGGGGGGGGTNGGGGGGGGGGGGGTTTAATTATGACAGCCTCTTATAAGGAGGGGTGGGGGGTCCCCAGTCCCCACAAATTTTTTTTTCTGCATGACATCATTTATGGATGTCCCCTTAATGAATATTTCAAATTAATAATTACTTTTTGGTGTTTTTATTTTACCATGAATTTTATTAAATAAAAACATGTATTCTAAGAATAGGATTAATTGTACAATATGCTTGTTCGAATTTTACTTTTTTTAGATTTTTATTAATTTTGATGTTAATTTCAATTAATTTTATTTTTATGTTTTCTATTTTTATTTTAAAATAGTTAAATTGTTATAAGACTGTAGAACTTTGGCTAAGCATTTGACACTTTCAAGCTGACTGTCATCAGATTCTAAGGGTTTGCATCAGTCAATTTAGTTGAGTGAGGTTTTAGTTTGTTTGCTGGACAATTGATTACAGTTGCAACCTCAAATTAAGCATCAAATCAACATAAGCTACTTGTACACACAATTGCAGAAAATTTATAATGAATTTTTCATGACATTTAATAAACCAATTGTACTTTATAATACATGTAAGTAGTAGAAGTTGATCTGATGTTTAGTTTGAGGCTGCAACTGTGGCTACCAATCCAACAAACTAAATAAAATTTTATGAAACTAAATTGACTGATGCGAACCCTTGGAATTTGGTGACAGTCAGCTTGAAAATGTCAAATGTTGAGTACCAAAAGTCTACACTCTTATATGTATTTGACTGTTTTCAAGATTTGACTTGACAAAGTACGTTTAAATATGTTATTTAAAAATAATATTATGCCTGCTTTGCAGTATCTAATTTCATTAGCTTTTACAATCTAGTGTACTAATACCTATGTAAAAATACATAAAAATAAATATGGAAAAAATAAAAATAGAAAACATAAAAATAAAATTAATTGAAATTAACATCAAAATAAAAATTAATAAAAATCTAAACCATAAATAAAATTTGAACAAGTATATTGTACAATTAACCTTATGCATTGAATAAATGTTTTAATTTAATAAAATTGATTGAAAAATATAAATACCAAAAATAATTATTAATTTGAATTATTCATAAGCCTTATTTAAAAATTTGACTGATTTTAAATTCAACAAAAAAATGTTGTATTTTCAATTTTATTCAGATTCTCAGGTGAGATTTTGGCCCTAGATTTCTTCTGAGAAGTTTCAGTAGGGTTTTAATGTAAGTAAAAAAACTTGCAAAAAGATAAGTCATAAATATGAGGTTAAAATGGGTAATAAATATCAACATACTTTCAACTTATCATATCTGTCTGATTGATGTCTTATAAACTTTTTGGTCCTTTTCTTGACGATTGTCGGTCGATACACCGGGCGGATGGACATTTTTTATCTTTGATTTTATCAACTATAACACAAAATAAAACAACATTTAAATCACTACATGTTAATAATGACTCCTAACCTTGTTTTTTTAATAGTAATAGTTATTTTATAGAAGCACTATAACAATAAATAATAACATAACGCAATAACTAGTGTTCTCATTCAGTTTGAAAGAGAAAAATTTTATAAAAAATGCTAACGATTTTTTAAACAATTAGAGATTTTGTATCAGTTCTTACCGTCGTACACGACAAAGATACAAGAAAAGAGCACAGTTTATATACGTACAGATGACGGACGATAAACACGCTGTAAATTTTCGACCATGTAAAATTCTACTGCACCGATTGAGCGTAATATGGGGGGCTAGTGCCCAACTATTTGAGAAAAATTGTTACTTCAATTGCTCACTTATATAAATTACGTTACAAGCATTTTTTAAAAGTACCTCCGGATCGCAAAATTGTCAAACTTCCAAATCAGTAAAGTCACTTGACCGAAAAAAAATTGTTTAAAATGCGAATCATCTAGTTGCCGAACAACAGCTGTTGAACTATTATCAATGACACGAACTTAGATCTCGAAATTTATTTTTGAGAAGTGAATGCATAAAAAATGAACATACGTATTTTGAAACGAACCTATTTCGTTCTTAAAAATTTAATTTGAATTTCCAAATAGAAACAATTAATTATAAAGGTTTATTACAGGTGGTCGAAAACTGGATCGATTACTTTATCGTATAGCCCAGTACGCAATCGGGGTGAAGTATTAAATCGTAGGACAAAAAACATTTGACAATTTATAAGTGCAGGTAAATTATAATTGCAGGTGCAGGTGCTTTTCACGATAAGAAAAAAAGTAAGATACACGAATATTCGCTTCTTTTTACAGAGCTTTCAGGCATAAAATACCATGTACTTTTGACGTTTACATTAATTATGTAATGTTATATCACATTTTAAGTATGATGGAAAAAGACAGTAAAAATAAATATAATAAGTATATGGTTTTGCATTAATGACAGCATTATGAGGATTACAGGTATAACATTTTTATATAACAACGTTGATGCATGCAAATTGTCATTAACTTGGAAAAAAAATTAAAATCAGAAAGCGTATAATACTCAAAAATGTAGTACTAACAATAATTTATAGAAAAAAATGTCTCTTCTAAAAGTTATGAGCGAAGATAAGAGATTAAAAAATAATTTTAAATCTACCGCTTGCAATAAGTCTTTTTCACAGTCGTCAGTCGTCACTAGTGGTCACACTACAATTTACTGCACGTGTGTACATACATCAACACGTGGGAGCTCTGCTAGTGCTGGCTGATTTCATATCATCAGTGTCGCGAATCTGCACGTTTAAATTTAATTTAACCAATATTTTTCTCAATATGTCTGAAAAATCGGCTGAAGAACTTATCACAACTATCAATTCAAATTTAGATAGTCAAAATAATCGTTCTGATGGTTTGAGACTACTCAAACAAATTGGATTTATCATTACAGAAGAAAGTTTGATTAAAAATTTTCCGCATTGGATGAATAAATTTACAGCACTATTAAAAAATCAGTATAATCCAGAAGATTTATTTATACTCAGTAAAACGCTTCTAGTATTAATTCAGAGATGCAAAAAGATACCTGAACTTGACAAAAAGATATCTATGGATTTTGTTAAACATTGGATAGGTTTGATCTGTCCAATAATACAAAAAGAGGAAAGTGTAGAAGCATTAAATGTATTACAAGTTTTAATATTCTATTATCCAGAAGCATCATTGAAATTTAAGGTATAAGATTATTTTACAAATAAAATCTTATTTTATTTTATTAATTTACTAATTAATTTTATTCAGTCTATATATAGTGAGTTTTTAAGCAAATGCATTGATAATCAAGATGAATTATTTACCAATTCAGCTGCAAAAACGTATGCACTCTTAGTTAGAGCTTCTGAACGCTCTTCTAAAAATTCATCTAACTCTTCAACATATCAGTTGAGTAATCCAGCTGGTCAAGATCCACATCGGTTTCATATTTCCCATCAAGTGCATTTATGTAAGCTTTTATGTGATGCATTTAATAAACTCGATAAAGCAACGTTTAAACATGAAGTTGAATTTCCTGGCAAATATGAGGAAAGTTCAAGTATGAACTTATTGAATTTACCAGAATTATCACAGCAAAATTTAAATGCATATTACTCAGGTCTAGAAACTAGAATTATTAATTTATGTTTATTTTTATCAGAACTGCTAAGGTATGTATAACTTTTAACATCATTAATTTTCTATAAAAATATCTTATTAATTAAATAACCTAATTTTTAGAGCACCAAAAAATCCATCAGTAAGACCTGGAACAGAGCCACAGACTATATTATCAACCTTGCAAAAAGGTTTGAAGATTACTACAAATGATAATAATTTAATTGATTTAGTAAACATTCGCTGTAGCCTGCTCAATGTTCTATCATCTTTGATCATAAGGTATAGTTGTACTAGTACTAAAGTTATAACATTAATTAATTATAAAAATTCTTTACAAAATAAATTTGATTTGCAGATTTCATAAAAAATTATTATGCCACTCATCAGTAATACATGATTTGATTTTGCATACATTAAACTGCTCTTCAAAATGTACTAATAAATCTAGTCGAAGATTGAGAGGAGCAGCATATGATACTCTGTCAATTTGGATTAAATACACAGGAATGTTATCACATTTTGAGGTTGCAGCTGAGCATATTGAAAAGCATATATTTAATGATTTGGAAGATATGACAAGACTAAAGAAGCATAATGATGAAAAATGTCCAGAGTTAATGGAAAAAGACATTAGTTTTGATAAATCCTACATACCACTTGCAACAAAAGTTCTTCAAGCTGTGCATTCAATCATATTGAATGTGAATTATATACTAAAGCCAATTACCTTGGAAGTAAGTTTAAATTTTATAAATTCAATTCTTTTAATAAAAAAATTAATAATCAAACAATATTTCAGAACATAACAAAACAAGTACTTGGTTTTTCCTCTAAAAAGTTTCAATTAAACATAAAGGATGAAGAATTTGATAAAATTCTTCTGCAGTTATTATGTTCTATAGAAAATATTGATCATCCATCAAGAGGTAGTTTAATTCAAGAAATGTTGCCTATTTTTAAATCTATTTGTTTAAATAATTGTCGGCTTGAGTTAAAAGAAGAAGCACAAAAATGCTTAAATCAAATTATGACACGGATGTATCCAACCAGTCCATCACTAGCTGTAAAAAGCTCATGTAATGATGCATAATTAGTTATGAATGAAATTAATAAATTACATGTTGATTTTATCTACTACTTTTTGTAATTTGTTTTTATTTTTAACTGTACAGTAGGGGCACATTGATTCGGTAACGAATTCCCATTTATGACCGTGTAAATTCGTTACCGAATCAATGTGCCCCTACTGTACCTTCAAAAGTAAACTATGGTTTTCTTTAAATTCGAAATACAATTAACATTTTTATCCATTTACATTTGAATTTTGATTATTTAATTTTGAGTTATTTAATAATAGTGAAATTTCATCTCTTACAACTAAAATGTAATCTTTCATTAACAAATTACACTTATTCAAACTTTATTTGTAAAATAATTTTATTACATATTTAAAAAAAGTATTGTAAGTCCAGGCACTTACTTAGTTCAATTTCATTAATTTTTCATAAATTAATAACATCGCCTTTTTTTTAATTTACTATTCTTGTTGAAATTTTTTGAAAAATAACAAATTTAACCGATTTAGTTGAACGAAGTACCTTAAACATCGTGATCAGTTAAGCTTACAAGTATGGCTTTGTCGAAGAACAGTTTAGAAAGAATTAGAATGTCGTAATTTATCATTTGGTAGGGCGAATGGGCGACAGTTTGAAAAAAATAATTAAAGCCAAATAGTGCGAGTCGTTCACTTTTTGACGACCCCATCCCATTGAGCCATCAATGATCTGAACTTAGAACTCGGTTAAACTATTATCGATTTTCAAATTGAATAAAAAACAGTTGAACAAAAATTATGAAGGACTATTGCAGGTGGTCGAAAACTGGATAGACTATTTTATTGAATAGCCAACTTTCCGATCAGGTCAGGATTATATATTGAGCATATGAAGCTATGAATTTTTTCTGAAAATGTAATATTTATAACAATTAAAAAATACTTGCGTCAAAATTGCATATTTATTTCCATAATTTATTTAAGGGGACACATACACCTTAAACTCAAAAATTTTTTATTGCATTATTGAGTAGGATTTTTCCGTCCCTTTCTATTGCATTTTTCGAAATTCCAAAATTTTGATTTTGCCCTGAGATACAGCTGTTTCCGTGAAACCTTTTCCTATACTTTACGAGTTAAATTTTTTCTTCTTTTGCGTTTTCTGGCGAGTAGTGTTTTTGGTCATCTATCGTAACTTTCAGAGGGTACCGATTGAGCTTCAGCACCAGGATCGCGTAAACTTCTTCAGAACATCAATGGTTACGGTCACTACCCCGGATGAGACGATCGAACGGGCAGATTGCTCTGTATGAACAGTTAAGCACACATTTTTTCCATTTTTCGTTTTTACCGATATTTACGTCATAAAAGTACTGTTTGAGAGTGACCTATTGGTTCGATCGTCTTATTCGAGGTAGTGACCGTAACCATTGATGTTCTGAAGAAGTGTACGCGATCCTGGTGCTGAAGCTCAATCGGTACCCTATGAAAGTTACGTGAGATGGCCAAAAACACTACTCGCAGGAAAACGCAAAAGAGGAAAAATTTTAACACGTAAAGTATACGAAAAAAGCTCACGGAAATAGCTGTGTCTCAGTGCAAAATCAAAATTTTGGAATTTCGAAAAATGCAATGGAAAGGGACGGAAAAATCCTACTCAATAATGCAATAAAAAGTTTTTTGAGTTTAAGGTGTATGTGTCCCCTTAAATAATATCTTAGGGTAGCCGGTAATTGGCACATTTATGCTATGAATAAAATGATAATACTTGAAAAATAAATTTTTTTAAAGTTTAATCTCATTATATCTTTAATTGAGAAGTCATAAATTGTACATACAGGAATAGTTATCTACATATGGATTTGAAATATGCGAAAGAACTGACAATTTTTTAATTTTCTGGTAATAATTTATCGTAATAATATTTTTTAATATAAATTTATGTTATTACTCTTAATCGATTATGCCCAGATTTTCTCCATTTTCATGAGATGCGCTAACTCCATATGCTACAGGTTTTTTTATATGCCCATTGTTCACATTTTTTTGATGTGAATCATTATTTTCTATGATTATAGTTTTCATGTCCTTTTCTTGAAGAATTGATTGATCAATAACGCTTGTGTTTTCTAACATTTTTTCAACGATATCAGATTTTTTTTCTTCCGACGATACATTTTCTTCTGTAATTTTAACTTCAACAGTCAAGGTTTCAGTATTTTGGACCAATAGTTCTTCTTCGATGATTGTGTTAACTTTATCTTTTGGAATTGGTTCTATAATAGCTTGGGTCGTTTTTTCAATATTATCGTGTGTATTTTCATTCGTGTTAGTTTCTATTTTATTGCTAACAATGTCATTAGCATCGTTCGACACTTCATTACTTTGTTGAATAACTTTATTGATTTCTGTCGTCTCTGTTTGATGAACTTCAACAAACGGCTCTATTGTAGATTCAATTGTAATAGCAGATTCATTAACCATAGAATTTTCATGTTCAGTTTCTTTGATATTTTCCGATTCGCTGTCGTTTGATTTTTTTTGAAACGTTTTTGCAGGTTCATTTACTTCTTTAACTTCTTCTTCTTGAACTTCTTTTAATTCAACAATTTGATCAATTTCACTTAAGATTGAAACTTCAAACTCTTTTGTTTCATTTTCAATAATTGAATCTAGAGATTCGATAACGTTTATTTCTTCTTCAGTTGGCGAAAGAGCATTTGATATAACATTATCTACCGGAGATGGTTCAGGGGTCGGAGGTACCGGTGGCATCTCATCATCTTTCAATGTGTTATCAGAATCCACATCGCCATTAAGCTCTTTGCTATCGTGTATTTCCCTCAAATTTGATTTCCTAAGCGTAGCAACTAATTCATCTTGTAACCTTGAGCCGATCTCTCGAACTTCTTCGTCGACTGCAGAAACTGGAGTGGATGAGTAAGTCGAAGAGGAATCAGGGCTGTCATTGGATTTGGAATTCGTATTTGAAAGTACCGAAGGCAAAAAGTCGAGTCGAGTCGGCGCTTTTGTTTCACCTTCGTAAGCTGCAATGGTCAAAGCCACTTTACCGCTTTGCTTTAATTGATCAGGTTCCAAAGATAACGATCTGAAAACAACGCATTTTTACAATTCTTATTTATATATTGAGTTAGCTGTCAGGTGTTATTTTTAATTGACGTCTAACAAAGCTTCGATGAAATGAATAAAATTTATTTTAAAAATGAAGGCAGACCTTTCCACAAGTTTCGGAGGTTGATCAGGTTTATTGGTATCATTCGTTCCATTTTGCTGCGGAGATGCTGCTTGATAAGATAATGGTCTCTCGGGCCTAGGCAAAGAGGCGTACAAATTTTGCGTAGTCGTCACCGCAGTCGCGACTGCGCTGAGGGACAGAGGACGATTACGGCCGTTTATTCCTCGCGATGGATCGCGTAGCGGCGGTGGAGGTTCCGTAGCCGTTTGGAATGGATTTACTTTTAATAATTTGTTTATCACTGGTTTACTGTAGCGTTCCTATAAAATTTAGTATAGGAATAATTTAGCAGTTACTAAAAGGGGAACAAATATGCATGTGTTTGCCATATATTATACCGGATAATGAAATTATTGTTGAAGGTTATCAGAAATTAATTTCACGCGTACAGATTTATAAGATAAAATGAAAACAATGTGATATATCTCGGTATCTATAAAATAAACTGCATTTGCTTAAATTATCAAATTACTTTGAAGATAAAGAGCACAAGGTTTCTTGATACAGTCATAAAGAATTATACTTTTTAGTCTGTTTAATATTTAGCTTAAAGGATTATTTCTAATGGCGTATGATACCACAACTTTGCTTATGATATCATTTGAAATTCAAAATAGTAAAAATAATTTTGCATAAAATGCATCAAGTTTAAGGTACAATTGTGCAAACTTACGTTGTATGAGCTAATGGAAAAGAGAACTGGTTTTTTTTCCGAAGTTCCATTTAGTTTCTCAGATTGTTCCATTATAATGATATATATTGATGGTCCGTGGTTCTTAAACAGATGTCTGTCGCCTAAATGATCTAAAAGACGCCCATAAAAAGCCGATGTGCCTATAAAGTAAGATTAATCAGCTATCAAAATCTCATATTTTAAACATTGAAAAAAATTAGATCTCGGTATCATGAATTCTATAATATTAAGGTGAAAGCTAATTTGCACCAATGCACCTATTTACGTGTAATATTTATTAATATATATGCTAAAATTATTTACACTAGTATTGAAGCTATCGTCAAATGAATTTGTTTTATAAATTTTATTTCATGATTGAAAGCTGTAAAAAAGCGAAAATTTTGTCCAATTCAATTTAAACCGATTTAGAAACACATTTGATGTCGTTTGAAAAAATTGCCGCAAAGATAAAATCTTTTTGATCGTTTGTCAAAGATGAAAATACAAAAATTATAGGTAGCAACTGATCTGAAATCTTTCTATCGTATCGATACTTTTAATTGATACGTACACACTGTGCACACAGACACGCGAAATCTTAGTTCGCGCACATCATGTGATTACATGAAAATCTCACGTCCATTGTGAACACAATAAAAAAAAAACGACAATTTTATGCACGTGCGTGTCGCTCTCGTATGGTATATAAAAGATAACAATTTGCGCCGCTCAGGCTCGTAATGTTTTATTTTTCGCTTTTAAATCAAGATTACATTTCGCCTCGCTGCAATCGTTCTTTATTTTTTGTCGAGTACAGAGCGCGGCCGTAAAAATGAGCACTTTTTCTAACTCGATTAACGCGCGCGGATGAGTACAATAACTCGCGCTGTATATATAAGTATATATTTTTGCAATTCACCGATAAAGCGTTGAAGAAGAAAAAAGCCAGAAACTTATTGACAGACTGACGGCGACGTGTTACACATGACGTATAGATATCTTACGAAATGTTTATTACCAGTTACGAGTGCTCAAGCTGCTCACCTGACTAGCTTTTTGAGAAAACACGATATTTGTCAGTAAAATTAACTTCTATCAAAAATCTCTGCTGAAAGATCCCTTTCTTCGGTTGAAATTGAAATAAAATTCAAAGTACACTGGAACACTGACACATTTGTGATGCATCCAGTCCGAGGTGCACTTTTTTTCGTGGAAAACTGGCTTTTAAAAATAAAATATCGCGAAACTTCCCGATGTACAATGCGACCGTGTGTACAAGGTTTACACAGTTTCGAGCGCGTGTGTGTGTCCGTGGCGAAGATCCACGCGCGACTAACTGATGCGACAATCAAGTTAATACCTTTTTCGCGTTATCGCTGCCGTTATTACAACTATACATTTTAACACCTGTGCTCGCGTACACACTCATTTTTTATATCAACTTACTTGGCTGTGCGCTAAAGATAAGACTGGAGTATAACATGTATTCTGTCGTCGTCGTTTTAGCCGTTTTAGCCAGTGCAGATTATTGATGTGCATATAAAGGAAAGTTTTTTTTTCCTTCAGGTATTATTATGTACTGTATACGTATACGTTCATGTACAGTAATGCCATACTAATTGATCTCCTAATTGAACGCGTGTCTTTTTTGTTTCCTCAATATGAACTCGGTGCGGTCGTGGCCTCTCACTCTCTCTCTAGATGCAAATTTTTTGCTTTAATGATAACGCAGCCGCTAGGATTATGACTATGTCGTAATTGTAACCTATCTCGAGGCTTTCGGAGATTTTTCAAAGAGAATATGATTCACGGGGAGTATGATATACGATTAACTCGGAGTTGATATAGCAGCGATGTGTGTGCTGAAAAAATACGTGCAACTTTATGCGACGATTGCAAAATTATATATTTTGCGACGATTTTCATTATAGTCTCAATCGTCGCCTTATAATTGTTTGTGGAATTGTTATATTCAGTTCGTGTTCAAAGTTTGCTTGGATGTGTCTTAATTCTGATTGGATCTACTTTTTTGGTAAGGTTTGAAATTGTCCCGGAAGCAGGTTTTAATAAAGCTTCATTTGGTATTCGCGCACAGTTAACATTACTGCGTATATAATGAGTAATCCTTCGAAGATAAGGAATAATATGTACAAAATATAGTATCTAATAATGTGTTAAAATTTAATAGTGATTCGGGAGCACACAAAAGAAATTCAATTTCCAATTAGCATTTCTGTATTCAATGACTTTATTTCCTTCTTTTTTGCAACATTTAGATCCATCATATATTTTCGAGTCTTAACTTTCACACTGTTTAAGTCTTTAAAGATTAGGCATGCAAAGTTTCTTGTTGTTTTTGTCATCTCTCAAACATCGGCGTGGTGATCGTAAATCTACAATACTTTAATATTTCAAAACCACTTTTCATCTATGCTTTATTCTGATTCCTACCATCGTACTTTATTTATTTATGATATCATATCAACGAATAATGACTTCCTTTATTATAAATATTGTTATTATGTAAAAGTCAAATTCATTCGTGTAAATAATGCATAAACAATGAATATATTTATAAAAAAGACGCATGGTATTATTCGTACAAAGTATTTTCAAATATATCATACACATTCACGAAGCGAATCTTTTCATTACTTGAGTAAGGTATAAAAAAGATTCTTTATAAAACGTTCTTAATAAAAAAGTCTGCTTTTTTCTCCTCTTGTTTTGGTTCGTTGCCATACCTGTCTCCACATGCAGATACCGTAGTGCAGTTTTAAATGCACGTATATATTTAAAAATGTGCAAAAAATGTACAACATTTGCTTTTGCCTAAATGCGAAACGTAAAAATTGCGTACTTTCACTCCTTAACAGCAAGCATTCATTTTTCACATACATAGTATTTTATTATCTTTCAAACATTCTCTAACAACTCAGTTTTTCACGATTACATGAAAATATAATTAATTCGAAAATGTATTAAATTAAACATTTTATTCATTCGTTACACACATTACTTACGATTATAGTGACGCGTTCTGACTTGAGTTTTATGACATACCTATTGAATCATCATATCGATAGAAAATTACTCTGGATTATTGTTATGAAAGAGGCTCATTTAGCCAGTCAGCCGTAGATAGCTAGAGGATAGTTTTACCGTAACGAATTAAAGAAAAAAAGCAAGACTTAGTCGGTAATAATTCAAAAGATATAATTCTGTTACTATATAAAGACAAATTTGTAAAACCTACAGGTGAACTCATAATCACCGACTGAACTGTGTTTAATCGCAATAAAAAAGTTACTTTCGTTGTATTGAGCCATACATTTTTCAGTAATGAAAAATTTTCCCTTTTTTAAGTACACTTTCTTTCAAGATAGCGACTTGCACGTTTTCGGTAAAAAAAAATTATTTTGTCGATCAACGATATATGTATTCAATTATCCATAAACGCTAATATGTATATTATATATATAATGATAATAATAAATGCTTTTTTGGCGCATAACTTTTTAAAATACATTTGAAACTGGCAATAGCTGCCAAACTATGCAATAAGCTTATAAAATACGTGTTAGCGTTTCTCAGTAAGAATAGTTCTCTAACACTACGGTTCTTTTAACTGCATCGTCAGCTTACATTTTGTTTTTTTTCCTACAAATCCATGTATTTCTTACATTAGAATATATTACACGTTTACACTATTTATATATTAATCGTACTTTTCAAATATTTATTATCAATACTGCAACAATTGATTTATTATATAATATGCATTTGATAAATCTATTTATTATTATTAATAAGTTATGCCCAATTAGCAGGAATCGTTTTCAACTGTAAGTTTTGTATGTAACTTAATGTAAACTGAGTAAATGAAATGATGCATACAAAAAGAAGTCTTCAACTTGAAAAACCTTATATCAGTATGTTTTTAAAATGTTTACTGAAAACCAATATTTAAATTATTAATATCAGAAAACGTCTCATGCTTTCTGGGCTGCATTATCGGTATACGCTTTGGGCGTATCTGCGTGAAAAAATCTACAATATCGGTTACGTGTGTATAGATATAAATATTTCGTTTGTTTGCGCACACGCATCATCATCATTGACGAATTTTTTTTGCCATTAACGATTTGTTTTTTTTTTCCCACATGTATCAAATCATGGAAAAGCACTCTTACATGCATATACCCAGAAACTACCCAAACAAACGAAAAAATTCTTATTATTACCGTATGTGATACATTTATATGTAGTAGCATATTGCTGTATAAGTCGAAGTTCGGTTATTTTGCCTTTTTTACCTATCTTCTATATAATATTCAATATGCGAGGATTTATCGAGCGTTTGCTTCAGGGTTAACTCGAATAGTGACTTTATTGTTGAGAGCATTGGACAGTTTTTCAATGTAGTTTTGCGTACCCCCGGTGACTTGGATTTGTTGGCCGTTTTCTTGAGCCATTATGTTGTTATCCTCCACGACGCTTGTGATTTCATTTTCCTTCAAAAAATAATTATTGCAAAATTAAATAATTGTTCATAATGATTTAATGTGCCTAATTTATATGGCTTCTGAGTATACTGCTAAAAATATGCAATCTTATTAGGGAAAATTTTCGTTCAAATCAATCTAAATGAGATCTAAGTTTTTGATATAGGTAAAAAAAAATGTGACATAATACGACTTCGAGGATATTTGCAACGAGTATAAATGTGTTTAAAAATAAAAAAGCCGTCAAGAAATGTGACGAAAACAATTAAAAATTGTTTTTTACAATTTGGCACTATAGCCACTTTGGTATAAAGCATCTACACTCGTTGCCCATTTGATAATTTTTGAGATGCACTATGAATTGGTTTAGACAGTGGTTCATTCGCCAACGTCGAAAATATTTAAGTTTAATTTCAAAAATAAGTTGTTATTCATTTACTGTTGTGTGCACTGGGTGAAATATCTCAAAATGCCAAAGATAACTTGTTGCTTGTACTCAATAAGGCATGTTTACTACTACTCACTCATCAAACAAATTACAAACCTTTTTTTAATTTATTTTTTGAAGTATGAATGATTATTTCTGTATATTTTCTTACAAATTCTACGATTGAAAATTATAGAGATAAAAAGTATGCAAAATAATAGAAAGTAAGAAGGCAAAGAAAATGATAAAATAAGGAGAATATTCGGCACGCCGAGTTTAGACAAGCAGTGTCATTTTTGTAGATTTTGTTAAAAGAATAAAATTTCTAAGCAAACATAAAGTGAGGTTCGTCTTTGTAATATACGTCAGTAACATTTGCGTCAGAATGGAAGGAAAAGGTTCATTCAAGTCATTGGGAGACGAGTGAAACAAAAAAATACATAATTCGAATTTATGTCGGCTACGTTAAAAAAATCCTACCAACTCAAAAGTTACTGACTCAAGATAAAATGGACGCAAAAATAACACTTGAAAATTCGCATCTATGTGAAAACTCGACGCGTCTGGCACCCCCTGAACCATACCGAAAACTCACCCCCTCGATTTGTCTTCTCAAATTTGATCTTTGTAAAGTAGCTACGAGTTCAATCTGGAAACGCGACGCGGCTGGCGCTGCTGCGGCTGAAACAGCATTGTTCGCACTGTCCTGATTCGCCTTTTCCGCCAAAAAACCCAATTTTCCAGGTTTTTTTCCGTCGTTTTCATTGTAACTGCCTATTCTAATGGCAACTTTGCTAACTGATCTCGCCACGCTCGTCACAGCTTGTGGTTTGACAGGCTTTAATGGTTTAATGGTCATTGTGCCATTACTGGAGTTGATATCTGCCCCTGCTGCCATTGTTTTTTGCTCCTTGATATTTTTCGATTGATCCTTGGCTGCTGGGAAGTATGTAGGCGGGGGCTTAGGCACCGCTGCCGGGCTTTCTTTTAATTTAAACGACTCGATACTTTGCATCTCGACTGCTTCGTCATCATTATTATTATGCTTATTATTGTTGTTGTTGTTGTTGTTGATTTGGTTAATGGAGCTGCTTTGCTGATGATTCGTCGTGGGCTTCGGCGCAATTATAGGTTTGTTGGTGCTTTTGACGAAATTAGGTCGTTTCTCTTGATCGTGATTCTGTAAAACATAGTTGGATTGACACCAAGACTTTTTCGCATGATGCTTGTGATTGTGCAGAGCACTTATTGATGCTGGGTGCAAAAAATTGTATTTATATGATCTTGTGAGGAATAAATAGATGTTATGAGCTTAAATTATGATCGAGCCATGTTTGGTCGGATGAAAAAAGAAGTATCTTCAATGAATGAGCACAGCTGTATGTATGAGAAATAAACGAAATTTGTGAAGTACATTGACTATGCTGCGTCGCATGAGGATGAATTTTCTTAACATGTCGATTATTCGCTCAAATGCCTGGACTTTCTCTCGATTATGTTCTTCATCAATCATACGCTATATACGTACAGTAATACCTCGTACGTATCCACGTATCAGCAAGACAATTAAATTTACATTTTTATGGTCAAGGTCTTTATATGTGTGTATAATTGGTAAAAAATCGAGCTCTTGTCGGGCTCTCGTTCGATTCACGCTGATTCATTTTTTCATACCGTCACCGTGAAGAAGAATAACTTGAGTTGCAGTGCAAAAAATGCGCACGTACAAAGCCACACACATACATGCACAAAGTTTATGACGAAGATGATGATCGATGAAATTGATGCGTTATAAGAGTAGAGCGACGGTAAACTATGTAATCAACATGAACGTGAGTAATGGATGAAAGCTTGGATCGTTTTGAATCAATCATTATGCTGTAAAGGGACATTGCTCGAGCTTTTCCAAAGAAACTAAATAAAAGATATAAATGCAACGTCTTAATAATATACTTCTAACCGTGTGAAAATTACTGAGTTGATTAAGCTATGTTAATATACTTTTTTCTCAAAATGAAAAAATATAGCAATTACGTTTGTTAATGGGTACCCATATGTGAACTGAAAATAAAATTAAAAAGAGCCATAAAGTCTGTTGATAAAAACTGCTGTTAAAAAGCAAAATAATATTTGTTAATGAAATTAAAATTGATATGCTTTCTACACCATACGTACACATGAGTTGTAGATTTGTAAGAAAATTCACTTTGGTTACTTGTTCTCTTACGTTAAAACTTGCATTAGATCATTAATTATTCATCTATAGAGCTAACGGTCGTCGCGTATGCGGATATGCATTTATTTATTTGTTATCAGCTTTATTCTAAATAAATAAATGTATATAGCTACGCACGAGGAGAACAAACTCTTGCTTACACATGAATAATTGCTACTTCCTGCTTAGTTATAAATTGATTAATATTCCGAAAGCTCCTATTGACCATATCACGAAATTTGCAGTTTTATTTTTAAATGATTTAACATGAAAATGAAATGTTGCAGTGAGATGCTTATTAACTACACGATATATTTGTTCTAGCGTGATAGTATGTTACATTCGCACATGAAAAGTGAGATTTTTATCTACGCAATATGAAAGGACGATAAAAAAGTAAGCACACGATAATTAACTCGCACTCGGTCTGATGCGTTACACGAGTGATTGCCAAAAATGCCGTTTTACGCACATGATATCGATGTGATACGCAGTATATCGTTATGAAATGCACAGCGTATGAATCTTTCTTTGTGCGCGTATATTATGTAGAATCGTCGAAGATGGATTTATTATTATAGCGAGTACTGTCGGGCGTGCACGAAGTATCGCGAAAGCACGCTCAGCGGATAAAACAAGTTAACCTTGATCGAAGCATTTTCTATGCTTCTCCGTTGAAAAAAAAGAAGAAAAAAGTATTTTATCCACACGCAGACGAGGAGGATAGATATTCTCACCTGTTCGCCGTTGGAATTTTGCTCGGGATTGCGCTGTTGGGCGTTACTGAACATCCTCTGATGAGCGCGTTTGAACTCTTCCATGAGCTGCAAACGTATCATATGCAAAATGAATATTAAGAAAAATGAGGAAAAAACCGCTTAAGGTTTATGTAAAATGTTGTATGTATGCACAATGCTTTTGCGTGTACGCGTACTTTCAAGTCTTCCGCACGGAGAAGTCAATAATTTTTCCAACAGATAATAATAAGTGGCGTCCCTTTAAATTAGACGCTCCTCCGCGCGAGAGCCGGGAAAATACTCGAAATAACAATAGAAAAAGTAGTTGACTTCGTGATTCACCGACCTTGTCGTGCGTGACCTTCTGCTCTTGGGCTTTAAGGGCCTCGGGATTCTGTGTCTGCTTGCGATTCTCGGCGCTGTTCTTATCTCCCTGCTCCTGATGTTGACCATTCGAAGCATTGCTCATACTCCTCTACCAAAAAAGAAGAAGGTAAAAATGAACATCGCACGCTTGAGTGTACATTCTCAATTTGTTAGAGATACGTAACAACTTGAAAAAAAATTTTTTTAAGCAAGATTTCATACAACAAGATTTGCAATGCGCACACGATAGGTAATGAAGTTAAAATATGGGTACGCGAAAGAGAAAACGTACATCTTATTTAAAACGATAATAAATTCAGAAGCGCGACTTTCATAGGACCTTCTCCTTTGCCACTAAATCTCTTATTACGCTGACTACGACGAGAGCCTGCTACTTTATCCGTATTAACAAATAATTTGAATTTTTAACTCTCTGTGTAGTCGTAGAATCGAGCGCATGCGTATGATTATGAATTGTTAATTGACGAAAAGAATAAATTAGTTTATTAATGACATTCCACGCGCGACTCTTTGGAAGGATATTTGTTAGGACGATCGTCCTAATGAAATGTCGAACTGTCTCGCGAATCAAGTTTACCTGCTTGGCCCGTCTCTGCAGTTCTTGGGTGATGGCGGTGCTGAGGTCGATGGGCACAGGCGGAGCCACTGGCGGCGTGGGCACTTTGACCGGGGCCGCTTTGATGGTTCCGTGACGATTGATCTCGCTGCTCTTGTGCATCGACGAAGTGAACGAGGACAGAACCGTGCTCGCGCCGTTGCAGCTGGCAGGCTCTCCCGAGGACGACGTGGATAGCGAGGACGTGGTCGAGGCCGCGCAATCCTTGCCGCCGCAGGAGGACTCGAGGCTCGATTCGGTCTCCGTCGAGCCGGTCGAGCCCATCGACATGGTGCTGCCCATCTGCATGCCCATGGCGTTCATCGGTTTCGTTTCTGCGAATACAATTCAATCATTGGACTCTCGGCTTTCAATTTTCCAACTCTTAATCGATTCGCTTCGGATGAAAAATATAATGCTCGTGCTCGCTCGCTATTATCCCTTTTTACGCCGCGTACATGCGCGAGCGCATATATATAAAAGAGTATTGACTCGCAGTGCGGAAGAAATAAAACTTAATATGCTTTATATTTTCTGCTTGACTATAATACCACCTTTCGAGAACATTAACTTGCTAATGTTAAGTCTAAGCAGCTTTAAAAAAATTACGAGTCGCTTGCTCTTTTAATATATTAATGCTACACCGCTCCTCGACGTTAATCTATGATAGCAGGCAACGCTTATTAAAATGTTAATTTGACGCTACCAATGCACACGAGTACAAACGCATTCGAGCATCGCACCGCATTAATTGAATATTTTGTTATTCCTTTTTTTTTTACTCAATGCAACACTTTAATGTCGTTCAATTAAATGCAGTTATAAAAAAAAATTCAATATGTATTGGATTATACAAACCAGCTGGCCACTTGTACGGTACTGGTTGAGGCATCGAGGGTGCCGGGGGTGGACTCGGCTGATGCACCTCCACAGTCGTTATCGATTTTTGATCCTGTTGTTGTGGTTGCAGCGGCGATTGCATCAACTGGACAGGTCTGCTCGAGCCACCATTGAGAACGACGCTGCCTCCGTCTAATACTTGATGTCCGTTTTCCTGCGTTTACGCGAATATATATTTAATTGCAATTATGTAGAGTAAGAGCGGTCTTTTAAGCTTTCAGGACTAAAGTGAAAGTGTGGCTAGGAAGTTTGCGCACAAAAAGAGTGCAAGGCCCGAGTCAATGTTTACACTTGAGGATAATTTAATTCATTTTCATATAAGTGCACGCACGGATTATATAAAAGTTATTAGCATCGATGCGAGCAAAAAAGGCCAGCTGAGCCGTCTTGTTCTTACCTTGACAAAGACAACGTCGCTGTTAACGACCGACTGTTGATGATCGATGATGCCGTGTTCGCGCCTGTACTCGGCTCTCCTGTCGAGCTCGTCTCGGGGATTGGCGTCGAAATCGTGACACTCGAAGTCTTTGGGCGCCACCGGATCGTAGATCGGTTCGTCGCCCTCCTCGTAGCTAGCCCTTACAGGTGGTCGTGGCGGCGGCGGTCGGCGCATCGTTTGCGAGCCGTACGTGCCTGGCCGATGATGCTGCTGTTGCTGCTGCTGCTGCTGTTGTGACTGATGAAACTGATGATGGTGCTGTGGCGTGCCGTGATGGCTCTGATTTATTCGAATGATCGTCGTATTGTTCGGCTTGCGAGTCCATTCCTGCGGTGCGTATTGAATTTAGCGATTGTTACTCGTCATCCTTCGTAATGGATACATATTTATACACGCGGACGATTTTCGGATAAAAATTTTCAACCTCCGATAAAAGACTCAATGTGGGCAGAATGTATAATTCCGCGGCTAAATCGTTTCTTCGATGCAAGGACCAACCGGTGACTTTAATAATAATATTTCCACGATACATCGTGATGCTATTTATTCGCCTATTTAGCGAAGGGTGCATCAAGGTCGCAGAGCGACGCATAAATTTGCATACGCTTAGAAGAGAAATCGGTTTATTATCCGCGATTCGTTATTTTATCGCCTCTACGTCAAATTTTGCTAAAAGTTACGAGTTTGTGGGTTGTACGAACTTAATCATCCCGATAAATGCGACTAAACTCGTTCTCAAAAATATACCGTCATTGTATCGTAGCAAAGGAAGAAAAAGGACCACGGAATCCGTAGTCTCAAAATTATTTGCATCCGACTTGGAAACGTTGGATTAGTAAATTCTTGAATTATTCCCCTAAAATTTGATTTCTACACAACATCTCAATTTTAGACGAACAATACATGAGGTGTAGATCTTTGTATATAATATTTATTAACACGGTATAAATCTGCAACTGTAGAACATAATGCTTGGCGCGACTTATGCAATATAGAATACATAGGAAGAAAACTAGACGAACCTGTTCGACGTGACCCCAATCCGCTGAGTTTGTACCATTCGGTGGCTGATAGCAGTGGCTAGAAAAAGAAAGCACAGAATTGTTTGTCCATTAGCTGAATAAATAAGTAAAAAGAAAATAATAAAAGAAGAACATTAATATAATCGAAGCCGGAGAATATTTTTTCCTATGTCGATCATCGCATGGCTTGTCGCGATAAAACCGCGAGAAAATTTCATTGTGTCTCGTTTCTCGTTGAAGCTTTAACCGCAAGATCGAATCCGAGAATTTTTCATTCTACCGAAAATGTTCATTGGGCATAATACCACACTACTTATATCCATTATTACTCAATTGTGACTTTCTCTCGCTACTTTGCGGGCCATGCGACGACGACAGCGACAATCTACTCGAACGGAAGGGGGGCAACGGACGTACAGCAGAAAAGCTGCATGTACACAGGCGTCAATTAAGAGATACACACGTATATATTTTTGCAAGTCGTTATCATAATGATATTCGAGGATATAAGTATGCAGCGCAAGGTGTACAATTTAAAAAGAAACGACTCGGAGCGCGAGCGAATATGTCCCACGCGCTCGCAGATGTGCAGCAGCGACGCGTCTAAGCCCGCGCGTTGAATCTTTCCCATGTCTTCTGTCATTATAATACGTGTAAATTGCTCGGCAAAAGAGAGAAACACTTTCACTCAGATGCTTTTGCGCGACTCGCGAGTTCACTCCGCACTCTGCGAATGCCACCGTGCATACACTGAAACGGTGATTGATATATACCGCGCGACTTCTTACCATACGCACGCGACTCGCCGAGACAACAATATCAACTTGGACGATTCACACGATATTCCGTTTGTCTATGTCTAAGCTATCTTTCGAGTAGCTTGTACCCACCGTTCGTTTACCTATGTGACGAGGTTATTTTGAGTTTTTAAAATATTATACAGAAAGACAGAATTGAGCTGCGCCATCGAGTCATTTATTTACGTAATACGTGTGAATTAGATTCTCCGCACTAACTTTTAATCGTTGCGCATATTACAATTGTTGTATAGAGCTCGCTTTGCGGGATGTTTGTGAATAAACCAACTTTCACTGGACAAAGAGCTGCATTTACAGAAGAATCCGCTTACAGTAATAGCACTGAGACCAACGTTTTTGATTTTTATAACTAGTTGATCCATTTAAGCGAAGGTTAAAAATTCAAATCAAAATTTAATGAAATTCATCCAAAAACGATATTTTCTCTCTGAGCCATCGAGAAAATCCTCCGAATTTTTTCGCAATACAAGCTTCTTTTCAATATAAGACGTTTCTGTCTCTTAACGATTTGATATGAGACAACAATCGAAAAATTATGCATAGCAAACGAAATTTTTGACGTTGCTTTTTGTCGTTGTTGGTTCACGAGCTGTGAACGTAATGCGCGCTCATAATTGTCGTTGTAATTTTTAACGGCAATCCGCGACGTCGCGTCCGATCGATAGGCAAACTTTCACCTTTATGGCCAATAAGTATATAGATAAGATTGAATTGGCGAATCGCTTACAAGCTCGCTTAAATTGTACGTGCCATAAACCCGGGCAGCTTTTGTCGATTCAATTTCGACGAAAGAGCTTTATAAGCGAGAATGCCGTATACAAGGGCTATAAACTGAAAGTATGGAAATGATTTACGGGCTTTATTGCGGGCTTCTGTGTACTCGTGTCTGGCTCGGCTCGCTCGGCGCAGCATAGCGTTTTTCAAAATTGCATAAGTCCGCGATGTGTAAAAACTCGATGAACGGCTTTTAGCCTGGCACATTTCGCCGTGGCTAATATCGTTTACAAAGGCACAGCGGCCACTCGGCCGTCTATCGAGTTTCGTTACCTGTGCATGTGTACTTTCACGAGTGATAAGCGTACGCGTCGATTTACAAGGATTACGCGAGCTAGAGCCGGTGCATACCGTCCGTTCCTGTTGTTGCAGTTGTGAATGAGCCTCGGGTCGAGGGTCCTGTGTTGGGGCGACGAGGCCGTGTTGTGGGGCGACGGCGTGCCGGTGCTCGAGCTCTCGGAGTCGTAGCCGCTCGAGCCCCGCTGCCAGAGGCTCTCCGGGCAGTCGTAGACGTGATTGACGATCGGCCGGTTGACCACGAGATCGAGGACCGCGGCGCAGCGCATCACCTCGATGGCTCGCTCGAAGGGCAGATCGGTGAGGTGCTGGCCGTTGCACCAGACGATCACGTCGCCGGCCTTGAGACCCGCGGCCCGGGCCGGCCCGCCCTCTCTCGTGTTCTGCACGGTGAGGCCGGGCACGAGGCCGCGACACACGCCGCAGCCCAGACTGCCCTTCTCGCCGACCATGACGCGGATGCGCACCTCGTTGGTCACGGCGTCGCCGTACTGCAGCTGCTTCTGCTGTTGCTGGACCATGTGCCACGTCACCGGGTCGTTCGGATTGCTGCGCCAGAGGACAATTTCGTTACTCGCTTACTTCCATTAATGCCTAATAATTGATGATCGTTACTTACTCTTTGACGGGTATCATGCCGACGCTGCGAATCTTGAGCACGAGCACCTGCTGGTTCTTGGCGAGCAGAGCGACCTCCTGGTGAACGGCGTCCTCGACCGGGTAGCCGTTGACTCGTAGAATTTGATCGCCGACCCTGAGGCCGGCCCGATGCGCCTCGCCGCCGAGCACCACGTCGCTGACGAAGAATCCGGCCGAGTGCTCGCGGCCGCCGCGGAGCGAGAAGCCGAAGCTGGCGTTTCCTCGTCGGCGGAGCTTGACGTTGCGGGTGACGCCGATGACGGCCAGACGACCGCCGCCTTGGCCAGCGTTGCCGGTGGCTGCTGCCGATGCCGCGCCGCCGCCGCCGCCGGCCGGACCCACGACGACCGCTGCGCCTCCGTTTCCATTGGCCGTGGTCGTGGAGCTGGCGCTCGATGCACTCGACGAGCCACCGCCTCCTCCGCCGCCTCCACCCGGCCTGTAACAATAAACGTTTCGAGTATTTTAATAATGCCGAGTCACCAGTTGTCATCCATTTTTCAGCTCGGCTGATAAAAAGTAAAGAAGAAATAATTGGTCGCGGCTTCGGGGAGCGTTTTCACGAGTATACCTGCACAGCTTTCTGTGCGTCTCTGTTGCGCACGTGGACTAGTCTAAAAAATTTCGATCTATTAAACGCAGCCACTCGAATTCGTCGAGACGCCGTATTATATTCGTATCTCATTATTTAAGCTAGTTTGCAAATTGACTCACACGGCGATGTATAGGCCGGGAGATATTAATGCACGCGCGTCGAGATTCGCGCGAGGCGTTCAATATTGATCGAGAAAGTAGTCGCTGGGCTTTGCTGCATCGCAGGCTTTGCTATACATACGTCTATCTGGAATTGAAAGTTGCATCTGTATAGGCTGAGCGCATTGACGCGCGCTCGCGAGTTCCGTCACGATTTTCACTCGCTGGTATATATATTGAAACTGCCGATATAACCTGTTAAAAGCTGGCACATAATGTGTGTGTGCAAGAATAAAAGAGAGAGAGAGAGGAGATCATACCGATCGACTATACTACACTACAAAAGAAATTATCGCTCAAGTCTCGTTGCGAGTTGGATATTATATCGTAGCGGATTGGTGCAGTATACGTTCGCCCTCCGATACAAGTTCGCACTTGCATGCATGTACGTGGACGGTCGCGATCGGTGTGCAATCGTAATCATTCGAATTTATATATAAATGTATACATGCAGAAATGCGAGTGTCCTAGAAAAATGCAATATCCTCGCGCCTCCGAAGGCAGCTTTAATCGGAGAGGCGCAGTGCGTGGAACGGCACACTTGGCGCGAGCGAGCCGATGTCATAACGGTTTTTCGCGTACATGTGTGTGTGTGTGTGCTCGAAGAGGAAAAGAAGGCCGCGCGAGCAGCTCTGGCACACATCTATCACTCGCTCTTTCTCTTGCGGCACGTATTTTCGCCTGGCTCTGCTTCATTTTTCCACTTTTTATTTTCTTCCATAATGTAACGGCCGCGCCACGGAGCACGTAATCATCTCGAAGATTCAGCAGCCGCAATTATTGCAACGCCACCGCGAGTGCCTCGTGCTCGCCTGGATCTGCATGCATCGTATGCTCGCGCCAGCGGACGTCATCGAGTGATATATTTATTTATTATTATATCGTCGCATTCCGCGGTAGCGCGTGATCGTCGAGCTCGTGCAGCTATTACACATGGGACACATAATCGGCTGAAGCGAAGCGGCTGGCGAGCGTGTTTTTGCATTGTGCTGGAACGGTAGCATTAACACGAATGAAAAGCCAAGCTCGCTTTCGACTCCCTTCCTCGCTCTTCCTCTTTTCGAGCGATACGATCTGCTTGAAAAATCTTTCTACCCGTACGGTACGATTCGCCTTTTCATTTTAATTGCACCGATGCCACTTGTTATGCGACTTTTATGGTTTTTTATCCTGTAAACGGTGTTACACAAGCCATCGCTTAAGCGATACGTTTCCAACTCTTATTAAAGCATCCAGCATCGTGCATGTAAATATTTTTATTGCTCTTCTTATTTTTCTCTTTCGCCAAGTCGATCGTTTTGAGCGCAATTAAAATAATAAATTACACGCAACGGTACAAAGGCACGCAGCAGATCGATAAACGACGCATCTCGTCGAGGCTCCAAGCTCGAGAATATAGCAAGGTCGCGCTCTCGTGGAATTTCATTCTTTGCTGCTCTCGTCGCGAGCTAAAGAGAGATGCTCCAGTGCCGAGGTGCATTAGAAGACTCGGCGAATAATACCGTTAGCCGATGCTCGCCTGCTCTAATACATACATATTACAAACAAGGAAGAAAGTCACTTTGAGCTACATCTACATAAAACTGCATCTCTAGAGCTGCAGCTTCAAATTCAAATTACGAGTGTTGTAAGAGCGAAGAAGCTCTCGATGAATTAAAAGTCGAGTAATTTACCAAATAAACGCGGCCTCGTCTATTCTTGCTAAAGTCTTCGGAAACTGCATTTTTTCCTTAATTTTTCAACTGCAAATACCTTTCAGTCGTATTCATTATTATCCGCGCTTACCTAAGCGCACAAAAATAAACAAGAAAATCAGCTCGCAGCTCGAGGCCCAAAGTATTGTGTGCCGAGGAGCTTTGCAATTTTTTATGCGTAAACTCGCGTGCACCAGTTACATATATCAATTACAAGTTTCAGCTCTATTTGCGCTTCTGCGCTCGCGTATATCCTTTACCGTTTCTCCGATGGGTGGAATCTCGTCGAAGCCACAATCTGCTACATTATCACTTTACGATTATATACTACTATACGAGCTCGAAAGCTGCTGCAGTTTACAAAGTTGCAAATGCGTTACAACACGTCGTGCATTATACCCTGTGCTCTTATATTATATGTGCTTAGCTAATAGACTCGATGACCTGACGTGGGCTTTAAACAACGTCTAATTTGATACGATCGTAAATAAAATTTTACAAACCCGCACCGGCGACTGGCTACCGACAAAATGCGGTAACTCATCAGCGTTAATTTATAAACGGTCTCCAGAGCTGTACGTGCAGGTATATACGTATGGGCCAGTCCGCAGCTTCATTTGCATACATCGATGCATACGAGGCTCTTCTCGTTGTTTGTGCTTATGATTGTCTAATTATGCATCTGATGTATCTGATTGCAACTGCACGCGTGCATATACTTATATTAAAAGCAGCATCAGTTCTTCGATAGACGTCATCGTAAATGTGTAAGAAGTCACTTAATAGCTGCCCGAACGATATTTACATATGCACACGCACACACAGTCTGCGGCTTGATACACTAATAACGATCGTCTCTCTCTCTCTCTCTTTAGACGTTGTGCGTCGATCAAGTCATGTTACATCGATTATGCATCTAGAGCTCTCGATCTTTTATATTGTATATGCAAAGCTAGCGAGTTAATTGCACTTCCGGTATAGGCGCATATGGATGCTGCGGGTATTACATCGAACTTCCTCGTGTTGAGACTTCATCGTAAACATATCGGACTAGCATAAACAGAGGTAGAGAGAGAGAGAGAGACAGAAAGAAAGAAGCAAAGGCATAAAAAATATCGACCAAAATTTAAAAGCATCGTTGTTGTTGTTGGGTTTTTACATAAGAACGCAGAGTGATTATCTCATAAGTCAAGTGTTTTTCCTTCTCACCTTTCCTCACGAGGAAAGTTGTTGCACTTGTCTGCGTTACAGTGCACAATAGTTTGGACAAAGATTAGCGTGAAATTCAAGCACGAGGGCTTTATTATCACAACTCGCGCAAAAACAAGTGCTCGTATACATGCAGCGGCCAATAAACCTTCGGACAAATCTTCGTTTGCATCGCTCGAGACTTTCGATTTTCAATGCGCATATAATATCGTATAGGCATGTGTGGCACACGCGCAACGTACGTTGATATTCCGGAAACCACACGCGAACATCGCCGGCTATTATAAAATCCCAACTTTTGAATTTATCGTCGCATTGTGCGAACCGATGATTGATGCCGTAAAAGCTTCGTATTTTCCTTACCGACTCGTATACTCGCTTTCGACTCGACATTATAAACGCACGCGTACTTATGTATACAGGCGCGTTTCGAGATTTTCTTCGCACTTTTTAAAGACGCCACGCATGTTTACGAGACTTTCCGTCGATGATTTTTTTCCTTGGGTTAGTTTTACGATGCACCATTGAATGTTTTGGCATAGATTTTCTTTTTTACATCCCGAAAGCTATGGTCGTTTTCAAAAATTGCCACAAATTTATGAGGACTTCCTGTGGATTTTTTTATACGATCGAAGAGTCGAAAAACAATCAACATGAAACTAGACAGTCATCTCGTCAAAGCTGCACTCGAGTCTCTTATACGCTGTATATGCGCGCGAGAGGAAAAAATTTTACGCAATCGTTAAATCGTTACAAAATCGCGCGCAGCAGGGAACGGCGTTAATTGCAAAAGTCAACACGCATTAAGAGGTGTACAACAGACGCGAATTGTTCACGAGCGTGTGTAGGCTCGAGCGCGCTGAGTTATTGATTTTCGTTATTTTTCTTTCTCTTCGATTCCTGCCGATCTTCAGGCAGTCATAAACACCCGAACGCAGACGCACAAAGGTAGGAGTGAATGTAAAATGATGACCCTATTTACAAGCGACTAATCGCTTATTTTTCAGGAAGCAACGCGCTCGGAGTATTGAATTGCCTGCGCGAGAGTCCATTTATACCCGATGCGGCCGTATCATTGTTCAAGTGTCGTATCGGAAAATATTTTTAAGTCATGTGGGATTGCCGCTGATTTATAGCCGAGCTTTCCTAACGATCTCGACTTACGGCGTCTTTTTTGTCCCCCTTCAACTTTGTTCAGTGCACACTTGCTTGAGTTGAGCATTTTTTTATGTACATATATATTTTTGTTCAAAATTAATAACTTAATTGATATACGTGTCATTAAACGTTTAGGGCTTCAAGTTTTTTGCCTTTTCTGTCGTTAAACAGGATTATAATTGCAGTCACTATCCAAATTCGACATTTTAACCAATGAAAAAAAATTAAAAGTGCATGTTAACCTCTTTTTCTATTCCTCTACCATAATAATATTGATTACAATTTTGAATTATCTGTCGTATAAACATTTGGAGTGCATTATAAGCTAAAAAGCCGGCGGATTATGGGTGCATAGCCATAAACATGTATTGGTCAACATGGAGGGTCATTTTCCCTCCCTACCTTTTTTTTACCTGCCGAGCAATCAATATCGATTCGATATTTATTAACGGTTCATAGAATTGGCTAATTGCAAGCCGTCGTCGCTCGATCTCGTGGCTGGTAAACAGGACTAATTATTTGCATTGGAATTTGGCGTAAATTAAATGTATACTCGGTAATGTCTCAGACTCACGCATTTACTCACACCGACGCGCGTATGCCCCGCGCGCGGTCAACGGTTCTA